CGGCTCGACATCTACAGGATCAGGTGGCTGGATCAGGCGAGAACCTGTAGACTGGCGCACCTGTAAATAGTAGTTAGTACCTATATAATTACGAGAAAATAAACATGATTTGTAATGTTTCTGCCACGATTTATTTGTGAGGACCCCGGGGGCCAGGGAACCGTGACCAGGCGAGAGTAATGAAGCCTGTTCAGGCAATCGACATTCACCATTGAAGCAGAACATTATAATATCATGTAGGAATATAATGGTGGTACATTCATGGCAGGTGATGCAAGAAAAGTACATCTTGCCAACAGCCACCAATATTGCACCTATTGCAATGGATTGGGAAATTGCCAAAGCGGACTCGCCTCGATAATCGCATATCTCTCATGTACAATTATGGCGCTCAATTACATTGATTGTGTCGTCATGTAATAGATTGCAGGATGGATCTGGTTTTGCTGATGGCCCGCCACTAAGTACACTCACGATCCTGGCCCGATCGCGATCTAGGTGGAATCCTGTGATATCACCTTGCGTCAGCGCTCGCGTCGGCTCGCGTATTGCATTCGGCTACGTCGGCATAATCGTCTATGCGCTCAGGCTCTTTCTCTCATTCACAACAGTACTACTACAGCTTTATAAGTAAACACTCAATACTGCTACTCTGTTTTACAGTAACCAACCAAGCCTACCGTATATTCAAGCCATCATCTGGAAGGGGACCGAAGTGGTCAGAGACAGGAATAGCTCACGGGGATCTATAGTCCCGCGTGGATCCCACCTCTTCTGTTTCCGCTACTGCGCAGTTTGTATGCCTCCTTCCCTCTGACCACCACCGAGCACCATGGCAAGCGAAAAGCTCTCGATGAGCTTCTATGACAAGCAGCCCCACCCCATCCCCGCGCCTGTGGTAGCGACAGCCCCGCCAACCGCTCGGGGAAACCGCGCTGTTTTCTGGCGGAAACTGGTAGTCACCTCTCTCGCGGCTCTATCGTTGTTATACTATGTCGGCTGCTGGTTCTGTGCACTCAGGCAAAGGATCGACGCTCAGGAGGGTAGATGGATCGCTCAGGCTTTCGGCGCGCATCCCCCTAGAAACCTCGGGTACAGGAGAATCCCGTTTGGAAAGGCTGCAGAGGAGATATTCCTGTGAGTAGCTCAGAACGTCTGGTGGTATGTGCATTGAGTCTCAATCGTCTGCACGGCAGAGCTGTGCCAAACCCCGCAAGCGCTATCGCTGCCTCTCGACAGTATGCGACGACACCGCATCTCGCCGGTTCGCCGGGAGACTACAGAACCGCTACTGATTTCCTCGCGCTCCTCCAAACCGAGCTCAGCATTGAAGCGCCTACGCCACTTCCTGTGTTCTCCGCAGGCACTGCCGAGTCTCGCAATGCGACCCTATCCATTAGCGAGGGTTTGAATGGTCCCACGGCATGGATCGACACTTACTATCCCGTCATGAACACCCCGCTCGACCGGCGCGTGGAAATCCTGGATGAGGATGGGGAGGTAGTGTGGAGCGCGGATCTGGAGGAGCAGGCGGACGAAACCGATCCGGAAGCTGGGAAGTACAAGGACGCTGTGCCGACCTTCCATGGCCTGAGCCGCGGTGGTGAGGTACAGGGAAAGCTAGTGTATGCGCACTACGGTCGAAAGCAAGATTACGATGCGCTCGTTGAACAGGGTGGGTGCCTCTGTTCCGCTCTGCCTTCCCGCGTATTTACATATATCTGCAGGGGTCGACCTCAACGGTAGTGTCGTCATTACCAGGTATGGCGGCATCTTCCGTGGCCTCAAGGTGAGAATGACTGGTGTATACCTTAACGTCGATAATTATGTGCGTGTGACTCCTAGGTCAAGGGTGCACAAGACTTGGGCGCGGTAGCCTGCCTCATCTACTCTGACCCGCGCGACGATGGTACAGTCACAGAAGAGAATGGCTATGAACCGTGTGTAGACTTTCAGCATCTAACTGAACTCGCGACCTGACCTTGCATGACGCACAGCTACCCCATGGGCCCCGCTCGTAATCCCACATCGGTACAACGTGGAAGCACTCAGTTCCTTTCTATTTACCCAGGGTATGTCGATTAAGCAATGAGTGTATGCGCCTAGTTTCCAACAAATTCCACGCAGCGATCCAACAACGCCTGGCTATCCCTCCTATGAGAACAGCACTCGCTCGGAAGGATCAAACATCCCTTCAATTCCGAGCTTGCCGATCTCATGGGCCAATGCTAAGGTGCTCCTTGAGGAAATTGCGGATGGCGGCAAGGACAGGACTATTTCGCTCGTGAATCATGGCAAGTCGCGCTTTCTTCTGCACTAATGAAGCTTGATCTAAGCGAGCTGTGGGGTACTAGTGGATGACAGAGTCATCCCTATCTGGAACACGATGGGCGTCATTCCCGGACATATCAAGGACGAGGTGGTCGTAGTTGGTAACCATCGGGACGGTAAGTCGTACGCTGACTATAACTCGTTGTTTGTGCTAAAACAGCACTCTAGCTTGGGTAAAAAATGCACGCGGTTTCTGACCAATATTAGACTAAATGGCTTTGTGTAGGTCATGGGTGCGACCGACCCCTCCTCCGGAACAGCTTCTATCCACGAAGTTGTCCGTGGACTTGGCGCATTACTCAAGGAAGGCTGGACACCTCTTAGGACTATTGTAATCGCCAGCTGGGATGCCGAGGAGGTGCGCATATAACCAGTCTTCACAGAAACTGCTCGCCTCATTTTGTTTGACGACAGTACGGCCTCATTGGCAGCACCGAGTGGGGGGAAGACTTTGCAGACTGGATCGATGAGCACGTTGTAGCCTATGTCAATCTCGGTGCGTTGCTGCAGTGCCAGTCAACTGCGTCACGATTCTTACAATGTACGACAGACTCATCAGTCGGCGGTTCACGCTTCTACAGCTCCTCCTCACCTTCTCTTGCGCACTTCATGCGCGGCGCGGCAGAGAGCATCGCACACCCCACGAAGCCTGGCCTCACATTATGGGATGCCACCCAGGACAGGGGTCCGTTATATGGTACGCACGGACGCGTCGATGAAGAGGCGGTTAGGGTATATGAAGAGGAGCAGGCGCAGCTTGCGGCAGCGGCTGCCGACGAGCTTGGCGTAGGCGTTCTTGGCTCGGGGAGCGACTACACAGTGTTCTTGCAGCGCATCGGCGTCGCAAGCACGAACAATGGCTTTACATCCACACTGTCGGATCCTGTATATCACTACCATTCCGTCTTCGACTCGCAGAGGTGGCAGGAGCTGTATGCCGATCCAGGGTTTTTGCGCCACGTGAGTTGATCTTTGCAGAGGATGACTGTGAGAAGTTAACATTGTACCTAGGTCGCTATTGCGAAATTCCTCGGTCTGCAAACCCTGCGACTGGTGGACTCAATTATCCTACCATTCAACACCACTCACTACGCTGTGCAGCTCGGTGCCTACCTCGACCAGTACGTTTAGGGCTTACTGTCACACCTTACATTGGCTGATCGCATGACGTGGCACAGTGTGGAACAAATCGCATTAGCAGCCTCGCTTGACGTCGACTTCTCAGACCTCAGGGAGTCCATCGACTCATTGTACGCAGCGAGCCAGTCCTTAGACGAGGAGAAGTTCAAGGCCGAGCACGAAATCAAGCGCTTCATCAGGCGGATCGTGCGGCGCCGCTTGATTAAGAGACATCTACGGAGGGCCTGGTGCACAATCAAGAAGGTATTCGGAAAGCCGTGCGCGGAGAGGCGGCTCAACGCCGTCGAGGGCGTGCACCACCAATTGGACGAGCCCAGGTCTAACCACGTCGCGCCCCCATTTCAAAAGAGGGATGGACGCGCATTCAAGCCTCGTGTAGGGCTGTGGGGCGGCAAAATGTGGGAGCGGGAGCAGCACGCCCGCGAGCATGCACACGAGCGGTCCGGCGGCTGCCAAGTCCAGTGGCGTGCTCGTGCTCGTCCGAACTTCGACGACAAGCTGCGCGAGAGGTTCAGACAAGTTGTCAAGCGTGTTCGGACAGTGAACAAGAAGCTGGGGTCGTTTGAGCGCGGCTTCATCCACCCAGACGGCATCAAGGACCGTGAGTGGTATCGTCACCTAGGCGTTGCCCCAGGGAAGTGGCTCGGTAAGTGTCAGCTGTGTAAGACTGTTGCAGTGAACTCACCGCACATTCGTGTAGGGTACGGTGCGACAACGCTCCCGGGGCTAACTGAGGCCATCACGTTCGAGGCAAACGCTACGCTTGTGCGGTACGAGGCCGAGAGACTACAGGAGCTCATTGACAGGCTTGCTGAGGAGATTCTGCCTTGATCCTATGATTCGATGTTGATGACGCGTAGTATACAGTGTATGAACAGTGACAAGATTTGTCCACCTTTTATGCGACATGGCGATGTTTCGCAGACAGTACGCGAATGCTGTGCCTTAAGGGTCGAGGGGTGCCAATGGATGCCAGACGGCAATCATCTAATCAGGGTGCGCTTCTACATCTAATTTCATACAAATACAATAATCTAACGCAGTATACATATTGTATCTTGGTAGGTTGTACATAAGACGGTGGATGAGTCATTCGAAGCTGAGATTAATAATAGAAAGTAAGAATATGCAGGCCCTTAAAGCGAACATCCTTCTACAGAATGGCCAGCGCTGCGAAGAAGCCCCCCAGACATATCGTGCACCATGCGAGAAACGCGTCAAAGTGGAACTGTTCGGCCGTTCCGCTCTTGTGTGCGCTGCTGGCGGCCGCATGGTTTGAGGTTGCACTTGCAGCTCGTGCACCGGTGCCAGTGGCGCTACTGGTACGGGCTGCAGCCGCGCCTGTTGCGGAGTTGGACTCGCCTGTGCTCGTCCCGCTTGCACTCGCGTTCGCACTGCTCATCAAGCCGGCGGCGCCCGCTTGGAACGCCAGCACGCTATCCGTATCTTCCACCTCTTCACTATCACCGCCGCCGTCTCCATCGTCTCCTGCGACATTCTGATACGCGCTGGCATTGTCCAGCCGCGCGACGCTAACGACGTCCCATCCATTCTGCCCGATGAAGGGGAACGCGTCGATGTACGCCTGCACAGACAGATTGCTTAGTTCGTGCTCTAGAATGATGAGCCCCGGGCTCTGGGGCCCGGCATACCACTCCGCGAGAGAGGCATGAACGGTCGAGAGGTTCGTCCCGCCAGTCGTGAGTGACCAGTCCTCCGTGCTATACAGCATTGTGAGAAAGAACATGCGGTCACATTGGGGACTTGTATGACTTCAGGTACGTACTCGTGGTTCCACATGACAGTGGTCAATCCGAATACCTCAAGAGCGATGGCCCGGACGCGAGTATCCGTATCGCCGTACGGAGGACGCCAGAAACGGGGGAGTCGTCCCCCTGTGGAGTTATGGATGAGCTGCATTGACCAGCCAAACTCGCCGACGAGCTGGAGATTGCTCAACGTCGTCATGTACGGGTGCGTCCAGGTGTGCACGGCGATGTCATCTAGAAAAAAAACTGGTTGAATCGGCAATTCACGATAATACTACAGCGGCATTGTCCGACCTTCGTTCGTCTCAAAGGCCATGACAAACTCGTCCGCATTGTTGATGATGTTGACGCCGATCATGAAATGCGTGGCATGCACGCCTTGTTCTTGCAGGAACTCGTACAGCTTCGTGGAGTACTATGCCATTGGTGAGCGACAGCTCAATCCCAGATGTCGATGATAACTCACCGGCAGAGGACCGTCATCGAAACATGCGCCGACGACACCATCCGGAGCATCCCATATATCGCCGTCGATTCTGCATTTGTATGTCCCAGAACAAACTTCGTCACTGGTAGGGTTGAAGCTCTTCGGATAGGTAGGATTACCCGCGGCATCCATAGTCGACTGAGGTATATCCGGGATCTTGCCAGCGGAAACTGCTGCATCGAGTGCATCTACCCAAGCCTGTGGCAGATTCGAAGGATCGGGCGAATGTGTCGGGTAAGGTGCAGACCACGCTAAGACGTTGTCAGATGTACAAACGAGGATGGTATGATATAACGGAGCCTCACTTGGTGACCCGACTTCAGCGTATTGCACTCCGTCTGTTGATTCACGTCTGAAAAGGGAATGCACGGGATGATCTTCACGATGATGCCAGGCAGCTGGAAGACGCTTGTTGAGAGAAATGTTGTGTTCTGCGGCAGGTAGAATGGATCGCGCTGAGCACGCAAGGTCATAAATAGGAAGTAACAGAAGAAACAAGCGAATGAGATGAGCCATTTCGTTTGAGGGTCAAAGAGCGACGAGGGTAGAAAAGTGTGTTGTGGTTGAAGTTAAGACGTTGAACGTTGAACGTGCACCCGAGGTGTAACATCTTCATAGGACAACACCGGCACGCCGGCATACCGCTCGTGAAGTCGTTGATGTTGACTGACGTTACTTGAAGCTACGTCACCGACAATTCTGGCCCACCGCATTTGGGCATGTAATTACTAGGTTAAGCAGAAGGCGCATCATGCCGACGCGGCGGTAGTTTCGAATATAGATGCCGATACATCTATCTCGCAACACTATCATATGCATTCATTCAATTAATTCTGCGAGTTTATACCCCGTACAGCGTAGGTGAACGTAGAGTGAGACCGAGCCTCCTATAGCTCTTAGCAGTAGGCTCCGCGCCCTCGCATAGAACTGATTCCAACACAGTTCAACCCGGGGAAATCGAGACAAGCTGTGGTCGTACTAAGCAAGCCGCAAAACACTCACCTCTGTATTCTCGAAATCTTGCTTGCTGCTTGTTCACAGAACGGGAGAGGAGGTAATGAAGTGATACGAAGATATTTCCACTTGAAGCCGGCTAACGGCCGTTAGGTGCAACGTTAGGCTCTATTCCCGAATGATATTATTAATTTCTACTTATCCATGCGGCCGCCTGAGGAGAATAACTGGGAGCGCATGAGAAAGGGATGCATCAGCAGATGCAGCCAGTAGAACGTACTTGAAGGCAGCGACGTGAATAGTATCAGCCAATCAAAGGGCTCGTTTCTTGACCTCGATCGATCGAGGACGAGGCGCTGATGCCGGCGTGTGTGGCGATGATTACCGCGGTGGCCCGAAACTAAATACCGGTCGCAGGCTATTTTAATGAACGGAACGTGCATTCAATATTTGCATAGGCACGGATATCGAGAATATGAATGCTCAAGCGCTCACCGCCCGAACCCCGTGTATAGCATCTCAATGGAATGCGGGCTTCCGCTGACACGCACACGCAGCAACTTGATGAGATGGACGATGGCGACCAAGATTCAAGGTAGCAAGATCCACCCACCGGACATGCTGCTACCACGCGTCGCGGACCTTACTACCGTGCGTCGATGAGGATCGCTCTAGCACGATTCCGAGGATTCTTCGCCATGCAACCTGTGCATGGCCTGTCCGTCGTCCACGCTGAGGCCTGCCCCTTACGGCGAGCCACCATCCAGATCAATACAATCTTACAAAGCTCACGCACGGCGTACGGCCACGCCAGCGAATCAATTAGCTGATAACGACGAGGAACAAATACACATCACCGCGTGAAAGCGTCCGCATATGCCATACACCTCATCATCGCCCTGCACACGCTCACGCTCACGCCGACGCGGGCACAGGCGCAGGGGACGCGCTTCCGCCGCCGTCCCCGCGGTACGCCGGACGCAGCACCAGCACGCCCTTGCTCAGCTGCGCCACCTCCTTCACCAGCGCCGTGAACCGCATCTTCTTCCCCTCGTCCGTCAAGTACGGCGTGAAGTGGTGGATACAGTCCCGCGTCGTCGCCCCGGGCGTGTTCCGCAGCCACTCGATCACCATGTGGTCTTCGAGCTCCACGCCTCCCGGCGGGCCCGGTGCGCGCCGCTTCTTGGGCTTTGCGGACGGATCGTCTGTCGCCTTGCGTTTCGCGGAGGGCTTGGCGGGGGGTGCGCCGTTCGGCGTAGGGCTGGTCGGCGACGCGGGACTCCCTGCGGCAGGACTCGTTGCGCGGCTCGCGCTCGCGAGAGGACTCGATGCGCGACTCGGCCCACTGGGTTTAATCTTCGACATAGAGGGGCTCATCGCGCGTTTCGCCACGATAGAGTGTCCGCCGTGGCTGGTAGTAACGGGCGACGTAGGACGTGATAGCGCATCTGTCTGCGACTCCGTCTTGATCTGCAGCGGCGGCTGGCTGCCGGTGGGTGCCTTCACCCCGTTTGCGGGCGCTGGCGTGGATGGGGGCTGGGAGGGCGTACGAGAGGCTTTTGGCTCGGGGGCGATGATCGCGGGGCCAGTGTGCACTGGGGTCGGCTCTTCTTCTTCCTCCTCCTCCTGCTCGCTCATGTATGGGTTCTCTTCGTCACTATCATCATATCCACCATCTTTCTCCAATTTCTGTAGCGTCTTCTGGAGATTCTTGCCCGCCCGCGTGAGGGTGATATCATCTTCGTCATCCGACTCGTCGATGTATCCCTCACGGGTTTTATTAGCGTTTTTATACTCCCTCTTGAGCCGCTCCTGTAGAGTCACGACATGTCAGATCGTAGCATAGGGACAAAGCGGATGTTGCTTGCCTCCAGCTCCTTCGCCTCCTCATCGTCTGCTTCTTCTGGCTCCATCTTCTCCTCATCGTCCTGGAACGTTTCTTCGAAGTCGAGCTCGTCTACATCACCTTCCGCACCCAGCTCACGCCGCAACTTGCGTTTGCGGAACTCGCCATCCTCGTCATCATCATCACCGAACAGCCCCGCCATCCCATCGTCCACCACCTTGAGCTTCCGGCCACCCGAGCCTGCGCCGGCCGGCATGCCTGCTGGAGTGCCCTCACGCCCGGCTTTGAACAGGGCGGTGGTCGCCTCTGAGGGAGCTTGTCCGTTCCGTCTTCGAAGGAGCCAGCGCTCCGGATCCTTGTTCTTTTGAATCTTAGTCATCTGTAGCCATGTTCAGCATGTTCAGCACAGTAATTAAAGCAGACCGAGGGCGGCGCACCAGAGACTCCGCCTCCTCCAGCGTCGGCACATGGTGTTTCGGCTTCTGCTGGAACTTGTACCACCGATGCGCCGGGACGAACTTGAACGCGTTGTCCGGCGCGGGCATGAACATCGCGTGCGTCTCGGACTTGGAGACCTCCTCCATCCTGCCCAGCCACATCTCCTTCTGCGTCGCGTCCTCGATGACCCACGGATAGCGCTCCTCGCGCCGCAGCTTGCGCACCTCCTCGGGCACGAGGAACACCTGCTTCGTCTTCTTCTGGAACCGCTTCTTCGGCGGCGCCTTCTCCTTGCCCTTGTCGCCCCCCGCGCCGCCGCCGCCGCCGCCCTGGATCGGCCGGCCCTCCGCGTCGACCATGACGATCTTGCCATCCACGCCGATGACGGGCTTGCCGTCCGGGCCGAGCATGGGGCCGACGGCCTGCGGCACGGCGGCGGGCGCGTCGTCCGCCTCGCGGCGCAGGTCCTTGCGGTTCAGCCGGATGGGCAGCTCCCACAGGAGCGGATCGACGGGCTTGCGCGAGTCGAACTTCATGATGTCGTACTTCCAGCCGTTCAGCGAGGACGACATCAGGCGGAACTCGGAGAATCGGCCCTCGGGCGGCGGCGGCCTGAGGTCGCTGTCGTCGTCCGGGTTGGGCGGGCGCGGGCGCGGGGGGCGCGCGGGCCGCTCGGCGGGCTTCTCAGAGGGTTTGTCAGGGGGCGCAGACGGCGGTAGGCCCTCTTTCTTGGGCGGCGGCGGCGGCGGCGGCTGCCCGGGTCTCCTTTTCTTCGGGTGGAAGAGCAAGTCCATTCCGGTCCGTTTGGGGGCCATCGTGCGCGGTGTGCTCGGCGGGGGGTATCGCGGGGTGCTCGACGGGGTCAGGAATAGCCTGTGGTGGTCGTGAACGGTCGTGTGTATAGTGGAAGCAAGCACGGGAGGTGGTGGTCGAGGTCAAGGCATGTCGCGGCTCCGCCAGACGCCACAGTGACTGTGTAACCGGGCGCCATACAAATGAGGTAAGCGTTCTTGTTATCCTGACAAGAACGGTTACCGCATTTGGAGTGCCTGCACCATTCTTGTCGTCCGGTCCGCGTCGACGCCGCGTTCTTTTGACTGATATGCGCGATGGATGGGATTTGCACTGATTCGCATGGGAGAAGAAGGACGCGCAATGGATCTCAAATACTTTCTGAGGAGCGGCGCTACGATACAGCGGGGAGATTGGTGGGTGTATGCGGGTGAAGCAAGAATTCTCGACACAATATAAAGGATACAGAAGACGGTCGTGCGGGAGTCTAAAAGTATATAACGGCGCTCGAGCGTCCAAACACCCGATGTATAATTATTGGCGGAAAGTCCGGGCTCGTGGAATCGTAATGGTCGTCTCCAAAATGCGGGTCAATCCCATGTAAAACACCAGCCTGAATACCGGCTTCAATGCTTACCAAAGCTATGCGAACGAAACGGAGGATGCGCGCAATACATAAGTGTGCAGTGCAAAAGGCCATCGGCGGAGTCACCTTGCGAGAGAGAGAGAGTAAACGGACGTGATGGGACAGAGACGAAGACAACATCGCAATCAGTACATATGCACAGAGCCCGTCCCTGCGCGGCTTATGATGAGGGGTCTGTCTTCGCGATCTGCACGCCCGACGCGCCATTATTCGCGTTGGGGGACTGCCCCATAGGCCCCGGGCCAGGGGGGTATATGTTTTGTGACGATCCCGGTCGTGAGTGTGGCGGTTGCCCAGACGGCAGCGGCTGGTGGGGTGTTGGTGGTTGATGGTGCGGAGGTGCTTGGTGTGGGGGCGGTGGGCCCTGGTGTAGAGGCGGGGGCGCGCCTGGAGGGCCGGGGTGCGGATACGACTGCACGCCAACGGGCGGGCCGTGCGCATACACGACCGACTGCGGGGGCCCGGGCGGGAAGGGTGGTGGCGGCATGCCATGTCGTATGCTGTCGAGCTCGTGCCGTAGCATCTCAATCTCGCGGCCCATCTCCTGGTGGCTTTGCTTCAAGTTCATAATGAAATCGATCGCTGCAATGATCAACGAGGGAGACGGCGTTAAGCGGCCGAGTCTGCACAATGAAAGCGGATACGGAGAGGTAAGTACCTTTGCTGAGGATCTCCCATTTGCTTGCTTTCATGCCGCGATCGGCGGGGAGCTGGTCGCGTAGCTCGTCAAAGAGCTCCTTCATCTCCTTCCTGCGCTTTCTCTCCGCGAGCTTGTGCGACACGCGCAGCTCGGGGGAGCGGGAGTAGGGGGTCGAGCCGGACTCCTTGAGGGCCTGCTGGGCGGCAGCATCGTCGCCCACGGGGGCGGATGATGGACCGGCGGGATTGGAGAAAGGTGATTGGTCTGCGGCTCGGACACGCGACGGGGGACGGGAGCGTGACCTGAGGACGCGGGACGGGCCTGTGGAGGGCGGGGAGGGCAAATTTTCGGGGGAAATGGCAGGGGCAGACATTCGGCGATCCTGGGCGAAGGAGACGGGAGGCATGGTGCTGAGAGGGTCGTATGAGTGCGGAGGGCCCGCCATATTAACATTGGGCTCGTTCTGCATGGGGGAGGCCTGATCGGGATGCTGAGGGTTGGCAGGCCACGCGAATGTAGCGATGCCGCCAGGAGGCCGCCCATGTGGCAACTCCCCGGCAACTCCCGACGGCGGCGTGGAGTAGCCACTGGCTGCCATCGGCGTGCTTGCACTTGCACCCGCACCCGCACTCGCATGCGTCGTATCCCGTCTCTCCCCTCCCCACCGCTCCCGGCCCCCTCCCCGCGCATCCACAGAATTTCGACGATCGTACAAGCTCAGCTGCGCAATCTTCTGCGTGTCAATCGCCGACCCACGCCGTTTCGGCGCGGGGCCCTCTGTCTCCATCCCACTACCAGGCCCATCCATGTCTTCCATCCCCGGGCTCTGCACCCCCGCCTCCGGCGACATCTTCCGTTTGATCCCCTGAACTGGAGAAGGTAGGTGTCGATCGTGCAGCAGCCCCGACGCCCGAGGACCAGCCGCTATCGAGTGACGCCGCGCGCTGTATCCCGCCTGCCCAGCCTCGCGCGCAGCAAGGTGACGTGACCCCCCCTGCTCGCGTGGCTCGGGCTTATGCTCCCGCGAATCAACGTCCATCCTGTCACCGTGGGTCCTTCCGGACGCTGCAAACATACACACAGTCGCTAAGCCGTCTGCACGTGGATCGTAGCGCTAGTGTCATTACCTCCAGCGACAGCACCATCTTCTCTGCTGCCAGACGGACTTCTTTCAGGGCCGCCCTCGGATTCTCGACGGGTCTCATCAGCCAGTGCGGGTCTTTTACCGTCTGCAGACGACGATCGCTGCGGCCTTCTCGAATGGGCCTTGCTTTCCGACGATAGCGCAGATGCATCGCCGAATCTGAAGGAAGACGCCGGATGGGGCGGTGCGAGCGGGCCTCGTGGTGGATGATCGTGGGCTACAGAGAACGCGGGGAGGGGAGGGGAGTTGAGACGGCGGAAGGATGATGGCCCGCTGCCCAGTGCTGCGGAGTTGGTCATATGTGAGTGCGCTGCCGGGCCAGCATGCAGTGAAGGGTCTGTGATGGATCCTCTGCGCTGGTTCTGGAGGAATTCGAGGGGTGCGAGGGGAGCTACGGGCGAATGTCGGGCAGGCACGGTGGGCGAGGCGGAGGGGTTGGACGGGGCGGAGGGAGGGTCGTGCGGAGGAGCGCGAGGCGAGCCCGTGTTGTGCATGGGCCTGGGAGGAGGAGCGGGGAGGGGGTCTACGCGGGAGGTGCTTATACGGACCACTGCAGTGGTTAAGGAAGAGAACACAGACGCGTGGCTGCCATCCCTTCCACGTGGCCAGCGCAACCGTCCGGTTTTGGGTAGATTGTATGATACCGTCCCCTGTCCACCATCCCCCTTGTCCCCTGCGCTCTCTCCCATCCCCGCTCCTTGTCACCCAGCCTCGCTCTGCACCCTTGTCCTCCCCCGCAATTTAAGCCCGCATACAACAATCCGCATAATCCTAATCTCCTATCGATCGTACGCTGCCGCCGGCGAGCCGCCTCGTTCACTCTTATATAGTGTCTCATTGTATCATACACTCTGCAGCGTATGTAGCGAGTGAGAGCGGGGTGCCCGGCCGTAGCCACGCTTGTTCGACTTCCATGCGATGCTGCCCGCTATTTCGCTCCGAATCGGCCTGCCACCGTTCTGCATTCTCCGCGAGAAGGCCGAGCCACCCGTCCGGATGCCCAGGGACGCGCCCGTGCAGCACAGCAAACACTGCTCCCGGCGCAGAGCGACTCGATAACGCCCCGAGAATCGCGCTCGATCACTGCGAGATTGCTGGACAAGTACTACTAGTGCTAAGAGCGATCGGTCGTCTCCAACAGAGACACGGCTGCAGACGCATGCGGCGACTCCATTGGCCTGACAAGCCGCCGGGCCTCCCGCGCACCCTTTTGACTCAGCAGTCGTACGCAAGCAGAATACTATGTGAGACGCTCTCCGCCGATCCGACACAACACTACATAGACGTACACGGCCGCTATCGCAGCCCTAAATTACGCAGGGATGCACAGCGCACCGCGCGCAAGCGTCCGTCGGCCAGCCTCGCTCATAGGTATGTGGCGCACGATCTCGTAGGACTTCTGGCTGTTCCGCGTCCGCCGTGTGCCCTCCTTCGCCGCCTCGGACTCCTGCAGTGCCGCCATGTTGGCGTCGTCGATGCCGACCATATACCTCACCCAAGGTCCGTAGTCCATGAACACCGCGGTACGATCCGTCAGCGCACGCACAGGAATCTGCAGCTCTTCAAGGCCAGCAATCGTCTGGGCGGCACGCTCTCGTGCCGAAGGGGCGCAGCCCTGGAGATCCGTGGGCAGGAAACACTTGCAGCCAAGTTGATTCTGGCACCTCGCAAGCGCCTCGCGTGCAAATATGACATCCTGGCGGTAAAAGGATTCATTAACAGGCAGCGCTGACGCGGCCGTAGCTGCATCACAGGGCAAGGGCGTATACCCCAGCTCCGTGTCGGCAGTGCGTGGCTCGACCATCATCGTTTCCTGAAAACAGTCAGGAATACCACTGTCTAAGCAAGCAGAGCACATACCGTGAGTAGGTCTTCCCATCGCAGGTGTAGATAACAATCGACGAAAGATAAATTTCTCTGACATTGATCCATGCGCCGCAAGGCATCCGGGGATCCCATTTGAGAGGCTTCGTTACAAGGCAGCTCAGGAAGCGCGTCTGGCGGGGCGACCGATATGTGATTTGGGCAATCCCCTTTACTGCCTTCAGGATGGCCCACGACCCCAAATTGTAGCTGGAGGATGGCGCCTCTCAGATCAGGTGTTCGGACTGTAGGAGGTGTCTTCGACAGCACTTCGTGCTGCTCTGCGTCATCCACTCGTTCATATAGTCGCGAAAGGACACCGCGAGGAACGGGTCGACGTTCCACAACAGACAAACACCGCAAATAGGAAGCCGCAAGCGGGGTCGGACACGGTGTGAACGCGAGTATCTCCTGCAAGGGCAAATCGTTCACTGGTATCAAGGAGACGTCTGCAGCCGTCCACGTGAGCTTTAAACTACAGACGCTAATTTGTTGACACTCGCCGTTACACGTCAAGACCACCGGTCTCCGACAGTCCTTGATGATGTTGATCAATGCGGGCCAGAAACCACTGTCGCCTTCGTATAACACGTCTACCTCCTCAACAAGTATAATGGACTGGGAGACCGACGGCTGGGACGGGGAGTTTATTGCGCTGTCCGGTGCTGTCGCGTAATCCCCAAGAACATTGGTGACATTCACTTCTTGCTCCGAGTCCACGCGCCTGAGACGCCTGTGTACCGGACGGTGCGCTTCTCGCATCCCGTCCGCGCCCGCTATTGCATCCCCTTCACGACCACCAACGAACAGCCGCTTCTGCTGGCGCTGGGTCTGCTTCACCAGATGGTTCTTCCCCACGTCGCCGATGAGCTTGTTCAGGGCTGTGCCGCTGCGGTCGCCAATGCCCGGGTACACCTCGAAGACGTCCCACCCCAGCTCCTCCGCACACGCATAGACGGCCGCAGTCTTCCCGCATCCGGACGGGCCGTGCAGGAGAATCGTGTTGTGAATTTGATCGCCGAAACGAGGGGCGGAACAGGAGAAATCAGGGACGGCACCCGCCTCGGGCTCGGTAGATGATTTAATAGGCTCACAGGGTGCCTCATCCGCGGCTTCTCCTGGGGCACGTTGCAGCCGAGAGAGCGTTCGCTGACAGAACGCGACCTCGTCCTCGCTTTCGGCCTCCCCCCAAACGCAATCAGACTCGACCCCGTCGTCCACGAGCCACGCGTCATCCGGTTCCTCCGAGTCTAATCGCTGCCGCTTTCTGCGCTTGTGAATTTGCCTTAGAACTTGCGGTCGCTTGACTCCTCGCGCTTCTTTTCTTGGCTTCGTTCTCTTCTTGGGCTCAGGCTGGCTACCTAAATTTTGAGTCGGGCCCTCCGAAGGTAATGTCTCGACACGTAGTTTGAGGGCGAGTAGCCACGCGCGCAGATAGAGTGCGCGGTCTTCATTTCCGAGCGTCTCGTCGGCACGTCGAGGACGCCACTTATCTGTCCATAGCTCGTGTGACAAAGCAGACTCATTTAGATGGTCTTTTTCCCGAGCCAAAGACAGCTCCACAACACGCCGGATAGCTGGATACGCACGGTGAGACAGGGGGATGTCGTCGAAGCTCGTTCCTAGCAGCGGACTGCCTTGAGGGTCGGTGTCGCAAGATGAGGGTCCAGCCGCGGAGTCAGAGGTGCATGGCATTCGCGTGTCCAGAGAAGGTGGAGCAACAAGCATGGCTTCTGATGTCGGAGTCGAGATCGCAATTGCATTCGGCGAGCCGCTGACGTGTACTGCGCTTGAGGCACAAGGGTCAGTGGACAGGGACATAGGGCCTGCCGTCGGATGATGCTGTGCATCCGGCCGGCGCTTTACTAATTCCGTTGCTGATGGGCGGAAAAGGGTCTGAGGCCCTCGAACGTGCTGTGTGTGACGATCTGGCAGGGGGGCATCGACGAATTTATTGTGGAAGCTCCGCCTTATAGGGCTGATCCTTGTAGCGGGTTTACGTCGAGGTGCGAAAATGGAATAGAAAGCCTTTGGGGATTCATCACTAGCTTTGAGGGGCTTGACAGGACTTGAGTCTATGATGATGGGCTTTTCACGGCTGAGGCCCTCTACTAAGGCATCTTGTCCTGAATGGCTGTCCGTGCAGTCAGTTTGCAGACGCGTGCTTCCTCTATTCACTCCATTCGGGTCAGTAGCCCGAATTCGAAAACTCGAGTGGGCAAGTCCTGTGCGGCCAATTCGGGACCCAGATCGCCACATAGAGAAGTGGGGCACTCACCTGAAGGGGTATCTGAGTCGTCCAGTATGCCTTCGCTCGATAGCATTTCCACATCCGTTGTTCCTGGACTCGCGTCCGAAATCTCGACCAATTCAATATCGCTGGCTTCTGTGCTCTTGGTGTCTCCCTCGGATCTTTGTGATTCCGACGCAGCGGTGGAAGGCGGACTGTTGCCAGCAGCGGCCTTGATAGAAAACAGATCTAGTAATGATCTTTGAGTAGGCTATGAAGATGCGGGTCACATTGCGTGAGAGAGGCGAACCGGCGCGACATGTGAGGTGGGAAGACTGACCACCACCTTCCCCTTCTGACCTTTTCGGGTGCTAGCGCGCTTTCTGAGCTCAGGCATGAGTGTAGAGGCAGTCTGTGGGTAAAATGTACAGGAATTTCCGTGGTGGGGGAGGAAGAAACGCGAGGTGGCTGAAAGCGGTGGACGCGGTTGAAGACGCGACGCGCCTATCGAATCGACGCGTTGTGGCAACCCGATCATGTCCACGTGTTTGCCGAGATCCCGATCTGAGCCTTTCGATCAAACTGCGACCAGCAGTGCTTGTGTCGAGTTTACCCACCGAGTCGTTCACATCGAGCCATATGGCTGATGACACGTCCACATGCACTCCCGGACTTCTGGTAAATCATAAGCATACTCTGAAATGGATATCTGAGGAGTATCACGGTAAGCTCTGTGTGGTTGCGGTCTCACAGGGCAAGGAAAGAGTTCATGTTTAGATCTCAATGGCTCCCACTACCAGATACTGGACGCATCGCCAACACCTCTTGAGTTCTCGCGGATCGTCCACATTGGACGACCTGCTCTCATACGGAGTAAGGCTTGGTCCATAAGTACCTCTCGCATCATAATATGGTGATCTACAGGTAGCGAAATCCCCGAGGGGATGTCTCGTTGGACAGACCGCTACCTCATTGAGCGTATGGGAGAGAGAAAAATCTCAATTGCGGTCACTCCCACGGGGTGAGATGTCTACTACGTGCTACTTCTGCAGAAGCTGATGACAAATGACTATGACCCGCCTTAGGCGGGCAGATGCCATAACTCAAGGACCTGATGGTCGTCTATTCTTCGCCGAGCCTCACGTGGAGACAATGACTATGGGCCGCTTTCTGGAAATGTTACACAATGGTCAGACACGTGGACTTACTTACCCTCTCACGTTGAGAAGTGAAATTCGCACTGACAAAGCCAACAGCTGATGGCGAAGTGCATTATCTCCAATCGCAGAATGGGAATTTGTATACCGCGCGCTACTACGACTCTGTCGGTGACTCAGACCCCTCAGAATTTGAACCATTGCGTGGCGACGTGCCATCGGAAGTACCGTGGTGCAGCGAAGCACTCGGTAAGTAGCGTTGAGCTTGTTTGACGCGAGCGCTCTATCCGACATCTTGATGCCCAGACCGGTCACCGGATGCTGTTAACCTGTGGATAGGCAACAGTGCAAGTGTCACTAGTATTCACAGTGGTAAGGCAGAATGCCAAATCACACTAGTTTGATTTTGACGTCGTTGCAGACCCTTACGAGAACATCTATTCGGTAGTGCGCGGCAAAAAGCACTTCACTCTGTTACCACCGACAGAAGGATGGCGCCTGCAGGGTTCGTTCAGTAGAAGTCATTGATTCATGTAGACCGCACTAATCATGCCGATGACAGAACGAATGTATCCTCATGCAGCATACTCTCGCTCCACAGTCACATCCCAGCTCGAGCTGGTACCATCTCCCGAAACACCTCCAGTTCGCTGGTCTTCGGTGATTGACCCAACTATACCTGACAGCCTCCCACCAGAAGCACACCCAATCCACATCACGGTGCAGGCGGGTGAGACATTGTATCTCCCTGCAGGCTGGTGGCACTACGTTCGACAATCGGACATCACGATAGCCCTCAACTTCTGGTACGATATGGAGGGTCAGGGAATGTCTTGGGTTTGGCTCAATTTCCTGCGGGGTTTACGAGAACCGCCGCCCGGCAATGTGTCCGGCGAGTCACAGGAATTGTAATGTATGTCATCGTAACGCGGGCGAGCTTTTACCACACCCGTACCCTACACGTGCATCCGATACTGCGCCTTTGCTGATGTATTTGTCAAATCTCTGTACGTCTCCGCCGCCCATGAATCATAATCACTGATTGATTGCATAGGTGATCAATTCACTGCGTACCCGGGATCTGTCTATAGATATACCTGCAGAGTAAGTACCAAGTCTTGTCCACGTACAGATGAAGTGCCATGCTGAACTCCGCCACCCGAACCCCGCTCAGAATTTGCCGAAAGCGAGAGCATTTAAAACTTACCATAGTACGAGTACAGAGTTTTTCCTGAACTGTAGTAAACTGTAAATGTCAAACGCTACGTGACCCATCACGGCCTTCGTTGCAAAAGGATGTCTAATTGTCCACATATCAAGATGATGGTCCGGTTGATAACCAACACACAAGTACTGTCAACGGCCCCCAGGATGGCTGTCAATTGCGTCCACGATATTGGACAGGCCGTCAATTAGGTATGCCCTGAATTCGCATCAACATAAAGGGATGTTCCGTCGCGGTACTCAATAGAGCACCATGATTTCGGTTGCCAGCTGCTACCACAACCTGTCAAGAGCCATTAACACAGAGAAATGGAAGCCGTTCGACCCTGCGAGTATTTGTCATGGGTAGCTTCCCTGTCGAGAAGGTTTTACACTGTCGCTTCTGCTTCGGCGAGAACGCCTTATCCGGCATTGTTATTGAGTCGATCGGAACATGAAATGCACCCGTGTGCCGCGAAGTGATGTCGCAAGGCGGTCAGATGTGGAGAAGGCCGACGGTTTGACAGCCTTCGTGAAAGTGCTGATCAGATTACCCACTCAGGACCCAAAGATGAAATGTATAAACACTACGGGTCTCCGCTTGAAAATGGTGTTATAAGGAATACACCCGTAATGCCGCTCGATGCGGGGCTGCCGTAGACAAATAGACGTAGCGACGGACATCCTGCGAACACTGCCTTCATTTCTATGCTAAGACAATCCTTAATGCCAGTTTCTACAAATCAGCGGAAAGATTACATATGACTCCGGCTCACGTACGGTTGAGATACCAGATGGCAGGCCACTACTTCCACACCCAGATCTGTGTTTCTAAACTAAAGCGTGATTAGTTCCCCGAGGCTGCTACCGCGGCCATAAGGTTCAGGTCTAAGCGCCAGATCGACCGATCATCCACGTGATGGAAGTAAGTTCACAGAATGCTAAATCAAAAAGTGTTCTCCTTACCACTTGACATTGCCTATACGTCCAAAAACAGCATCATGGTCAAAGACAAGTCAGAGAAGAGGGATAAGAAGAAAGTCAAAGAGGTAACTGAAACCGTCACCGAGGTCCCGGAGGACGTTGAGATGGAGGATACCGATGCTGTCAAGGTGAGCGGCAACGTTGATTATTGGTGTGTTACACTGTGACCTATACTTTGCGTGTAAAGACAGAGAAGAAGGCGAAGAAAGAGAAAGAGGAGATAGTCGTTCCTTTGGAGGACCTTTCCCCAATAGCACATCCACTTGCGCAGAAAAAGCTTGTGAAGAAGCTACACAAAACTATCAAGAAGGGTACGCTATGTCCCGCGTACCGTATCTTGGACTGCTTGACTAAAAACGACGTCCGTGTGCATCCTATGCAGCATCAAAACAGCGGCAGGTCAAGCGAGGTGTGAAGGAGGTCGTAAAGGGCATCCGTAAAGGAGAGAAGGGGTGAGTACAACCGCGACCATGCCCTGCCACTCCACTGAGATCTGCGCCACAGGCTGCTTGTTCTTGCTGGCGATATCACACCCATCGACATCATTTCACATCTCCCTGTCCTAAGCGAAGAGGCAGGAATACCCTACGTGTTTGTGACGTCGAAGGAGGAGCTCGGACACGCAAGCGCGACGAAGCGACCAACAAGTTGCGTCATGGTATGTCCTGACGCGAAGAAGAAGGCGAAGCGGAAAGAGGGGGAGAAGGACGACAAGGAGGACGACTACCGGGAATTGTACGAGGAGTGCTGTCGAGAAGTCGAAAAGCTGGACCAAAAGCTGCTGCTATGATCACGTCTTAGTGTCCGCCTTGCTTTCATGCTACGTGTCTGCCCCCTGCTGTATTCTCTAATTTCATGATATTACTTGTCGTTGTACGACAAACGAATATGAAACGCGCTGCAGCCACGTCACGAGGGTCGTGGCGATCGAACTCAAGACGATCACAGCAAGTCATTGCTTTCTCACGACAACCATACGGCTCTCCACATAAACGTCTGCCGCTGCAGACCTCTCCTGCTCTCTCCCCTCACAGAACGGCCCCGAAGCCTCTCACATTCTCTTGCAATGGCTGCTGGGAAATCCAAGACTGCTACGACCAACGGTGCTGGCAAGAAGCCGAAGGTTAGCACCTCGTCAGGCAATGGCAACGCTGCTCCGAATGGGAAGGCGAGCCCCGTCACTCCCACAGCCGTAGAGGCTATCTCGGAGCAGTTCGATTTCGCTGCGTATGTCACAGGAAAACCCGAGAAGTCTGTCTACGACCAGGAGCAGGAGAAAATCAAGGCACAGATTGATGCGCTCCAGGTCAAAATGGCAAGTAGCTAGATACTGCTCGGATGTAGTAACTCGTCGTCTAATTCGCGTTCTGCTCGCGTTATACCAGTCTGCTGTAAAGGAAAAGCTAGGCTTGACCTCGAAGGGCGACGCCGGGAACGACAAACGCGCTGCCCTGCGCGCCGAGCTGGATAGCCTTCGTGGCCAGCAGTCCAATACCAAGCTGAACAGAAGCAAGGTCTTTGACCAGCTGAAGGCGATCCAGGATGGTGTACAGAAGAAGGTATGATGATGATGCGTTGTACGTCACGGTGATACTCGGCTCAACGCGGGTCCGTCAGGTCAAGGACCTCAATGCAGCGAAGGCCAAGGCACCATACAAGACGGTGGACGATGTCGATGACCGAATTAAGTAAGCTCTCCAATCGCTCGTAGTGTATGTGATCTCACTTCACTTTGCAGGCAGCTTGACAAGCAAGTGGAGTCCGGGAACCTTAAGCTTGGCGATGAGAAGCGAGCACTTGCAGAAATCAGTCAGCTCAGGCGCAGCCGCCGACTTGTAGAGGGTTTCCAAGCCGAGCAGGAGTCGATTGAGGCAGACCGTGCCGCTGCTGACGCGCTTCGCCAGCAGCTCGACGACCCGGAAGCCAAGGCCGTCTCCGAGCGCTACGACGCCATCAAGGCTGAGCTCGACGAGCTCAAGAAAGAGGGTGACGAGGCGTTCGCAAACCGCAGCAAGCTTCTCGACGAGCGGACTGCACTCCAAAACCAGCTTGACACGCTATATAACCGGAAGCGCGAGTCCGCACAGCGGTTCCGCGAGGCGAACGACCGATACTGGAACAAGATGAACGAGGAGCGTGCGAGGCGTGCCGAGCGACAGCGCGCGCAGCGTGTGGCCGATGAGGAGGCGAAGAAGCGTGAACTAGCGGAGCGCCTGCGGGATGAGGCGGAGGTGCCTGCTTTCCAGCTGCAGATTGAGGACTGCCAGACCCTCATCGACCAGTTCTCCGGGCGCAACCCTACGCAAGCACTATCCTCCGCGCTGTCAGAGAAGGCTGATGTCACCGGCGTGCCGAAGCTGGAGATCCGCAAGGTGGAGGCGGATTCCGGCATGGTCGTCCGCAAGAAAAAGGGCGAGGACGACGATAACTACTTCGTCGCAACACCGCGGAAGCAGAAAGGGAAGAAGGGCGGAGCTAAGGCGAGCGGACCATCAGAGGTTAACGGCGCCGACGCGTCTGCTAGCCAGACTCTGCATGTTCCGCTGCCCACGCTCTCCGCACTTCTCTCCCTCTCAATAGCGCCTCCCACCTCTCCCGCCGATGTTCCTCGTGTTATTGAGGACCTAAAAGCGAAGAAGGCATGGTTCGTTTCGAACCAAGCTCGCGTTACTGCCGAAAACAAGGAAAAGGCGGAGGCACGCATCCGACAGCTTACTGGCGCTGGCAAGACGGTGGATGCGCCTGTGGCAGAAGACTTGACACCACCAAACGGAGGCGGAGAGCATCCGGCGGAACCAGTATCAACACCAGCAATTACTGATGTGTCACCTGCGGTCGTGCCCAGTGAGGCGGTTGAGGAGAAATTGGAGAGCGTTGCGGAAGAGCAAAACGGTGATGCAGATGTTGCGGAGTAATATTTTCGGTTGACTAGGATATATTTGTCGTTGTTAATAAGGGTGCAATCTACCCCGCTATTCGCGTACAACCATCCCCGGTGAACTCAAGCGTCCCCCGCGCACACTCGACCAACCCGTAAATCATGGGATACATTGTACGAGTACGACACGTGGATATCTGAGAACAGCGTCACTTGAGGAAACAGGGTGAATACAGCAGACGTTACCGAAGCAATAATTAATGCAAGCCAGAGAAAGCAAGACACCGAATGATAGTATTAGTTGCAGCAGTCTAAGTTAGCGTCCAGGATACCACTACGGCGAGATGAATAGAGCGTAGGAGGATTAAAGTGAGGCTTCGGTTTTGACTGGTTCCGGGGAGTTGTCCGGTTCGCTGCCAGTCGAGGGAGGCGTGCCGGACGCACTACTGATGATGTCATGGGAAAAGGCCGTCGCGTCGAACGCGTTTGCGCCGGATACATAGTCGGGGAACGAGAGTGTGGAAGAGTGGACGGGCATCGAGTCGTCTTGTGATGCGGACGTATCCATGTATGAAAGCGATCCGAACGCGTCGGCACCGAAGGCGCTCGAGGCGTGGTCGAGCGAGCCCGAGCCGAACGTATCCTGTTGCAGCGCGGCGAGCATGCTGGATGTCGTCGGCGTGTGCGTCATCCCGGAGTGGTTGACGTCGGGAGGGTGGCCGAAGCTCTCCTGCCCAGCCATCGGCGAGAGGGAGTAGAATTGTTGTTGCATCACAGGCTCTACAGACGCTGCGACGGAGTTGGTCGATAGAGCAACGCTCCTAAGCACATTCAGAGCGATCCAGTCGCTATAACAACGGATTAGGGCCGCCGTGACATGCGATATTCAAGGACTCACTCCAAGAATAATTTCAGAATCTGGAAGGCACCAAATGCAGGGTCGCTTCGGATCGTCTGCGCGGATCAAGTCCGTCAGACCACTAGTACGCGCGCTTCAATGAAAGGTGTAGTTACCAAATCCCTCATAACCTGACTAGTCACATATCCCCAACGTATCAGAACACTCCGCGAGCTCATTGTAGCGCGCTCATCCAAGCCACCGGAGCGACCGTCGATCAACCGCTCACAGCACTTGTCCGCCCACGACATCACATCTCGTACAGGATCCTGGCTCTTCGGCAGGCTGTCCAGGAGTGTAACGAAGTCGACCTCCAGCAGCTGCACCAGATCCTCGTGACGGCAATTGCAGACCAACGCGGATTGGTTCCGAACACCCTCGAAGTCGATCTTCTGCCACGAGCGGCGCATGTCACTGAGCTGCTTCGGGTTGTTGAGGACTGTTGCCAGGGCTTGCGTGACCTGATAAAGCTCGAGGAAGCGCACTGCAGCGCATCAAAATATGAGAATCACGGGACACTATTAGAAGCCAATTCCGACGACTTACAGACAAGGTGCCCAAAACGCGCTCCCAGTTCGACTTTAGGCTCGACGAACGTGTTACCGTATCCCTCGAGGGCCACGAGGAGAATTTTCTCCATTTTGTCGGCGAGCGCGCGCAGGCCAGCCAGAGACTGCTGCGGGATGTGCGAGAGCATCTGCAGTCGGAGAATCTCCAGAATTTCCTGCATGACATCCTCAGCCTCACTTTTCTCACACGTCAGTGCAAAAAGGGACATACATCGTAGACGATAGCATCCGCCTTTGCCATAAGTCCAGCAACAGCAGGCGCGTGTACAACTTCGCGATGACTTCCGTTGAGGTTCGACCAGAAGGTCCGCACGTGCAGTTCAAACTGGTCAAATCGGTAGGATCTGAAGCTCTCTAGTAGAGCATCCAGATGGTCCTGGAACCACCTCCAGACCTCACGCGCAGCCATGCTAGGCGGTGTCGTGGACGTTGCGCCGACCGCCTCCTCGATGGAGGGGAACTGCGGCATTTGCCTTACCGAAAGCGGCGCCGACGGGGACATGAGCGTGATGGACCCGACGTCGGCTTGTGCAGCGTGCGAAGGAACGGTCAATGCTGGTTCAGGCTGCCCTGCATGTCGCCTGATGGATGCCTGAACAGCGTATGTGTTCACGGGCGGCCGCTGCGTTGCCTGTGCAAGCGCGAGAAGGCTGCTAGCCGTCGGCGTCTTCTCGTCCTGGAAGAGCGCGGGGTTCTTCACCGTGCCATTGCTCAAATTCAGCGAGTTCCGCTTCGAGACGTTCCCGGAGCTCGCGCCGCCCTCCGACTCGTCCTCGTCCTCGTCATCTGAGCCGCCTCTGTTCGAAGCCTCCGCCTGCTCGCTCGCCATCCGCGCCGCATTGACCGACTGCTGCGCAGCGCTGTTGTTTGATTTGCGAATGTAGTCCTGCAAGAACTCGGCCTCTGCCGAGGTCGCAGGACGGATGCCGCAATCTGCCATAAATAGCGTCCATCACTGTCTTGACGGAATCATGATCGAATGCGGACGTACAATGATATTTACTGTTCCCTCGGACGCCGAGACGTCTTGTCTTGATAGTGGGGAAACATAGCCTGATGGCCTTCCCAAGAGTGGCGGTGTTGATATGCGGTATACCGTACTGGTCGCAGACTCGACGATATGAGAAATAGAGCCCCTGGCGGGGGACATTGCCATCGGGGTACGGAGAATAGTTAGCGGTCAACCTAGAGTGACAAGTCAGGGTCCCCTGGCAGACAAAACACATCAGCATCTGAAGCACGTACCAGGCCTGGACAAAAATCTGCTTCGCCCGATCGGAGGCACTGGTGGTTGTGGCGGCGCGGACGTTCGCTGCGAGCTTTTCGAGCGCGTGGTCCGGGCTCAGCGACATCCGTCCAAAGGCTCCCGTAGTATGCATCGTCTCAGGGCTATGTCCCAGTAGGTGTTGCCCGCCGAACATGTGAGGGTACTCGGGGACAGACGAGCCGAGGTACAGAGAGATGTCTTCGGTCTCGCTGGACGAGGAGTGGACGCTCTCGCAGTCGCGGGGGTATGGGGACGCGGCGACGCGGGCCCGGATGTGAGTGGGCCGGAGATGGGCTTTGAGCGATGGGTTGGAGAGATTGTGGTTGGGCGGGGAGTCTGCCGGGGTGAGCAGCTCTGAGCTCAAGGAGTAGGCAGAGGAGTGGGAGGCGTCGGAGGTCGTGCGCGTGTGATCGCCAGCAAAGGAGTTGGTGGTATGGAAGGAAGCACGGTAGAGGTCTTCGGACGATGGCGGCATCACAGCCGACGCGCGCAAGATGCCACCCTGGGAAGAGTGGGGACGGGAGCCGGAGGAATTGTGCGAGGAGGTAGAGGAGGCCGAGTTTGAGCGCGAGTGGAGGTGCGAGTTGGGTATGAGGTCGAACGGGACAGATGCAGCCATCAATTGGAGATTTGCCGCGGCCATATGATAAGGAGTGCTAAGCGTAGATGGTGGTAAGGACAGTGAACGCGAGGGGTGCAAATGGGAAGTCGGGCCAGCCGGACAGACGAAGAAGAGACGAGGGCGTATTCAAGTATTCACGGGGCGGGCCAGGAGAAAGAGGAGAGATGGGGGCAGGGATGATGAGTATAGATGGGGCGCCGCCCAGCACCGGCGGAAAAGGAACGGAGGGGAAGACTGCGCGCAGCCCCCGGAGATGCAGATGCAGATGCAGGCAAAGAAAACGAAAGCAAACACGTCGAGCTCAATTCGGATCTGCGAACGAGGGCAGAGGTTGTTGTCGGTGGTCAAGGCAACTGCCCCCCACCGCCTCCCATTTCTCTTCCTGCGGCGTCTATTTCCCTCTTTCGGCCCGCTACCTTACATCTCTACGCCGACTCTACCTCCATGTACATATACCGTCGGAACCGCTTCCGCAGCTTCTTCTCCGCCCCCTTCGCCAGCCGCTGCGCCAGGTCCGTCCACGACGGCACGGTCAGATCCACCAGCCCGTAAGGCGCCCGCTTCGATGCCGTCGCCGTCGCGTTCCGAAGTGATTTCGGGAGATGGCGCAGTGGTATCGGCCACCACGGGGCCTCGTCCGCCCCCGCTCGATGTAATCCCGACACCGGGAACGTCAGGTACTCCAATTTGTATTTTGGCGGATGGTTCTTGTCCGCGGCGTCTAGCTTAGGCAGATAATACTAACATAGCACCGCATGAGCATTCGCCCGACAGATGGTACGGCACAACACACCTGCGCATAGCCAAGGGGTGTCCAAAGTCTGTTGGTTCGCGAGGGGGAATCAGGATGCGAGTGCCATTTGGATGCTCTGCAGGAGCGGTCTGATATATTGCCGAGGCAATGTCCAACAGATTTCGTTCGCTCATTCTCCACCCGAATCGATGGCACGTATCGCGAGCCCGTGATGTTGTAGGCGAAAATGCGGAACGAGGGCAAGTATGGGTTCGGTACCACCGAAGGCGATACGTTGACGACGCCATAATCGTCGTAACTGATGTTCTTTGCCGTCTTGGGCAGGTCTTCGAAGTCCTTCAGCAGCGTCTTGTACAGCCCCTTACGGGACTCGCTGTGCGGGTCGTCCCAATCAACGGAAGCAGATGCTTTCTTGCGTGGGTATTTCTCCAGGTGCTCCGCCTCCAAGAAAAAGAACTACGCGGGACTTCAGTGCCAAACTGACACATCCCGTATGATATCACCTACATGATCCGCATTCATATGCTACAATTCGGTCATCATCAATCCGGCCATCCAGATCAAAGAGGGGACTTACGCCAAACAAGTGCCCCAGTATCGTGTCCTGGAAGCGCAGCGAGAGCTCCGTGTACCGGACGTACTACAATAGCTGTCACTCAGCGGCCTGCTACACGTCTCACCTCGACAGAATACGTACACAGTCAGGGAAGAAGTTGTCCGCCGACGGCGGGACATGACCGCTTAGCCATACCTGTGGATTGCACGCACGCCGCCGTCAGCACTAGATTATGGACCGTGACAGTTGATCCGGACACGGACCTGCATGCCGCGCCGGCGGAACGCCTGCAGCTGCACCTCGAGCCAGTCTAGCTGGAGGTTCCCGGGGTCTTCATGTTCGCCAGGCTCGCACCCTCCCACCGCTGTTGCCACGGCAACACAGGGTCGAGGACATAATCGAACCCAAGATCGAACCCGGTCAAGATTCCAAGATTGCAGTCATGCAAAGCTGTCAGTTTGTTGATCGTGTGAGGCACAGGCACTGACGCCCACCTTTGTTCGAGTCGTAAAAGTACATCGTATTGAGGCTGATTGCGGCGACGGCGTCGGGGATGACCTCGGCAGAGTAATAGCCACCCCGCTGGAAGACCTGGTACGATTCGAAGGGTATGAAGGACCTCCATATACTGCGGTCGCGTAGGATACACAAGCGAGGTTTGCATGCTGCATGCTGGACACAGGAAGTTGATGGAGGACGTACGAGGAGAATTCTGAAGTCACACTGTTTGGGCCTAGACGTAGAGGTTGCTTGCTCTGTCAGTGCCTCACACGCGGTCACGCAAGCCATACCTGGGAGCATAATATTCTTTACACGTTTTGTCAGTTTTCACACAGTGTGCTCAACACGGACCCACTCACGTGTGCTGATGCGGACACAAGGTTATTCACAAGCATGTCAGTACAGCGCTAATACTCAACATCAAAATGGGCACATACGCCACACGTCGTTGTTGCCTGCAGGATATCAACAGTCCATCAAGATATGGGAACTCGATGACGCGTCTACGTACCGATGCAGGGGATAACAGGGATGCCCTTGCTCAAGAATACGTCTTCCATCTTGCGTGCCATCACTCTGTTCAGCATGTATATTTCATCGGTGGTGCGGGGGTTCTTGCGATCATTGTCATGTCTAGAATTCGCTATATGAACACCGCTTCCGCTTCATTATACAGCGGAGGCAGTACCTGGCACTGTCGCCCGTCCCTGCATTCTAGCGTTCTGTCTCCATGCCGATTTTCTGAGAAGGCGGGCCACTCACATATCACAAAATCAATCTCCGACGTCCATTCTTTGTCCAAGAAATTGAGAGTAAGGTTGGTTAGGGTGAATGGCGAATCGCAGTCGCTGTATCGGCTAGTTCAGTACGCGCTGCATGGGATAGAGCTCCTGTGACTGCTGCTCGCACTGCAATGAAAACGATGGACGTGCACTAAAAGAATGAGGCACCAAGTGTGTTGCGAACACCTTGATCCCTACGGCATCGTCACGCGACACCGCAGGCGGATCGTTAACACTGCCCGCAGGTCTGCTTTGAAGTGACATGCACGACGGGGGCCCTGCTGTTCGTCCAATGAAGCATACACTTGCATCTCGAATCCATCACATGCTTGTTATGAGATGGACCTATTGAGTTCGGGATGGACAGCCACAAGTAGTGACCTCGCCGTGTCAATAGAGTGCATCTGCAGTGATCTAGGTCAAGGCTCCGAGCTCGAGGCTCGAGGTTCCTCGAACTCTATAAGCTGCTTCGAGCCCCTCTCCGGAAGGCAAGAGTCAGAATACAATCTGATCACTCGAACCGATTCCTCGAAGTGAAGATTCGTCCGCTCCGACCCAAAGCTTCACCTAGGTCTTTGCAGATGCACTCTGGTACCCACGTTCGCGCATGGCACACCGACGTTCACCGGGACGGCCCTGTTACACAGCCATCCATCCATTGACACTTCCCGTGATCACCGAACCACAGCAGCACGGACGAGGTTGGGCGAGATGCCAGGCCGGTGCCGCACACGCAGCGCAGGAGCACAGGAACAAGATGAATGAGACGAACCTATACGGCATGCCATAGTATCCCGACCGCGGCTGGGCGTTCTTAGGCTTCTTCCTATGACACGCCGACTTCTCCGACGCGTCCAGCTTGTAGTGTGGATCAGGATGCATATCCGTAATGTGCAGGAAACGGCCCTGCAGCTTGCGCGCCGGACCTGACGACCGCGGACGCGATCAGCCTCGACCACACATCCTGATCACACGAGCACGTACGGGTATCTGCCACCGCCAACGGTAGCTGCGCCGGGACTGCCAGGGCATCTGGAACGACGCTGAGGAGCAGGACGAGGACGAGACGGGGCGCGAACATGATGTGTGTCGGTGCAGAGACGAGCCGCGCGGAGGCCAACCTTGGCTGTATGCGCCTCAGGGAGGAGGTCAGACAAGCAGGTGCATAGTGGAGCGCGCTGCGACAGGCATATGCACTGTGCTCCTCGCACGTTCGTCGGATTACAGAGGGCTGCTCAGACAAGGAGGCGGCCCTTCCATCTGGTCGAGTCGGCCTTTGCCGAACACAGTGAGAACCCCTCCAGTCTCAATGGCTGGTCCCATGACTTCCCGCCAACACATTCACGCTTATGCAGGTCGGAGACACAAGTATAAACAGGATTCCTATTGTATGTGCAATAATGGTACACAATACACAATTTTCATATGACCGGTTGTTGTACAAATTATACATGGCGAGATGATCTACGCGCGTTGAGGGTGAGGCATGTTACAAATGCATGGCAGAGCAAAGTCAGGGCGAGCGACGAGCAGGAGCAATAAGTTAATCATATCCATGGCTCCTAGGCGAGTCACTTGATCCTGATCGAACGTGTCGGGGACGCGCCCATGCTGGGAGACATGGCGCCGCGACGCGAAGTGTCGTGGAGGTCGAGAAGATAACATGCGTTGTCATTCTCGTTGAGAATCTTGGTGATGGACTTCTCGACCAGGTGACACGTCTGATGAAGACAGACAACGTAAGTTTGGGCGGCATAGAAGCAGCCTATAACGCTCACGAACCCTACTATAGCCACCACGTTCCAAAGGTGACCGCGCCTTCGCGATGGTATTGTGTATGGTGTCGTACGCATACCTCCGGCTACGGAGTCACGATGAGAAACGTTTCTCGGAACACGGAAGAAGTACAAGAAAGCTCACAGGATACTCTCCAGTTCGCTTCTCGAACGAGGCAGAAGATATAGGTCCGAACCGCTGAGGTAACGCTTGAATGCCTCGTATGTGGCGCAACCCGCAATCAGGGTCTCATCGAGGGAGGGATGATCAGCATCCCAGCTGAACCAATTTTCGCTATATGCAGGGTGAAAACCTGAGTCATAGTGAAAGCAAAGGATGAACATACGTCAAATGGTTGTGGGCAATGGCCTCGGGGCTCTGAGGAGAGAGAAAGCGATCCATTGGCTGTATTGGTATGCCGAAGAGATAAGATGGTGGTTGACAAGAGGCCGCAAGAGGCAGGAGTACGCTTGTGCAGAGAGGTGGTTCTGGGGAAGTCCGATGAGGGCGAGAGAGGATGACGGAGGGCTATAAAGAGCGGCGCTGCGTCTGCTGATAAATATGATAGGCAAGGGAAGAGCCAGCAAAGCTTATTTTCCCGCGGGAGCAAAGGGGATATGAACAAACGTGAGCGGTCGAGTGGCCAAACCACAGCGGGGAGTGGCAGGTATAAGTAAGCCCGTCAATCTCAGATCGCACGTGCGTGCGGACAATCGCGATTCGCAAAGCCAGTCGGACGACTCTCCGCGGCGCGCCATCATTTTCCCTGATGACTCGTCCGTTCGTCTATTTTCCTGTTCTCCATTTCGCTCCAGCTCCAGGTATTTGGATATCCGGATTTGTGATACGTTCTTGCGCAGCTGTTGGTCGAGTGCGCTTGTGCGACGCTGTATTCCGCGGCGTCAGACGTGAGCTCACTGACGTCCTTTGGGGCGTCTGCGACGATGTTGCGGGGTAATGCGATCGAAGGGAACCCATTGAGTTGAGACACACAACTGTCCCATACAGAAGCGCAATATTGGGACCGCCGACGCCTGACACAGGCGTATCGCGGGGGACCCCTATACAGACTTTGTATCTACATCTGCAGCGAGTCAGCATGCGAACGTTCCCCGCAGCGCCGATCAGCGACCACCAGCTGGGACGGTGTGCTTGTGGGAAACTACAGTAAGCTGCGGTGTTAACTGCCTCCGCAGGATCGGGCGCGCTTCTAACGGCGCATTAGCCACATTCAGTGAAGCCAGCCGGACGCTCTCGTATGTCTATCAGGCGCCCCGTGCCTGCCCACGGTGCTCTCACATCCACACACGGAGTTCCGACTTCTGCTCTCTGCTGCTTCGATCTCCCCCACTTACTTGGGGTAGATCTCCGCCTCTGCTCTTCACCCGCGAGTCTTAGACTGTCCAATCTCTGGGGTGTACGGATGCCAAACACAGCTCGGGGGCGCACTTGGCCGCACGACTTATCCGGTAGTCACCGGTGTCACTTCCAAGAGCGGCGTATATACTTCCCGCCGTCTCAATACCCAAGACGCCGAGTCCCGAACAGCAACGCTTCTCTGTGCTTATGCGATCCCTGAGCCAAGCCTTGGCGATGCATAACCGAGTTGTTGTATCCCTACGCATCGTTTTGGCTGCCAACATCCGACACTGCTTCGAGATATGCAGGTTTCACCTGTTAACTGAGCTTCTGCCAAGGGCTCGTCGCCCACGCCTGCCGACTTGTCTCATCTACCTTCTGCTTGCGCACACGATCTAGGCGGAGCTAGGCGACATCCGATCGCTGAGCATCTTCACCGTCACAATCCAGCACAACCTGTTCCGAAATCAGTACCGCTCACTGCCATCTCGAGGGGGCGGAGCGCTCATTCGCAGCGTGTACGAGTCAGCCGGTAAGCGCACCTCGCATAACTTTGAGTTCATTCCGCGTCCGCAGACGCATGACTCTATAGGCCTCGCCAGGGTGGACCTAGCCCTGTCCTATGCATTGAGTTCCGGGGTTCAACTGACAGACTGCGGCATTCTGGCATCAGTAACTCCCTCGGATGGCACATTCATTGAACAATCACCGCTCTGAACAGCTATGCGATGTATTTCAGAATCTTCGAGCTTGAACGCGGTCCCAGTGTCCGTCAGCGGTGCGTCGTACTGTGATGCAGTAGTTTAGCTTCGCTGCGTATTATCTCAATGCTGCTGGTGGTCCACGGCGACTAGGGCGCGTCCATGTATCAGTCCGCCAGCACCCCGAGGCAGCACTGATGCATAGTGTGCAATTAGTTGTTGGTAATCGAGGTGAGGGAAACCACATCCATGTACATGAAGGCAACGTAGATGCTCGAACATACTCTTATCGTGCAAGCGCTTGTCAGGTGACGAGCGTACGGCACTGCTGCGATTGACGCCTCCTGTTATATATCTACCCCAGGTACATTCGCCAGACGCGCGGCTTGTCGTAAGATGTTCTCATCGGACGTTGGGATTGCATCCTTCCCTGAACTCCCGTTAATCCATTTGGCGAATCGTGAGTACGGAGTGATCGCGTACGTTTCTATGTCTTTGAGAACCGATAACTTATCTACTGTAAGATGGTGTCATTTACAAGTGAATGCGATTGGCGTCATTGCGTCTTCGTTGACCGACGACCGCCACTAACAAGGTAAGGTGAGTCTGCATGTAAACCCTCTGCCCTGGATGCGAGTCTAGTCAAAAACAATCTCACGTATACACTCATTTTCAGCAGCTTGTCTTCGTGGCGCGCTGACTACCACCAGCTGTGCCTCTGGGATCATTAAACGCGTCACGATGTTTCACAACATCACTCACCTGAAGGTCACTTTTGGTCAGGTTTCGATGTCCGCTCGGCTAGCTCCGGTGTCTCTCAACTGAATACGGCCGCGGTAATAGCACCTCTGAGTGCAGAAGATGTTTACACGAGCCGCAAGGGTGCGTGACACAAGATCTACCTGGGCGTGAGAGGTGATGCAGCAGCGCGGACTTAACATGCAGCTTTTGACACTAGTTGAATCTCTCCTTAGTACGTTCTCGACTGTTTACATTTTCTTGTCCATTTCTTACTGATGACGATGCCAGATCCCCCGCAGGTGTATCTCCAAAGAAGTGCGGCATCGCTTACTCAAGTAATGTCTCACGTCGTAGTTAGCGGTAAGGGCTGCGTTATCAAGATCACTGTCGCAGCTGTGCCTTTCCCTTCGTGCTTCTGATCCAAGTCCTCCACGAGCGTTCATGGACGCGTCGGTTTGTGTGTGTTGGCATCGGTGTTTCCCTTGAATTGTCCCGGACACAAAAGCGATCGAAATAAATCCGCAGCGGATGGGCTCTCCCTGACCCCGTGGACTGTGGAGGCAACCGCAGCAATGGATGGCACTATACGCACTGTTCGTCCCACCTGAGGCGCTGCGCGTAGTCTCCGGGCACCTGCCCAGTACTCGGCGAGCTCCCGCTCGTTCAGTGTGAGTGTAGGCGATGATCACAGCGTACTGCTCGTGCTACTCGGTGATATAGAAGAAAGGGTGTGTGGCGCACAGGCGCGGCCTGGCATGATGTGCACGGTCGCCGCGCAAGTGTGGCACACTCTAGCATGAATGCCGTGGACTCACTGGCAGGTAGGCGGCTGTGTTACATGATCTGGGCTGTTGAGTGCTACATTCGAGAGTTTCTCAACTGGCCTTCGACAACCATCATCATGAGGAGCATTTTGAAAGCACTCAGCGTCGAGAAGGACTGCAAGGTCGCTGTTCTCCTGTATGAGTGGGATTTCCAGAATAGTCTCCGAGGAGCAGCTTCATTGGGCTATCGTGGTGATGACCGAGGACGTCGAGAAAGGGAAGGATCTCCCGTGCTTCCAGGTCTACGACCGTATCTATGATGACGCTGGAGGCAAGTGGTGGTATCTGTTCAGCCAGAACGTTTTGCTGGGAGAAACACACAGATGTCTTGGTGGGGCTTACGTCGGGACAGTGAAGGAATGCCAGGTGGGGTCGTTGAAGGAGGTATAATGCGCATTCCTTGATTTTGCAAACAGATGGGTATGTTGACAATCACGCAGGTTATTTCCAGCAACCCCGGTGGCGAGTGTCATGACTCGGTTACAATTGAATCACTTCCATTACCCTCACCGTGATGGAGATCATTCAATTGTTCACTGATTGGAAATACTTATTTCCAACTGAGCGGCACTGCTTCCATCGCTCCGGCTCGCGAGCGTGGCTACGAAGACCTGCCACGCTGAGAGGGTCACTACACTTCCAACCATTAAAGTTGTCCAGCTGAGAAACACTCTGGTGTGTGTTCATATATCTAATGCCACTGGCACACATGGCGTCTAACTAGTACTAGGTGTCCCAAAGTCACGGGCACATTCTGACAAACTTCATTGCAGTATAAATAGAGAAGATTGAAGATTGATCTTCTCCCCGAAGTGAATATATGCTTCCTGAAATGATTTATATCTACTGAATATAAACTTTTGGTGTGTACCATGAATTGGGTGTAGAAAGCATGCATCTCATAGATTATACATATGGCGAGAGCGATGAAACCTGAGAACGCGCCAACCATGCTGCGGGACAATTCCCGGTCCACAAGCCGGTCTTTCTCAGTCTTCCGGAATGAAACTGAGCACACCTCGTAGTCAAGCTCCATAAGGTCTCTCCTCTCGGCCTGGCATCGGGAGGTACATAGCCTTGACAAGCTCCCAACGCTCCGGATACCATCCGGGTTCCTCCCAATTATTAACCGCCACAATCGTGCTCCTCTATACAATGATTTTGCGCCATGCAAGATCTCCGTGGGTGAATGTAATAGTATGGCCGGTGCGCATGCAAGAACAGGTGTCCGCAATCGTATCCTCACATATAAATGCCTCTGCAGCGTCGATGAGACAGTCATTGAATGCGCTTTCATTAGGAAAGGGTCCGACTGGTTGTGAAGACATGCAGCTGTCTGTAAAAGCTGTGTTATTCAAGCCACACACCGCTGGTCCATGGGGACTTGAGAGCACGAAGCTGGAGAACGAAGGAGCGCAGTTGTTCGAAAATGTTTGCTCGGTATTCGAATGTAGACGTATACGCTGAGAACTGCTGCGAGCAAGTTCATAGTAGCACTAGCGCGGAGAAACGATTGAGCTGCGAACGTCGAAATGGTCGGAGTACTATGTAATGTACGGCTATGATGTTCCCAACGCTCACCGCAGGCGTATGTACTTTCCACCGTCTCAATAGTCAAGACACCGGGTCCCGAACAGCAACAGACAGCAACACTTTTCTGTGCTGATGCGATCCCTAAGCCAAGCCTTGGCGATGTGTAGTCGAGCTGTGGACAGTTGTATCACCACACAAGATGGGCAACGTCATGGCCGCCAGCACCCGACACTGCTTCCAGATATGCAGACTCTGTCTCCGTTGGTTGAGCCTTTGACAGGGGCTCGTCGCCCAACTCCCGACTTGTCTCATCCACTCTGTGCTTGCGCACACGGTCTATTTGGAGCTAGGCAACGTCCTATTGCTGAGCATCTTCACCACCACGAATCAGCACATCCCGTTCCGGAATCCGTACCGCTCTTTGCCATCTCAAGGGGACGGAGCGCGCATTCGCAGCATGCACAAGTCGGCCGGCAGACGTACCTCGCACCAGCTTAAGTTCATTCCGCAGGCGCATGGCCCTATAAGCCTCGCAGGGTGGATCTAGCCCTCATACTATGCAGTTGGTTCTCGGGTTCAACTGACAGGCTGCGGCATTTTGACACGAACAACACTCTTGAATAGCACATTCATCAAATATCCACCGCTCTCAACGGCTATGCAATGTGTTCTAGGCCCGGACGCGGCCCTTATATCCGTCAGCAGTGCACAGTACTGTGATGCAGTGGTCCAGCTTCACTGCATAGTTCGGGCCTTTATACGTTACTGACGGCGCACAGCGACTGAGACGTGTCTACGTATCGGTCCGCCAACACCCGGAGCAGCGCTTGGGTAGAGCGTGCGACCGAGGTTCCTGGTCGTCAGTGTTCAAGTCAATACCAAGAGAACCCACTTTCAAGTATATGAAGGGCAGCGCAGATGCTCAAATATATTGTCGAATATATTGTCGAATCACGCAAGCACTTGTCAGGTAACGTAACCGTACGGCAGTTCGATTGACGCCTCCTGCAATGAATCTGCCCCAGGTATGTTCGCCGGACGTGCGGTATGTCGTGAGATGCTCTCATCAGTCGTTGGGGTTTGCACCACTCGCTGGATCCCCTTTGACGCCTCTGGCCGAATTGTGGGCACGGGGTAATTGCGTACGTCTCTGGGCCTTTGGGGACAGTTCTTTTCTACTGTAAAACAGCGCCAGTTGCAGGTGAGCGCAATCGGCGCGTTCGTTGACAGAAGACGGCCATTGACAAGGAGAAGGCGAGTCTGCATGTACACCCTCTGCCCTGGGAATGAATCTGACAGAAAATCGCCATGCGATATTCATAAATGCGGATCTAGCGTCAGTAAAGCGACAGAAAGCTGTCCTGCTGCTTGCATATATATCTACCTGGGCTCCACTCATACTGCGCGATATGACCTCGCGCAGAGCATATGAGTCAAGTGTGTCTTTCCGTGCACCACCGCAGGTGCAGACCATTGCGTACCCCTTTGTCTCTTTTATCGAGCTATAATGCAGAAGCCGCGCAGGAGAATGGAACCCACGAAGATTGAGTGGACGCCTTCTGGACTTCCATGAAGAATTGCCATCGTCGGACATGAATGTGGTATCCGTGCGCCCTGAATGTCCGGATTCCAGACACATATCAGCAGGTGGATGGGTTGGTGGGTGCAGGAACCGCACATTTGAGCTTCAAGCGCGAATTATGGCTCGGTCATGAAGACGACATGTGCTCGCGATTCGCGAAGTAGTTCTTTGACAGACTATCTCAGTCGCCGTCCGGTGTGTGTACATCGCCTCCGGAGCGAAGCGGTCGTGAATGTATAGGCTCGGAGTGTCTATCGCAGACCGTGGCCTCCACGTTGACCTCACGCGACTTTATGCAGGTATTGCAGCATGTGCGGTCACAATGGGCAGAAGTGACGGCATTTTACGCGGTGTGCATGCACGTTTCGTCGGTCCTACCAAGCAGACCCGAGGTACGTTCGTCACGGGTCAGCCGGGGACTGCGCCGTGACAGACTGCTTCGATATCGCACGGGTGCCACGCATTGTCGGAGTACGCCTGCTCATCGGAGTATGCCTGCTCGTCGGCGAAGGCATTGCCAATGGCGGTTTGCGCGCGTGATGCGGCGTATCAGGCCCATCTTAACGGGCATATGGTCGCGCCAGAATGAGGGAAGGAATGCGGGGGCAGCGATGCCGTGCGCGGAGAAGCGCGGGCGGGTCCCGCCTGGGTGCGTCGATCGCCCTGCGCAGTATCTTCGAAGCCCCGAAACGTTGTCTGTTCGTGCAACTGCTGTGCAGCCGCGGAGGTCACGCTTCTCGACGGGCGTGTGGAGGTCACGCCGGCGCGATAGAAAGGTGCTTATTATTCGAGCAAACCGTGTATACAACGTGTGTGAGCGGCTGAGTCTATCATGTCGCACTCGGTCCGCGGATATCGAGCGCCGCGAATGCACTCGAAGAGAGAGGGTTGAAGTATCCGCTATCCAGGGACGTGAAAGGGCTAGATGGTGGGGTGGGAAGCAGAAAAACGGTGCCCAGAGGCTTGAGATATTGATGCTATCTGCCTTTGTACGGGACAACGTTGAAGCTCAGAACGGATGCAATGCAGGCCAGCCAATGGGGGCCCATTCCAAGGCACAATAGGTGGGGCGCCTTGCCGTGTTTGGGTTAGAGTTTGATCCGAACCCGGCGATGGCAGAGATTGCGGGCGCTTCTTAGCCACGAATTTCCTGCTTTACCGAGTCAAGTTGCCTCGAGGCCGTTGCTTTGGCTTCGGGTGGTGCCATCACTTTGGCGGCTCGAAATCTCACAGAACGCGTGCTTCGAAGAGAAAAATTGAAAAGCATGGGACAATATGTATAATGGACGACCCGCGTCCTCCGTCCTCCCACCCACCATCCATCCGGGCCCGCGGCTTCAGCTGGCTATACCAGCTGTTGTCGTCTGTAGACTTCTCGTTTGGACGAACGGTTGAACAGGAGCCTCAGGAACGCGCATCAAAGCAACACAAACGCACCACGCACCATCACCCGCCACAAGGGCCTACGCCACGCACGCTTTGACTTGCTTAGAACCCCGCGTCCTCGAGCCACCCACGATCTCGATCGCTTACGCCTCCGCCACGATATGAAGCCCTCAAATACCAGGCAGCAGCACGGCAAGCGGGACCAGTCACAATCTCGTTCCGCCAGACGGCCACTTGCCTTCCTTCGTTTCCTGCCCCGCATGCCTTCAGTCTTCAGCATCCTCCGGTTCAGCGTGTACAGTGAGTCTGCCCCCGTCACACCTCCTCGATACCGCCGCTGACTTGCTCCGCCCCAGGCGCTGTCCTGGCATGGACTGTTATCTGCTTGGCAATTGCGGCCCATTTTCAGAGCATTTTGATATCGTCGGACCTCAGTGAGTTGATGTGGCCCGTGCATACCCAACTGTGGCCTGATGTTCGCCCGCAGCTCATTTTGTCCCATTCGCGATCTTCGTGTGCAGCGCTAGTCTGCTCATCGTCATAGCACTGCTCGGATTCAGTCTCTGGAAGGAGCGGAATCCGATTTCCACACGGGTTGAACTGGGTTGCTTGGGACTTGCTGGAGTCCTGTGGCTTGGTGTGTAAAGTTCGCTCCAATGTGGCCAGTGGCCAATACTGATGATTGCCTGCTCCAGCGCTCTCCGCTTTCATTGCTTCCTCCGACGCGGAGGGAGCAGATGTAGAGTGCTTTTCCTCAGCAGACTCCGACGAGGTGGTCAACGTCTCCGGGTGTGAGTAGTCTTGCCTGTCTTAGCGCCGCCACACAACTGACATCTCTATAGTCAACACGGAGATCTACCAAGCGCAGTATCGCGTCCTCGAAGCATTCTCTTTCTTCAACGTTATTCTTAGTGAGTCGGACTCTCCCAGCATCAGCATCATTTTCTGATAGAGTTGTGCCTGTGCTAGTTTTGGGTTTCTTCCTATTCCTATTGGTTCTTGCCCTGCGCCACCATCGCCAGGGCCAGCGACGAGTCTGGATAACCTCCGTGACTGCCTTCCCATGGTTCGGCAAGTCTGTCAAGCAAATCAGTGGCAAACTGCCTGCGCCTGTGACTCAGCGATCGCGCTCTCGCTCTCGGCCGGCCATGTCGGAGAAGCGCAAGGACTCTCAGCGCACTCAAGACTCTGGCCGCTCAAAGAATGACGACTCCCTCCGCGAGTGGCGCATCGTCGACCTTGTGCGCCCGCTCCCGTACCGCGACGACTCGCAACGCACGAAGGACTCGCAGCGCACGAAGGACTCGTCTCGCACTAATGTGCACAGACAGGACTCGTCGCGCTCGAACGTTCACCGCCAGGACTCGCAGCGCGCACAGGTCAACCGCCAAGACTCTGGGCGGTCACAGGTCCACCGCCAGGACTCTGGACGGCATCAGGTTTACCAGCATGATCCGTCCCGCTCACAGGCGCGCCGCCAGGACTCCGGGCGTGCCCAGCCGCAACGGCAGGACTCCCAGCGCACACGTGGGCGGCTGCCACCAATGGCGGGCGACGGGCCCACCCGCAACGAATCACCGACATACGTGTACTGGCTGCCGCACAAGGAGCCTGACGCGGCACATGTACGGGATACGCGCCCTAGAGACAAGTACCTCAGGGATGCATCACCCCGGCGGTGATGTGGTGATGATTATTTGACGACTACTAGACGGGCATGTACCATCACTCAACGTTCACGCGCAACGTTCACGACGGGGCATGCGTGCCGTGTATTTAACGGGTGTATTATGGGTTAACGTGTAGCAGACATACTATCATGTACAACATTACAGTCTTTGAACACGACATTCATTACGGTTATAGCGGGCGTGATCAAATTTGGGCCATCGATACGTGCACCTGGTGGCCAAACAAGCATTGTCGGATGACAATGGGGCTTTGGCTTTGGCTATGCTCGTGTATGGTGTTTGTGTACGGTGTTTGTGTGCCGTAAGACGCGGTACACGCGGTGTGCACGCGGCGGCGACAATGAGTCATGTGATACGCGTGAACACCATTGTGGGGAGTTGACGTCAAGAACGATCGCGGCCATCGCGTTGAATCACCCGCCCCGCAATCGCGCGCAACTGCAAAGGCACGCCTGCTCGCTCCAGGGTACCCTCTGTCCTGGCTGCGTTGTATTTCTTCTTTACGACCCGCTCACGCCCCCTCACCTGCCCCCCCATACCCGCGCAACGTTCTCGTAGTGCTCTCCACGAACTGTCCCCACTGTGCGTGCAGCCGGCATTGTCTTGACGCGCTCGCGGCTCACCGGTGCTCCCTCAGATGACGCAACTCTTCAAGGAGATGCGCCTGTATGGCTATGGTGACCACAGGCTGATTTTTACTCGAAGAGTTGACGCGCTTACCGCGCGGTATAGTCACTATTTTGCTGCTTTCTGCCGCCGTGCTCGGTATTGCCGCATATTTGGGAAGCATATTCTTGCCCAATCTTCATCGTGCGTATCAGTGCTCGCTGGGTCATCTGAGATTCTCATCTGGCGTTTTCCAGATGATTTTGGGATCTTCTCCCTCATTGTACCATCATTAACGATTCTTGTATTTCTGATATTGTGCGTGCCCACGTGTAGATTCTGGTGCCATTTCTCACATTAAACTCAGGATATCATGGTCTGCTCCGCGCACGGAGGCCATTGTACTATTTATTCTTGGAGTTCTCTGGTTAGGTATGTCCGTGATAATATCGCGCGGACACACATTCATCTATGATCTTCTCTAGCCATGGGCGCGTGGTCTACGTGAGTCTGAACAATTTTCATGCGCGCTCGCAACTGACGGGAGACCTAGCGACATCATCGGAACTACACAATGTGATGCTCTTGGAGATGCACGAATGGCAACGAAGAACGGGACGGGTAAGCGCGTCACCGCTGTACCCTTGGGCATCTGACCCACGTGCGCCTTGTACGCAGTTCTCACCCGCTCGTGGTGTTACGAGATGAAGGTCATCCAGGCGTTCTCGTGGATGATCTTCTGTCTATGTACGTAGGCAAAGCCTCCGTCACACAGACGCCGCGCTGACCTACGCTACAGACGCGATATTCCTATGGATCCTCATTTCGCTGACGAGCCGTGCGCGCGTCATGGGCCTGCCCTATGCCTGGCGTGCGCCCATCTTCGAGCTGCCTTGGTTCGGCGAACTCCCGGGCTGGCCATATCCCGGGCAGTATGCCCCGGTACAGGGCGCCCAGATGGGGGGATACCCCATGGGGGCATACCCTGGCGGTGGGATGCCGTACCCTGCACCGATGATCAATGGCGGCTACGTCGTGCAACAGGCTCCAGGTCACTCGGTCGTTATCCAGCCAGGCCTAGGGGGTGCACCGACGATCACGCAGGTCCCTGGCTCGGTGAGCACTGCTTGATCTCTGGTCCACGCGCGCAGCGGGCAGAATCTGAGCCTGCGCTATGAAATCTAGAATTATTAGCGATAGAGTTGGATAGCTGGATAGCTGGCAGCGCACTACGCGTGGAGGGGAGGGGGACAGCGTTTGTAAGAAGTAAAAAATCAGCCCATCTTCACGCGAAAGCTTCCGCGTGGAATGAAACCCGGAATGAAGCAGAATCCCCCGCGCCGAAACCCTGCGTAGATCAATGGACGCAATACGACTTGGACAAGGCCCAGGGAACAGGTACAATGATTGATGGCGGACATGGTGGTCTCGATTCGAACAACGTGCATCAGGATGATTGTAATGGAGAGCGGGGAACGAGGCTCCGCGAACTATCTAACAGTCTGTATGTACCTCGTAATGCGGTGCCCATCATGCCATGTGTATTACTATATATTCAATTTCCCACCTGGCCTCGTGTTGCGAAACAAGGCAGAAACCTCGAGGCAGAAGACGACAATGTTGTGTTGTGCGCGAGCCGGCCGAGCGGAAACCGCATGCCGGGACTATCGAAAGCGATGGAGGACGTCGCGAATTACATCGCAGAACCCGATTGACCCTCCCGACAGATACCTCGCAGCTCAGTGAAGTACCTCTAACTGATATCTTGACAATGCCGTTGTTCCAAGAGCGCATGGTGCGGTCCATCACATCAGGTATGGATCGTCAAATGTATCGATTGCTTCAGATCTGAGCGGCGTAATATTGGTTTCGTAGCGGCCCTGGCAGCCTTTGCTGCACACGTCCTGTCACAGCTACTTCCTCATTCTATTCGTGAGTGGTCCCGTACCAGAGGATCGTGGAACAAATTTCATAAATCGATCCTTGTTTGCAGATACGTTCAACCTGGTGCAAACGTCCGTGATCGTGCTGGCGCTCGCGTCCTTGTCCTTGCTGTGAGCATCCTCCACTCTAAGTCCGTCTTACGGAGTGGTACTCACCTGGCATGTGCCCGACGGATGCTTGCGCAGTGTCGTCATGCACCATCGACGGAACGGCGGGTTCCTCACGCGGACACAGGAGGAGATGATCCTCATCGGCGCGTTCGGACTCTTCTGGTTCGGTGAGTCGGGCGTTTGGGTATCTGCGGACATAGAACGACGCTGACCGTGCGCGTGACCGACCTCCGTCCTTGCTGATTACAACGGCAAATATGCACACGCGCATTTGGAATTGCCAGCGGTCCTTGTGGCGTGGCGTGCCCGCAGCCAGCGCACGGCGAACCCGGGCGCAGCCGGTGGGGCGGCTCTCGCGAGTGCGACACAGGCTGGACATGGGAGTGCAGGAAGGGCGGTGGGGCACGGGCTTACAGAAGGCAGGAGACCGTACCCCTGCTCCACTGACGCAGTGTACTGTGTCGTGGAGGAGTGGACGTGGTTGTAGGATATTGTGCTAGATTTTAGTGCTAGCTGGCATGGCACAGACGGATATCGGTGTCCCTAGCGTGGGGGCGCAGGCAGAAGATAGTATTATTACAGGGCTTATTATGACCATGCTCGGGAGCCATAAATGAATCGTGTGGGGATACTGAGATGAGGGGCTCGCAAGATCCGAGGCTAGCTTCTCTAAGGCAAACACCATGTCGACAGTGAGAAAGCACGCGAAGGGAGTCAAGTAAGCTTCAAGTGTTGAGCAGATAGCAGTGCTAAGAGACGGATCTGCTATGCCTAGTTTGGGCCTCACGACGAGCAAGACATTCTAATTTGGCAGGAGCGGTTAGCCCCGTTACTTACATCGATACAGTTGGCGCGAGGCTGGACATAGTAGAGCCGACGATAGCGCGGCAGACGATCCCCAGCAAGGTTAGACATGAGAGTGCGAAACGAACAAGCAACTAGCAACACCGTCCGTGAACACGGCCCATGCCCACAAAGGAAAGCCGGAGACTCCGGAGACAGCCCGGAGACCATGGCCTGGTGTACATCACGCCCCGGGGCGATCGACTCGGTCCTCCAGGCGGTCACGGACTGTGGCGGTTGCTCCTTACTTATCCCCCTGCCTATTGCCTCCTCTATCGTCCACATATCTCTTCCGGTCCTGCCCCTCCTCCTCTCCTCTCTACAGCCAGACTATCCCGCCGGCGTTGCTGATCCTTTGTCATGATGAGTACTCGCTGCAGCGAGGTTCCGTCGCGTACTGACAATTGTGGAATATCCACAGCGCCCCAAGCAAGCGTCGCATTGAGACTGATGTTATGAAGCTGTGCGTGGATATTTGGATGTCGCACTTAGGCCGGAGGACTGGATGATATGCTGCTAGGTTGATGTCGGACTACGAGGTGAACCTCGTGAATGATAACATGCAAGAGTTCTACGTGCGTTTCTACGGGCCTACAGAAAGTCAGTGGGCACTCGACATGTCGAGTGTGTCTGCTAGACCACGCATGACTGAACCTTGATTCTCATAGCACCATTTGCGGGAGGCGTCTGGAAGATACACGTCGAGCTACCAGACCAGTACCCATTCAAGTCCCCGAGCATAGGCTTCATGAACAAGATCTTTCACCCCAACATCGATGAGCTGTAAGCATCTAGCACACAGAGTCCGTATTCCCCTGACTCACGCGCGCTCGCAGTAGTGGCTCAGTGTGTCTGGATGTCATCAATCAGACGTGGTCCCCCATGTTCGGTCAGTGCGCATGACATTGTTCCTCTCTCACAGAACCCCCAGCTCGAGGCCGAACAGCGTGTGCTGACGCATGATGCTGTAGACATGATCAACATATTTGAGGTTTTCCTCCCACAACTACTGCGGTACCCGAACCCGAATGATCCGCTGAATGGCGAGGCTGCGGCATTGCTCATGCGCCATCCAAAGGAATATGAAGCCAAAGTCAAGGGTACGTGTGTGTCTTACTGCAGCCACGGATCGTTACATCTCGCCGTTCAGGGAGATGTCACTGATGTCGTTGTGCTTATCAGAGTATGTGCAACGCTTTGCAACGAAGGAGGCTGCCGACGCCGCTATGGACCAGGATGGCGATGGCGACGAAGACGAGGAGATGAGCGACGTTGGCAGCATCAGCGACGACGAGGAAGCTTGAGTGCGGCCCCGTTCATCCTTTTGGCACTGCGGGATTCCTTCGTCGACTGTATGCTCTGTTCACCGTTTTTCTCGATGCATTGTAGTATAACACGGACTCCATCTCACTCCTCGTTGCTTCCAGACGGTTGTACTATAATAACACAAGCTCGCCCCCGTCTCTACCATCTCCATTTCTCGAGCACCTGTATAGCACTTCTCTCGAGTATCACTCCCCTTCATCCCCTCTCCGGAAGAGTCCAATAAATAGACTGCTGTTCTTTCAGGGTTCAGGTGCGAGTTAACCCGTGTAGCTCGAGGGTGAGTGGAGCGTTGAGATTGCGCCGGGAGTACTCTCGGGCAACTGGAATGTAGCACGTCAGCTGCACAAAAGTTATCCCTTGATTATGACGGAGCTGGTGTCGACTCGGCAGTCCCTACGGGTTGCACGAGATCTGTGACTTTCTTTTGTACATCTGTTGCAGTCTGCCGGAAGAAATGTTGAGATGTAAGGAAGGGATCAGGTATGGAGTAAACGTACTCTGATGAGGGCATCAACCTGGGACTGGACACTGTCCATGGTGGCCAGCTTCGCCTTGCCTTCCTTGAGCATCTCTTCTTTCTGCCTCAAGAGCTCCTTCTGCCTCTGATCAAGTCTGGGGGAGTTTGGAGTTAGAACGGCCGCGGACAGGCGAGGCTCGTCGTACCTCTGACGTTCGGCGAGTTCGAAGCTAAGACGGTTCAGCATGAGCTGGTGCTCGTCCGCAAGAACCCCTTCCGTTCGGGCTTCCTCCGGTGCGAGCATGACAAACTCTTCGACCGCATATAGGGGGATGTCCTGGTAGATCGAACTGGCAACATAATGGCGTTAGAGCGCGCGAGACGGGAGGTTATAGTACATAGGGCACTCACGCAAACTGGCGGCACTTCTCAATCTCGCGCTCAAGGTGGCGTTTCTCATAGAGCAGGTTCTGCAGCCCCAGGTACGTCTGGTCCATCTCGTGGCGCGCGTCGGCGGTGGCCTGCTTGTGTGCGCGTGTGGCGGCGTTGGCGGCGCGGTTTAGGGCCTTCAAGCGGGCGAAGAGGGCGCCGGCACGGATGTGGATGGCGGTTGAGTCATCATTGGGGTGGGGGGTGACGAGGTCGCGAAGCTTGTCGATGACGGCGTCGGGAGCGGGCGGGAGGACAGCGTCGTCGAAGGCCATGGGTGCAAGACGGTGGTGGCGTAGGACGGTAGGCCTGGAACAACAGCCCCTTCCGGTGATTGGCCGGGCGATGCTCGGCGGGACGGGCCGGGGCCGGGGTTGCACGGGATTGCATCATAGAACTTGTCATACGCCGGTTGCTCGTTCAGCAAGCGCCTGCCGCGACCCTCTTGTGCAGTCCGAGACTCCGAGTCCTCTCACACCCACCGCGTAAGTGCGTCAGACATACACCCGCGCTCTTTCTTCTCTCATTCCCTCATCTTCCCCGCCAGCAACCACACAAATCCACAGCAATGACAACCCGTCCGCGCGCAATGTCGGGGACTATTCCCTCCATGGAGTCTGCACATGATGAGCTCAAGGAGAACACCACCATCACCGGTGAGCTCGATCGCTATCATAGGCCCGTCTCGACGCTGACGCGGCGCCCTTGCAGTGCTCGGGGCATCTGGGGATCTGGCAAAGAAGAAAGTAAGTGATCGCCTGTCGTCGCAACGGTGTGATCAGCAGCTATCGTACCGTGGTAACACGGTTATCGGTCTGCGCTGAACCTCTGAGTCTGGATAGTCCATGCAGCCCTGAATGTGTATATGTTCGAGCGTGGGCAACGCGCAGCAGCGGCAACGGGCTCTGATCCTGCCTTAACACAAGCGCTTGCTGTCGTATTGATTCATGACGCGTGCTCGAGGAGTGATTGAGTACACGATCGCTCTCGATTGGAAGCATGGAAGCCAGGATTTTTACGTTGGTCTGGGCTAATGCCAGTGCGCAGCTAAGCTGAAGTCTACCATCTACTCAGATCGTCATGTTTTTGATTCAGTGGACTATATGCTCATCATGATCCCGCTTACTGATCGCGGTCTATGCAGACATATCCCGCATTATTTGGGCTTTACCGTATGGGCTTCCTGCCCAAGGGTGTTCACATTGTGGGCTATGCGCGCACGAAGATGGATGCGGCCGAGTACCACAAGCGCATCACATCATATATCAAGAATCCTGATAACGACCCCGAAGTGTCTGCTAAGCTGGAGGAATTCAAGAACCTGTCGACATATATCTCCGGTGGATATGAGGACTCGCCCTCGTTCGCAAACCTCAACAAGAGCCTTGAGAAGATCGAGTCTGGTTACCAAGGCAAGGAGCGCAACCGTGTCTTTTACCTTGCCCTCCCTCCCAGCGTCTTCATCCCCGTCGCACAGCACTTGAAGGAGCAATGCTACGTCACCCCCGATGTTGGCAAGTGCCGCATCATCGTCGAGAAGCCGTTCGGAAAGGACCTCGAGTCCTCGCGCGAACTCTTGAGCTCGCTCAAGCAGCACTGGACTGAGGACGAGACTTTCCGGATTGACCACTACCTCGGCAAGGAGATGGTCAAGAACCTACTCGTACTCCGGTTTGCCAACGTGGCGTTGAACGCTTTCTGGGACAAGAACTCCATTAGTAACGTCCAGATCACGTTCAAGGAGCCGTTCGGTACTGAGGGTCGTGGTGGCTACTTCGACGAATTTGGTATCATCCGTGACATCCTCCAGAACCGTGCGTGCGCTGCCCGCTGCATCCTCGGCGTCGCTGACACGGTCTATCTATAGACTTGCTACAGGTGCTCAGCATCCTCACGATGGAGCGGCCCGTGTCCTTCGCCTCAGAGGACATCCGTGACGAGAAGGTGCGGACTGTGTCCCCATCTTCTCACACGCGCCGCTCACCTGCCTCTGGCACAGGTCAAAGTACTCCGTGCCATCCCTCCCGTCGAGCGCAGCGACACGCTGCTTGGGCAGTACGTCGGTGCCAATGGCAAGCCCGGCTACTTTGACGACGACACCGTCCCGCACAATTCGGTCTGCCCTACATACGCAGCGACGACGCTTTGGATCCACAACCCGCGGTGGGAGGGCGTGCCGTTCATCCTCAAGGCTGGAAAGGGTTTGTCGGATTACTTAGGCTACGTCTGAGACCGATACTGATGTGATTACAGCTCTGAACGAGGCGAAGGTGGAGGTTCGAGTACAATTCAAGGACGTCACCCAGGGCATCTTCAAGGACATCTCGCGTAATGAGCTCGTGATCCGCATCCAGCCGTCCGAGGCGGTCTACCTGAAGCTCAACACGAAGACACCTGGCCTGAACACACGCGCGATCCCGACCGAGATGGACCTCACGTACAAGCGGCGCTTCACCGAGGCGAAGATTCCAGAAGCATACGAATCGCTCATCCTCGACGCATTAAAAGGCGACCACTCGAACTTTGTGCGAGACGACGAACTCGACGTTGCGTGGAAGGTGGGTTAACTACATCCGCTCCGTCGTTCGCATAGATGCAGACGACTGATTATCACCGCATAGATCTTTACCCCCATCCTGCACTGGATAGAAGGTCGGAATGGACCGTCGCCCAAGCCAGTACCCTACCCGTACGGCTCGCGTGGCCCGAAAGAGCTCGACCCCTTCATCACCAAGTACGGTTACAAGCGGACCGTGCCCGACTAGTGAGTCCCCAGCCTTCGCGGCGGCGCTGCACACTCCTAACCCGTCCCCCCCTCTTCTTGTTACTACTCGTAATGTCGCACAGCGAGTGGCCGGTCACGAACGTGGCGATGCTGTGAGCGCAGGTTCCGGAGAAGTAACGTAATGACGCGGGGTCGCTGTAGGATTTCGACAGGACGACAGGCAAGGGAAGCGAAGACAAAGCAGAGCTGTTAATAGATCTTGTTGTATGCGCATTGCTGTATTCAAGCTGTACCGTTCGAAGGCCAAATTTGTTCGGCGCGTGTGAGGGTCCGCGCAGTTGGCGCAACGGGGTACTTGGAATGCTTACTCGAGTGTGCATTGAAGGACGCATGTGGGCGGCGGTTTCGGGACCATCTCAGGCGTGATGAATCTTGCCATCGCGAAGCCTAGACAGATCTAGCGTTGCAGATCACGGTAACCTTCACTGCGATCTTTGCAGATTACACTTGGAGTTCGGAACGAGACAAGGCGAGCACTCTGTAAGTACTCTCGTTACTACGGATGTACTTCGACGCTGTTCTTTTCTGCAACTGAGACAGACCCTTGTTTCAGCCTTCAGATGATCAATTCCCTCGACGGACGCCACACGCGTCAAGCTTAAGTTCGTCTGGCATGGCTGTGTGATCTGTGGTACACCTAAGGTTTATCCATTCCCATTTTTATATCGGCGTCTTACCAGTCGGGTAGGTGCTGCCTCGCGCCGTTGATGGTCAGATGAATTGCTTTCTTCCATTGCAGTTTGCCGGAAACCACCTCCATTCTGCTTTAAGGAGCGATTGTATCATTGTTCTTCGCGCACTGCATTCGCATGTCCTGCCAACCGTTAAAACATCTCTTCAGAAGGTTAGCTAGCACCCTAGCATATTACCCCATGTCCTTCCCACTGGGCCTTAACGGCACAGGAGATGTAGATGCACTCAGGCAGTAAGTAATCCATCGCATCTCTGCATCTGTCGATGTCCCTGAACCTTGCATCGAGCTTGATGATGTCGCAATACCTCTATGTGTCCGCTGCAGGTCTGCTAGCCCATCTCTACCGTCTATCACCGACTAACTCACAAGATGTGGCACTCAGTGTTGTGTGGCTATGACTACCTGGTCACTTTCCAGCACGAAGTACAATATTTTTGGAGCACAGACTTTACGGGCGGCGCAGCCCTATTTTATGTGATCAGATATTGTGCTCTCTTGACTATCATGACAACTGGCTTGAAGTTGTCGCCATGGCCCAGTATCCTGGTGAGTGCACTAGTGGTTTTGAATGGTAGTCATCTGGCGCTCATTGCCGTTAGAGGTAATTTGCGACCTTCTCTACTTTTGAGTTGGTGCTTACAGCAGAATCAAGCTGTGAGGTCATCATCAAGATCGAGATGGCTCTGAACATGATCTTGCTATGCAGTGCGGCGTGTGCGTGAAAACTCGTGTTTTCCCCCTGGTTTGTATATAGGATTTGACTGTCTTTCCGTGGCCAGACTATGCTGCACTCCGCGTATACGCCATCTTCGAGCAGCAGAAAGTGTGGTTCCTTGCCACCCTTGCTATCGGGATGATTAATCCAATCTGCTGTCTGGTGAGTATATTTGAATGCATCTAATAGGATGATTCTTGAACCCTTGATTTTCAGTATATTTTCGTGAGATCATCTTCCAACTATTTCAAGCTTCCTGTTCCAGCAGGAGGATGCAGCGTCACCACGTTCGTTGATAGTACTGGGTATGAGCTACTCATTTTACTGTGAATCGGACCTCCGCTTACGTTCGATGACAGATGTGGGTACTTTTGACACATGGCTGGAGAAGCAGGAAATATGTAACTGTCCTTTCAGACATGATCGGTGGCAGAGCGACCTCAATAGGGCTAGATGGATTGGTGTTTTGCTTCACCTGGTGGAAGACGAGGTCAATCAGGCCTTCCACCATTGTAGCAATTCTAAACAGAGATAGTGAGTGTTGTGAGCTAACGATTGCATTCGAAACACTAACAAACTTTAGGCTCGATCTACTTCGGGTGAGCTTCACGTGAATTTATTGTACTAGCCGAGCTTGACGATTTCTCTCAGTGCTCTCTTCCTCACAAATTTCGTCAGCCTAGTAACATTATGGCATACGTGGAAGGCATGTAGTACTATATTCCTTACCAATTTACTGCTCACTTCAATTCACCTAATAGTTCATCGAACCCGTATCAACTTGGATCGCTGTGTAAGAAATTATCTCACATATGCGCAACACCAACTCACTGTTTTTCAGAATGACTGCAACGTTAACTTCCCATTTCATCCTTGACCTTCGGAAGGTCGCGGCTAGGGAGGATGGGGAGGAGTTCTCAGAGCGCGAAGATATCGCGATGTTGTCATTCAGCGAAGAGACCACAGACTCTTTCCCCAGGACGCCGCCGGCGACGGCAGTCGTGCTTGATGATATCGTTTAATTACGGCGTTCACTTTGGGATATGAGAGATGGAACTAATCAGCTATGAGTCGCGCCGGTCCTAACATGCACGATGCCGCATGCCTCCCCTAACATCTTCCGGGGCGCCCTCAGGAATGCATGGGTTTTAGGCCCAGGAGACTGCGGTGCGGTGCCTATGCGACCGAAAGATTGCAACGCTGGAAGAACGCATCTAACTCTTGACAGTTGATCAAGCTGCGAAATCAATGGGCCTGTGCTACTGTAAGCTATTTTTTCACCCTTCGAAAAGTTCTTGCTCGCTTCCTCATCTTCCAAAAGCACCAGTTTTGAGCCTTTCCGCGTTGCAAGCTTGCGCGGTGAGCCTTATGACTATCGCAGGACGCTCATGGCTCCAACCAAGTACATGCGCCGAGGTGCGGGAACAGCGCCTGTGCGACCAATACATCGACTAAAAGTGCCGCTATCATTACAAGGCGCAGTCAGTGGCACACTCCACAGATTCATTACACAGGCTTTATATGGTCTCGTCAACCTCTAAATGTGATCCATCGCCAGTACTTTGTGGTCTGGTTTTGCTCGCGATATTCGCGATGTTCACGACTGTGGATGGGCGGTCGGGAACAAACACTCTCATCAACGAGTGCTTGGGCTTTGCGCCGGCTAATCGATGCATAGTTGGGCAGCCTGGACAGCTCTTGTCTCTCTGTCAAACAGAGTTAGGCGTGCACTGTCACAGAGTATGAAACACAGGTACATTCACCCTTGACCTGGCGCCCACATCACATTGGCTTCTGGCATCAAATCCACCTCCTGCAACACTGCCTGTGCCGGCCCTGGGTAAGTACTACATACTTCCACGGACATTGACGCTAGCGCCGTCTAAAAGCGGATTCAATTTGCCCCCGCCGCAGCCTGCTCGTGACGGTGGCGGAACAGGAGCAATGGCGTATCGCCCGTATGAGTAACTTCTCCAGGGACGATAGAATTTCCGGGCACGCCCGTCTCTTTGTTCCATACCATTCTCACTAGGCGGTCCCAACAGTACGGAAGATGTTGACGTTGACAATGACAAAGTGAGGCGGTAAGCAGTCTGCGGCCATGTGTCTTCCGGAAAACCTAAGCACGCCCAACCAGTCTGGTGACGTCGCAGTACCTCCATGCATCGACTGCAGGTGTTCGTCGATGTCAATTAACATGTAATTAGCTGATGATCTAGTATTGTGCGGCCATAACTACTTGATCACCTTCCAGCACGAAGTCGAATACTATTGGTGCGCCGGCCGTGGGCGCAGTGCGATCTTGTTCTACATCATCAGATACTGCACCCTTTTGACCATCGTGACAACGGGTCTCAAGTTGCCGCCGTGGCATAATGTCCTAGTGGGTGAGATCTCTGTTCCATTTCAGCATGGCGATCGGGTGTCAACTAGTACAGCCAGAGGTAAGCAAGAGCAATGTCCGTCTCCGTCGGGGTTAACATCCCGGTCTGGCCGTGAGATTATCATCAAGTCCGAGACGGGGCTCAATATGATCCCTTAATGCGGCGTAGCGTGTGTGAGCACTTGCAATTGTGCGATGCGCGAATGAGAGTTCACTTGACATGGTCTAGATGTTGCGGCCGCTGCGCTGAGGACATACGTCATATCTGAGCAACGCAAGGCAGCCTTCGCGCTTACGCTCGTTGTTGGCTTGATTCATCCACTGTTTTGTCTTGTCAGCATTGCGGCCATTGACAGTGTGATGAGGCACCATGAACGGACCTGAGTACATAACCTATGCGTCACTTTTCGAGTTGAAGGTCGTTGTCGTTGAGGAGGGACATCGAGGGCCAACCGTTGCCGCGGCCCGAGCGAGGATATCGCTTAAGTTGTGGCACGGACTGCAGCTGCATCCGCTGTTCTTGTGTGCGGATGGAAAGCACACACCCGCCAAAGCTTATTCGAAGTTAGGAAAAGCTGAACGAGGGTCCTGCTTGATCCCGCAGCGTGAAAAGCACCCACGTGTATCATATACAGCATTGACCTGTGAACATGAGTCGTTGCGAGTTGGATAACCCTTGTTTTTCCTTCGTTAGCAGTCACATATTTTCGCATTGCCTCGCGACTACGCGCAGAGACGCACCCCGTGTCTCTCAGGACAACCATCATCGATTGTTCGTGAAGCTCTCTACCCAAGCCCAAGTAGCGATGGAAATGCGTGAGGGTACAACAGAAAATCGAACGAGCGCTGAAACTCCAGAACACACATAGCTGAGATGTGGGACACATTAGCCGCAATACGGCAGTAGTATGACAATTAAACTCCACCTCCCCCCACTCACTGACCCTCCGCAGACACAAAGTCCGTGTCTTCTCCTAGTCTCCACCATTGCCTACCCTCTATCCACCCTTCCATCCACCCACACCGCGGCCGGCCATGTGCGGCGCGCCCCTCACTCCCTAGGGTGCAGGAGCAGCGCCTGCGCGACGAACACGGCGAGCAGCGTACCGGCGAACGCGTACGGCCCGACGGACGAGAACAGCGCGCGGATCAGCAGACGACGCAGCCACCAGAGAACCACCTGCAGGCGGGACGCGGAGGCGTAAGAACGGGCCCTTGGGAAGCGGAGACAAGCGCGGGTCAAAATTAGGTCTCGTGCGGGGCGCAGAAAACGGGACCGATGTGTATGCGTGTGTGTATGCGTGTGTGTGTGAATGTATGTGCGTATAATGAAAGCGCGCGGGCGCGGGGAGGTGTGTGTGTGTGTGTGTGTGGTGTGCCGTGCACAAAGAAGAGCGACTCACCATTGGCTCTGCAGCTGCTCTATCCAGTGTACGACCAGCCGCAGGCGCAGGCGCGGCGAGCGGATCGGGAGCAACTTCGTGCGTTCTTGCTCGTCGATCGGGAGCAGCTGTGCGCAACCGTGCCCCAACAACAACAATAGCAACAACGAAAAAAAAACAAGAGAGCCGCGTCAGCATCCAGGCCCCCTTTCCGCGCGAGAGCCAGGGAAGAGGGGGAGGGAGAGGGAAGCGAGGGGAGAGGGAGAGGGAAGCGAGGGGAGAGGGAGAGGGAGAGAAAGAAAGACCGCTCACCGCGCCCATCCAAAAGCTGAACGTCGCCAGGTCCTGCGGCATCGGCACGTACGCCGTGCTCAGCTGGTGCACGACCCACGGCGTGCCGTCGCGCAGCTCCCGCAGGAACGCGTGGCACTTGGCCATCAGCTCCGCGTTCGTCGGCAGCGCCGCGGGGTCGCGCCCGCGCCCGCGCACCGCGGCGGGCGCTGCTGATTCTGGCACCGCAGCGGGCGTTGCTGAATCCGGCACCGTGGCGGGCGCTGCTGAATCCGGCACCGCAGCGGGCGCCGCTGAATCCGGCACGGTAGCTGGCGCCGCGACGGGGTCGGGCTGCTCGGCGTCCTCCGGCCAGTCGTCGACGCGCTCGACGCGCGCGACGGCGTACCCGTCGAGGGTGCCGCGCTCGACGATGCGGAAGCGCCACGCGCCCCACGTCTCGACGACGCTGCGCCCGTCGGGCAGCATCTGCACGTTGCGGATCTCGAGCATCGTGCCGTACTCGTGGCCGGTGGTGGCGGTGGTGGTGGCGCGCGGGGGCGGGACCATGCCGAACTGGCGGGGGTTCGCTTGGAGGCAGCGGCGGAGCATGAGACGGTATCTGTGCGTGGGGGTGAGTGAGTGTGGGGAGGGGAGGGGAGATGGAGTGTGTGAGGGGGGAGGGGGGGGGCGCACCTCGGTTCGAAGATGTGGAGGATGGTGGGCATGCCGGGGAAGCTGAGCTGGCAGACGAAGACGGGCGTGTCCAGGCGCGCGTCGCGCTCTTCCGCTTCGAGGATCGCTCTCCGTTCTTCGTACGCTTCCGGAAAGGCCCTGAGGACTGCGAGCCATGGTCAGCGCTGCATTCTAAGCGAGCAGCGTCCCCCGGGACACGCGGGCGGCGCAGATATAGTCCACTCACTGAGCGCGAGGACGACCTTGTTGCAGGGGTGGTCCTGGAAGTATGCGTAGTCGGGGAGCTCTTGGCGGCATAGCGGGCATGCATTGCTGTGGTCGAGGGCACGGTGCAGGCAGGCGGCACAGAACGTCTGAAGGGGGGGGCACACGCATCAGCCATGCATCCTTCACGAGCAAGCCGCGGGCACATCGCCGATTGCCTCCGTAGATCCGCACATATACCCAAACGGCTTGAAAGGTGCCAATAACTCTCAAGCGAGCGCCTCAAGGAAGCGCGGCATCCACCCGACCGTAAAAAAAAGGTTGGGCAACGCGCAGCACAGACGGGGACTGTGCGCGGCATCTGGCTAGCTTGACCACCTGCCCGTAGCCGGGCGGCTATTTCCTTGAGGACGCAGCCACCCAACAACTGTGGCGTTGGTTACCACTTTGCCACCGGAGTGGAGGCAAAGGCAGCAACCATCGGCGAACGCGACCGCCGCCACCCGGACACCCTTCTGACACTCACATGTTGGCACGGCGTCGTGACGGGCTGGAGGAACAGACAAAAGCATATCTGGCACGACATCTCCGCCATGAGCTCCTTCTGGAAGCGCGCACTGGGGTCCTGCGGCGGCGCGTCGGCGCCACCGCGAGTGCGCCTGCGGCGTTTGCGGGGGCGGGGGGACGGCGAGCGTGTGCGCGAGCGGGCGCGGGCGCGCGGGCGTTGGGCCGGCGCCAAGGAATCGGGCCGATCGTGATCGGTGGTGGTCCTACTGGCGCCCACATCATCCGAGTCTGCGGGTGGACCGCTGTCGTGGTACAAACCGTGGGTGGGGTCCTCTTGCTCCGGCTCCGGCTCGGAGTCGGCGTCGTCGTCGTCGTATGCGGGCACGCGCGCGCGGGGCCCGGGCTCGCGGGGGAACCACGACTGGGCGCGCTTGACGAGGGTGAGGAGCTTGTTTGTGGTAACGTCGACGCGCGCCGGGGCGGGGAGAGCGGAGACGGGGGCCGTGGGGATAACGCCCGCCCCGGCGTCCGGGTGCGGGGCGGTGGATGCGCTGGTGCATGTGGGGAGCGGGCAGCGGACGGTGGTGGGTGTGGGGGAGCCGGAGCGCGGGCGGACGTGCTCTGCGCAGACGGTGTGGCCGCAGCGGAGGGTGAGGGGGGCTGTGAGGAGGCGCGGGGGGGAGCAGAGGGGGCAGCGGAGGAGGGGCAGGAGGTGGGCGGGGGCGAGGGGCATGGCGGGCGTGTGCTCGGGGGCAGAGTCAGGAACCAGGGGCTGAGGGGGGACGGGCGCAGATGGGGGAGGGTGCGCCGGAGCGGGATCAGGGGGGGGAGAGGGGCTAGCGGGTGTGCTAGAAGAGGCGGATGCAGTTGGCGGGAGGGAGGGAGGGACGGGGCGAGGGCTGGAAGACGGGCGGGCAGGAGGGGACGATGACGCCGGCGATGGGGAGGGCGGCGCGGGGCGTGTATCGGCGGGGCATGCAGCACTTGCACGGGAGCACGCAGCCTGGCCGCGGGCGACCGAGGGCTCAGGCGATCGATGGCCCGGCGGCGATCGTGGGCACCTGCGATCTGTTGCGCGCGTGTCGCCTGCGTCCGCTCCTCCAGCTGCACCCCTGCCCTGATCGTCGCCCCCGCCCGCCCCGTCGCTCTCTCCACGTCGCTCCGCCTCTCCCCACCCCGAGCTGCCCGCTCCCCCCTCACCACCCTGTGCGCGCGCGCATCCTGCGTTCATCCAGCCGTCGCTCTCGTGGTCGTGGTCGAGAGCAAACAAGACGGGGCAGACAGACCGGCCCTCCCCGCCATCGCCATCTGCTGCGTTGGCGGTCGGGGTACCAATTCGCGCTGTCAGCAAACCATTCAACATCGTCCGACAGGCGCCCGGCGCCATCGTTGATCGAATGGCATTCCCCGCAGCCGATCTTTGCCAGTGGTCATCCTCCTTTCTCACCGGACTCGGGCTTGTTCTTCTGCCAGCCGTCCGTTTGTGCAAGTGCTCCTGCCCTGCCCTGCGCACACGCAGCAGACATCGCGCGCCCCTAGGCCGAGCCTGCAGGCCCCATGAGGACCCGCCGCACTGAGCCACCACCGGAGTTGCCACCGTGACAGTCTACGCCTGCCCTCGCACGCTTGTGCGCCTATGTGGCACGGCATCGAGACCACCTGTCACCCTCCCCTGCTTGGCGCGCGATGAGATCCCCAATCGCCCTTGAATCTCCTCCACATCGCACGTCTAATTCCTCCCTACGATGGCCGCGCGCCGTCCACGCGGTCCCGGGTGCAGAACTGCACAACCTATTCCCGCATCCGGCCCCGCCGGCCCGCAAACACGTCGCCGCGGTCAGTCTGACCCATCTCGGTTCTCCAACTCGCGCAGCGCGCTGCGTAGGCTGCTCGTCATCGCATCGAGATAAGTAGTCGATATCTGCATCCGCACGCAAGTCGCCTCCGCATCCCAGTCGGAGCCCCGCGCACGTCCGGAGCGCCTGCCGATGCTGTAGCCTCATTCCTGTATCTCGATGCCCTGCGGGCTCCGTGTCTACTCGATGCGCCGCCGTGCCATCGGTGTCGGTAATGCCCACACCATGGCCATTGGCGAGCGAAAGCCAGATACGCGAGACGCAATACGCAATGCACGCACTTGAATGTCCACTGCAGCCGCGCAGGCGACGTGCCAATCATGCCATGTCCGTTCCCTCGGCCCACTGAAAGTGAACGAGGATGGGGACGTGCCCCACAGCCTGGCCACCAGCCGTCGTCGTCATCCGCTCCCGCGAGTGCTTCCACGGGGCTTCTGCGCTGCTTGCGCACCTGCGGTTGCCCCTTGTGGCATCGACGTCGACGTCCGTGTGCCCCAGATGGGCAGGGCCGTTTCCCATGGCGGCTCTCACGCCGTCACCATAGGACATGGTAAACATAGCCTCGGAGCGCCCCAGGTGTGAGCGTGAGCTGCTGCCCCATGAGGTTCAGGTCGAGATAGGCGCACTCTCCGGATATCAGGGGGGGTGTCTAATATTTCGTCCGCGCCCACCGCGGAGAGCTCAAAGGGGACCACTGAGTACGTCTGCCGCCAACCACAATACCAACATCCTCCATCCATCGCCGGGTTGGCGCTGATGGGTGATCCCTCCCTGTTTCACCGCCATCAGCGCGCCGCACGACGTCTTCGATGTTCGATAGGGACGGCGCTCCGCGGTGGCTTACAGCAGTGTTCTAAGTATGAGGGCTCGCGGCGTTCTTGCGAGGCTCGAGGAATCCCGGCATCTGGTGGCGGCCGCGCTTTCCGTTGGATTCCAGACGTCGTAGCAGACGTGCCCGTCGTTGCGTCATCGCGTCGTGGAGGTGGGTCGCGCGTCCGCAGACGGCGACGGCGACTCGCTCTGCGCGGCAGTCCATGACACGCCGATCGACCCGTTGCGCCCCCAGAGTGCTCGCACGTGCCTCCGCGTTCTATGCGAAGACGCGGTCTGCTGGCCGACGCGGCGCGCCGTTCGATGCGCGTAGTGTGTCTACACATCGGTCATATTCGGGTTTTGACGGCGCGTTTCGTGTGCACGTCACCGCACATTGGAGGGGGGAGTCATCGCAGCCACGCATAACAAAATACCGATATCAAAATTATGCGTCCGTTCACGCTCGTGCTGGCCTGCCATTGGCTCGACCTGTGCGCGAGCGGACGAGATCCTCGTGTTCAATTGTTTGAGTAACGGCGAATGAGCGGCCGTAGTCAATATATTGGTCTACCGCACAAGAACGCGTCAACGCGTCTAGGTAGATTGGAATATCTAGAGAGGGTGAGGTGACCAAGGAAGTAAGGGTCGTGGCGTCTCCCGCTTGGTCACGCCCCACAAGCGAGATTATAATTGCGAAGGTGAGGCGCGGGTGAATATATTCAGATCATGTCTGGGATCCCCATTTCCTTTCCTCCCAGGCCCTAGGCTGACGTTGACACTCCCCCCCCCTCCCCTCCCCACACACACATCGCCGTCGCCATTGCGCAACCGATCGCGCCGAGGACATAGCAGAAGAGGAAGCCATCGAACACGATGTCGCGCTGTGTGGTCCAATCCACTCTCGCATCTCATTTGAAGGCTCAGATCGCCGTTCGCATCCCTGCAAGCATCAGGCCACTCTTCCACGACCGCGCCTCGCCGGACCGCACGCGGCCGACTAGGGAGGTACATCGCAGGGTTGCCCTGATGCTCGCCTAGCGGCCGTGTCTCTCCCCCTCACCCACCCACCCCGGCGCCGCCTATCGCGCCACCCATCGCGCGCACCTAGTGCCTAACAGGCCCGCGTCGCGAGCGTCGTGCGGTGTGTCAAATTCAAATGGGCCTCCTCCTCGTCCACCACGCCTTCGCGCGGCGCTACACGGTCTGACGTCTAGCCTGGACCTCGCAGTGTGGCGCTGCGCACACACGGCAGGCGGCAGCCTGCAGACGGGCGTGCGCCGCCGTTGGAGCCCTGTTCCCCGCGCGCGCATAGACCCCTAAGACACAATCTTGCCGAGCGCACTATGCGCCGCGCGGCTGCTGCAGGGCACGTCTCGCGGTGTGCATCGCGGAAATAGCAGGGCTGCGCGCGCGCGGAGCCTTAGGTATACAGACCGGGTGCGACATGTGCGACATGTGGCTTGTGGCTTGCGGCTTGCGGCTCGTGAATATTCTAGGCCTAATTCTGGTCACCCGAGTCTTCTTGGCAACCATCAATTTGAACCGTCAAAATTCGCGCGCGTGCGCGAGGTACGCTCACCGCCCGAACCGACCCCGTTCACGCCACGCCGTTCCTCTCGCCTGTATGTGTATCTCCTACCGGCTCGCCATTGCTGTACTAGAGATAATCACCTACGTAGCCGCTTCTAGTTATGCCTCACCTCGTGCTCATGCTCCCCACACACGCCCAGCCCTCTCGAGCTACCGGACAACAGAACATACAGCCCGCGAACGATGGATTGCTTGCGCTTCACCCTTCCATGCTACCGGACAGCCCGTGCTACATTGACACCTCGTTACGATACGCACATGCATGTAGTATTATCCGGCATAGGGCAACGCCCTCAAGCGGATATAGATCGGATTCAACGAATCAAAAACAAAACTTTGCGTGCATAGCTGCCTGGTACGGTCAGGAGAGCGCAGAGCTACTGGATGCGAACGTCACGTATACATAAAGTCAGCGAGCGTGCGCTGGGGCGCGCGAGAGGGCTTACGGCGGATACTGTCGACCTGCGCCTGAGAGCTGCCGTAGAGGGGGCTGAGGTCAAGTATTGCTTAAGACTGACGCAAACCAGTCTCGTACAACTAAATGTTCCATTTCCGCACCTCTCTCGCGCGTGATAACGGGATGACACAATCCAATACTAAGCCACTACATCGGTCTCATATTGTTGGAACGGCTGGGTTTCAATGTAGAATCTGGGTATGCTACGGGGTTAATTTGGTACACAGCACGACAACTTCTTCCGGTCACTAGTCTAAACGTCCGTTCCATTCATGATTATATGTCGTGCCACCTTCAATTCTTTCCAAGGACGATGCAGGTACGCGTCGGAATATAGATCTGCTTGGAATCTTCATTACACACACAGAACGGCGAGCCGAAAATGAAGGCTGACCTGTAACCAGTTCTTTCTCCCATTCCATTCCATGGGCGTTGTGAAGTACTGCCCACCCGGGAGCACGTTCTCGAAGCCGCCGAAGCGCTTCTCGTCGCTGCTCAGGACAACGTGGTACTCCCCGGGCTCCTCCACTCCGACACGATAGTCCGTGAATGATTGCGACGGGTGGAAATTGAACACGAATAGTAGCCCCGCGCGCTCGAACACGACCACTTTGTCGACTTCGTGTTTCAGAGAGACGTAAGCAGGCTCGGCCGCAAGCCAGCCGTATTTCTCCTCTGTGTGGTTCATAGCCTTATCGAACTCGTTGAGATACTTGTAGCGCAAGAGAGGATCATCGACAACGTTCCACTGCCTCCGGGCGTAGTGGAAGGAGTTGCCGTTGCCCTCACGCGGGAAGTCGAGCCACTAGATGAAAGTGGCGTCAGAATGTTTTCCCAAATTTCTGAACGAGGAAGGTGTACCTCCGGATGGCCGAATTCGTTCCCTTCAAAGTTGAGATATCCTTCACCGCCCAGCGAATGCACTAACAGTCTGCGATGCGAACCAGGTGAACGCCTGCCAGACTGCTTGACTAGCAATACTCACCGTATCATCTTGTGCAGCGCAATACCTCGAGCGATGACAGGTGTATACTCCGTTATATCCGACATGTTCGTGTACATTTCCTTGTCCATCAGCCAGAACGCGAGGGTCTTATCCCCTACTAGCGCCTGGTCGTGACTCTCGGCGTACGCGATGCTCTTCTCTTTGTATCGCCGGTTTGTCAAGGTGTGCACGATGTTCCCCATCTCCCACTCGTCGTCACTCTTGTGCTTCAGCAGCTTTATCCACATGTCCGGGATTGCCATCGATAGCCGATAGTCGAACCCAACCCCACCTTTCGAGACGGGGGCGCAGAGAAGGGGCATGCCGGAGACATCCTCTGCAATAGTGATGCACGATGGGAAGAGTTCATGCATTGCGTCATTGGCCTAGAACACTGTCAAAAACTGTGTTTCCTCACGAACTGGAAGAACATACCAGCATGAGATACACGATGGCCTCGATATCCGCATTATCTCCGAAGTATTCGTGATATCCACCAGAGAACCCGGTGCCGATTCCATGATGCACGTACATCATGCTCGTCACCCCATCGAATCGGAAGCCATCAAACTGGTACTCCTCCATCCAGAAGCGTAGGTTGCTCATGAGGAAGCGAAGCACCTCGTAGTGGCCGTAGTTGAATAGACGACTATCCCAGAGCTCATGCCGCCCCTTTCCACCCTCGTGGAAGTACTGATGGTCCGTCCCGTCGAATTGGTTGAGCCCATCGAGCACGTTCTTACAGGCATGCGAGTGCACAATGTCGAGGAGAACTGTGATTCCCATGCCATGCGCGGTGTCTATGAGTTCTTTGAGGTCTTCAGGTGTACCATAGCGGGAACTTGCTGCAAAAAAGTTTGTAACTTGGTACCCAAACGCTGCGCAACACTCGTCAGTCGCCGGTATACATATCTAGCATTAAGAAGAACATACAAGCATAATACGCATGCTCCATAACTGCCATGAGCTGGATGGTGTTGTAGCCGAGATCCTTGATTCTCGGCAGCATGTGGGCAGTAAATTCCTTGTATGTCCCTACGCGATACTCGTTCGTCGAGATCCCGACATGGGCTTCATATATCCGCACACTCCTCGGCTGAGGAGGACGAGCATTCTTGAACTGATATCGCTCTGACTGGGGTGGGTTCCAGAATCGGGCATCATAGACGGGAGAAACAGACAGATCCTGCGTGACGCGCTTGATCCAGACTGGGAGTCGCTCAATGCGCTCGCCTGATGGTGTGATCATCGAGATCTAAAGTAATTGGTCATTATGGAATTTTAAAAAGGCGTGCATAAGCGCACCTTGATCTTGGAGTCGTGCGGGATAGCGCATACACCTGGTTCTTTGGGCGGGATGGTGATCTCCCACACGCCAAAGGAGTCTTTGACCATCGGATGCGAGGTCCTATTCCAATTGTCTGGTTCATGATAAGCACGCATTCAGCAGCAAGTTTTAGCCAGCGCGTACGTACTGAAGTCGCCGATCAAGGCCGCCTCCTTCGCGTTCGGTGCCCACTCCCTGTACACGAGCTCGCCGTCGTCGCGTACATGGAGCCCAAACTTGAGATAGCCCTTCGTGAACGAGTCGTAACCCCCCTCGTTCTGCTCTATAGTATCGCGCCATTTCCTAAACGCGTTGTGTCGATGCACAATCGAGGGCGCATTGGGTTCAAGCCAGGGGTCGACATCGAGCACAGTCTTCGCATCGATAGGCGTCGTTGGCATTCTCGCACCGTGTCGTGAATGTCAGAAAGAGATTGGTGCGGGTGTATGCGGGCTGAAAGAGGACGAGGAGGGATCGAGACGCCCATCTGCGCCATTCTGAGATGCAGACGATGACGGGCGGACTCCAGTCTCCAGAACGCCCAGACCAGACGCGTCCTGACATCACACCACGTGATGCGGGGTCGCTTGCCATGTGATTCAAACGCGGGGAATAACTTCGGCGACAGCTGATCGCGTTCAGGAACTCGCCATAGCGCGGCAGGAACGTCAAAGTACAGTGTCATTGGGTCTGCTATGCAACCTCTGCTCACTGCCAGCACCTTCCTCCACTACATCCCGAACGACCAGCATGCCGCCTCCAGCGCAAGCCAGGCAAGTAGAGAAGAACTCAATCCTGGCGTCTGTCATCGGCAAAGCGGGAGCCGTCTGTACCCTGCTCGGGCTCTCACTTGTCGTCTTTACCTACCGGCGGTCTTTGACTCCCCTGTATGGCTCCGTACCCACCGAGCTTCATCTCAACAAGGTAGTCTGGATAGCATGTATCATTGGTAGCTTTGCACCTACAGTGTCGATCTCCTATGCTGCCTTTGCTGCAGGTGTGCTACTCTGTCTCATGCCAAACTCGGCATATTGGGCCGCAGTTTACACAGGGAGGATGGGAGACCCAGTATGGGGTCCTGTAGTGGTGCACATTATGGTGCTGCTACCGGTGCTTGCGCTAGGCGTTGCAATCGTAAAAGCTCTACAGGTGAGTGTTGCTCTGCATGACTATCAGTGTCTGCATAGTAGATACCTGTGCGCGCTCATGAAATGTGAGTATCTCACCGATTTATTTAGCAGACTACGGACCAGCAAGAGAACGCAGCGCCGCAACAACTGATCACACTTCCTGTCGCTCAGACATCCATCATGACGCTGCAGGATCTATGGCCAGTGTTTTCACGCTTGAGGAGCGTGCCGGAAAGTCAAGTTGTAAGAAGGAGTTCATTGCGTGTGTTCGTCGGGAGCTGACGCCGCGACGACTAGATATTGTATGTTGGGTCTTTGATACTAGTCATTTGGACAATCTCCCCTCTCCTGTACTCACCCGTGGAGACGTCGAACGCATCCAATACAACAGTGCCAGACTCTTCACCAGCAGTAATAGTTACGCAGAAGGGCAAGCCCAAGCACAAGAGGAAGCCCTCAAGCACAAAGGCAATCACGAAGCCCGCCGGACCCAGCTCGCCTGTACCAGTATCAGTCTCTCCAAGTAGCCCACAAACGCGCACGAAGACATCCTCTAACCAAAGCCTGATGCGCCTCATTCTTCTGCCTCTAATCCCTATGTTGGTTTCGACCATCCTGCAGCCCCCTACTCTTCCGAAACCCCTCGGGGAACCATATCTTCATCCCGCATACCCTCTCCGCATTATCTCATCCGTTCGCTCGTCATACTCCGGTGTTGTCCTCGTCGGCGAGGTCCTGCCGCCCATCGGGGACAAGCCCGCACTTGGCGCCGTACACTCGCTACGATACCTCCGTGCTGGTCACTCGTTACTCGGAGGAGCATGGATAGGTGAGGCCGCGATTCTAGGACGGCACGATTCAGACCCTGTAGGATTGGACGAAGCGGGCGAGCCAGTCGGTGACTCCATGTACCATGCATTCATGCTGCAGGATGCGGCAAGGCTCTTCGAGAGGGAGGGAGGCAAAAAGCGCGAGAATGCACTGGTAATGTGAGGAGACTCCTGTGTCATTGGTTCCAGCAAATCCTGATGTATTTTCTATGGCAGAGGCCTAGGAACGGGTGTCGCCGCCTCTTCACTGATACGAAGTAATGTGTCCACCACCATTGTCGAGATCGACCCCGCTGTGTACGAGGCTGCGAGGCGCTTCTTTGCCTTCCCCGAACCCGGACCTGGAAAGGTCTTCATTAAGGACGCAAGGACATGGGTGAGAGAACACCGGCGCGAACGCGAATCTGCCACAAGATTAGGAGACCAGGCGGGACACGCTGACGAGACGGAGCCAAACATGTTCGACATCGTGCTGCATGACGTGTTTACAGGCGGAACCATGCCATCGCATGTCTTCACGCAGCAATTTTGGAACGACACGAAAGCCTTAATGAGTTCAGATGGTATACTCGCGGTGGTGGGTCGCCTCGCATGCTTAACATGAGTCGGATGCTGAACCCCTTTTTTTATTTGGCTCGCTAGAATTTCGCTGGACAACTCGATTCGGAACCCGCACGAGCGATTATCATGACCCTACTGTCTACCTTTGATACTTGCCGGGCATTCTGCGACGAGGTATCACCGGATGAGCAAGCTAAGAGCGAGTTCCACAATTGGGTGAGTCGATAAAATTTCCGTTTCTTCCATCCACTTACACACTGCAGGTGTTCTTCTGCTCGCCATCATCCGCTCTCCTAACGCTCCGAGCACCGCGCTCGTCGGACTACTTCGGGTCCGTGCAGCGTGCACAAATCCTCAATACTCTACAGCAGCGTGAATTCGACCTTAAATCCTTGACGGAGGACATTTTGGAAGAGCAGAGGGATCAGTACATCTTGACAGACGCGCGAAATCCTTTAGGCAAATGGCAGGAGAAGGAGGCGCTGAGCCATTGGAGAATTATGCGAGAAGTATTCCCAAACGCCGTGTGGGAGACATATTAAACGAATATCTGTGATTTTGTTTCTTTTATCTGGATCTGCAGTTTGTTTCTCACTAAATAGAATACATAAAATGACGGTCTGTTGAAACCGACGCGACGCGAACTTGGGTTGACGCGCTTGTCACAATACCTGTCGCGATCACGTGTATATGTCACACGCTGTCCGTTTGGAAATTGTCACCGCGCTCGCTGACAGTGCCAAGCGCCATCCCCTCACAAGTCCGCTCCTGCATTCCCCTCGGCTGTGGTTGACCGCTTATTTGTTTCTGCAAACTGATCAGCGTAAAATCTGTACCAGCGGCCTTGTTCGTCGTATATTCCTCTTCTCACACCATGCCTGAGCCTCGACGCTCGACACGCGCAGCGTCCGCGAAACCTGCGTCTCAGCCCGCTACGAAGGCTACCACGAAGCCAGTCGCTAAAGCTACCTCCAAAGTTGCTTCGAAGGCGGCGGTGAAACCAACTACACAGACTGCAGAGAAACCCGCGACAAAACTCGCTGCAAAGGCCGCCCCGAAACCCACTACACGCGGCCGGGCCACCACGAAGGTGGCAAAACGCGCTGCGTCACCCGAGAACAGCCCTCCTCCACCCCCCAAACGGGCGCGAGGTGCTCCGAAGATAGTTGAAAATGGCGTCAACCACGTAGACGAATCTGAGCCCGCCGCCGTCCCCAAGGTCCGCAAGGCATCTGTTCCTCCACCACGGAAGGTCGTAAAGCAGGTCAAGCCTTATTTCAACCCTCTTCCCACTCCTCCGGAACATGTTCGTCCTGCGCCGCAGATGTTTGTATGGGGCGCTGGCAACTTTGGTCAGTTTGGTATGGGCGCAGACCTGCTTGACGAGTATGACAAGCCGAAGAAAAACTTATGGATTGAGAAGAGAATGCGAGAAGGCGTATTCGGTGACGACGAAGCTAGTCTGGAATCCGTTGCCGCTGGTGGCCTCCATTCCCTGTTCGTAGATGAGAAAGGGACTGTAAGTATACTGACCATATTTTATGATTTTTACTAATCTTTGGAATAGGTTTGGTCTTGTGGAGTCAATGATGATGCCGCACTTGGGCGCGTCACAACCGACGTTCCCAACCCAGAAAAGGAGGGCGAATTCCTTGATGTAGACACCCTCACAGCAGAGCCGAATCCTCTCCAGTCCCTCGTGGATGAGAATTTCCGCGCAGTGCGTATAGCTGCTGGTGATACAATCTCCGCCGCTATCAGTTCACAGGGTGATTTGCGTGTCTGGGGATCGTTCCGAGTGCGTCCTTATTACGTTTAGTGCTCTCTGTATAGTTGTTGAACACGATCCTCAGGGCGTAGAAGGCGTTCTCGGATTCTCAAGCGGCCATCGCCATCAATTCCTGCCTGCATCCATCTTGGAGTTGAAGTCAAGACCTGGAGACGCAGAGAAGTTCTCCGGCCTTGCGGCCGGAAACAACCACCTTCTCGTCTTGACTACCCATGGCAATGTTTACACCTGGGGGGCTGGCGAACAGGGCCAGCTGGGGCGGAAAGTCCTCGAGCGCCGTAAAATTCACGGCACAGTCCCTGAGAAGATCGTTTTTGGTCACCGTTCGCTGAAGGCCGTTGTCGTTGGCGCTGGGAGTTACTCTTCGTTTGCTGTTGACGAAAGCGGAGACGTCTGGGGCTGGGGTCTCAATAGCATGGGCCAGACGGGAACTGGATTCATGACCAACTCAGCGGACGCCGAGGTGCAGACCCCGAAGAAGGTCATTGGGCTTGACAAGACAACCCTGAACGGCGCCACAGTCGTGCAGATCGCAGGCGGGGAGCACCATACGCTCTTCCTCACGTCCGTGGGAAGAGTATATGCGTGCGGTCGCTCCGAGGGCGGCCAACTTGGGCTTGCCGATGACGACGTCGCATTCCAAGATCGCGAGTTTCCAGACATGCTTGCTAAGCCGGCCATCATCACATTCCCAGATGCCGACGATCCCGTGGTTCACATTTCGGCTGGAATTCACAACAATGTCGCCATTACGAAGGGTGGTGCACTCTATACATGGGGCACTGGCCCGCAGGGTGAGCTCGGTGTTGGTGATGAGACCGAGGCTCGGATTCCAACAGTGGTGGTTCGAAGAGAAGGTGGTTCTTGGGCTGCCGTCACAGCATCGTGTGGTGGCCAACATACACTGGCGCTACTGAGGAGAAAAAATTGATTGTCAACCGAAATTTTCAATCGTATACCTGCTGGCTAGAGTGGCACCAACCGAACTCCTGACTTGTACAGTCTTATCTCTACCGTATTGTAATCCGCAGTTCTATTCGAGTTACAACATCGGAATCTGCGTCTGCGACCCCGTTTCCACGAAGACAAGAAGTGAGCTGGTAAGTGCAAGGTGAGCTTTGGTACTCTACAATCCTTGCGCGCCACTTAGTGCTGGTTCCCTGGAGCAGGTCATACAGGCCTCGGTATCCCCTTCCGCGCTCGTGCAGAACGCAAGTCTTGGCAGCCTCACAGCCGAGAGCTATAACGCTCTCTGACCCCATGGCCGATCACCCAGAGTTGGAAACGAGCTGCATGGTGCTGACACATCTACATCGACGCCTGTCTGGCGTGCTATGCAACCCTGCTAGATCCAACGTCCAATATCACAATGCGCCGGCTTTGTGCCGACGGATGTCGCATTTCGTCGGCTCGCCGGGACAGGCTGGATGCAAGTATCGCCGACATCATCGTTGGTCGATGGACACTCGCAAACCGCAGTCGACGGATTTCGTAGAGTCAGCGTGCTACGACGGGCATACAACCAGGGGGCAACGGCCTCTCAGGAGTGCCATTTTGTCAAGCCGTGAGCACCCCATCGGGTCCCGACCGTTGACGGTTCCTTCCATTTAGGTGTTGCTGGTGCGCATCAAGTTGATTGTCTGTGCCTGCCAGATATGCTCATCCTAGAGTATACGATAGCGCAACAGCGCATCAATACCTCTGATGACTTGATGCTTGTTACCGACAAGAATAATCAATCGCATGCTCCTGTCAATGGTTGTCAGTGAGTTGATCGAAACGGAGTCCGAAGACCATACGAGACCATCATATTGCATATTGGCAGGCACAAAGTTCTAAATGGGCCACTACCGTCGGACCGTCTCGCAACTGGCGGTAGTATGGGTTCATGACGAGCCTCTGGTAGCACATGCTAACCTGCCGGTTAGCAGCGTTATAAGCATTCGCGGCCTGCAGCGGCTGTACGTATCTCCGGCTGTTGCATGTGGTTCACCTCGAGAAGTCGAGTATAAGAAGGTAGGTAGCAAGGGGCTGGAAACTACATTCAGGCTCTTCGTGTTGACTTAGCACATACTGGCCCTTCGAGGACTAAAGCTTATATCTATTTATTTACGACGATGCTCTTTACCGCCGCCGCCACTCTCTTTCCCCTCATTAGTACTGGGTTTGTCGCTGCGGCGCACATCCCCGACTTTCATAAGCATGAGCTAGGCCGCCGAACAACTGGAGCAGCATTCTCGAGCGGTATCAAGAGAGGTTTATCGTTCAATGATGCTTCCTTGACGCACGACTTCAACTCTGGGTGAGTCTACGGGTCTGGTTCTGAGTCTGGATATTCGCTGACGCAACTAAAGCCAGGTGAGCTGGGCATACAACTGGGATTCGAGCTACACCGGCACACTCCCAAGCGGGGTGACGTTCATACCCATGCTCTGGGGGACGTCCTCGGATCACACCAGCCAGTGGTCCGCCAATGCCAACACGGCCATCCGCAATGGCGCAGAATATCTACTGGGGTTTGTCGTCCAGTCAGTCGTCTTCTGGGACCGAAACTTACCTCTTCCTTGGCACCCAGGTTCAACGAGCCCGATTTGTCCACACAGTCTAACCTCACCCCCCAAGAAGCAGCCGCCGCATGGATGCAGTACATGCAGCCCTTTGCAGGCAAGGCCAAACTCGTGTCCCCCGCCATTACCAACGGCGCTGCCCCCATGGGCGAGACCTGGCTCAGTGACTTCCTGTCGGAGTGTAGCGGCTGCACAATCGACGCCATCGCGATGCACATATACGACTCGGCGACCAACGAGGCATACTATCAAAGCTACATTTCCGGTCTCGCTTCGAAATATGGCAAGCCTGTCTGGGTCACAGAGGTACGCCAATATTTTCTGCTGAACACGTTTACACAACGCTGACCTCCATATATAGTTTGGTGCCACCGGCACAACATCCGCGGAGGGAACATTCCTCGCGTCGATGGTTGAATATCTGGACGGTCTGAGCGGCGTAGCTGCATACGCATGGTTCATGGACGAGGCAGGCAATCTTGTCAACAGTGATGGCAGTTTGACCGCACTCGGCGACGCATATGTGGACAATAATTGACCGGTGTCAATGAAAGGTGACTCAATATTATTATTACTAGTCTGCATGTTCTTTGACTCGTCGGTCAATGTTATTTATTGCGTTCAATCTGCTCTATTATGCGCAGTTTTGCCTTCACGATATTGATGGCCACAACACTGTAGGTAAACCCAGATCGGATTAAACATGACCGCCACTGTTTCGTAAGAGGCCCAAACCAAGAATTACATTTCTTTTGCCAAAAGAAGCACATCGTGAAACATTCCCAAATGTATACAGCAGCCATACACTCAGTCTGGTTATGAAACCAAGCCCTCCACTGTGCCCCCTTCAATCCCGGATGGTATCACTGCCGAACAGCTCAACTGTACGTGGCAGAAAGACGGCCTACGATATACTCCTCAGTCGTCACAGGAGCATACTTGGCCTCCTTCCCTGCGCACGTCGGGAGACAGGCGATGTGCGCGCCCGCATTCGGGTTGCAGAAGAACGCAATGGACTGCCGCGCAGGGGTGATGCTCTCCGTCGCGCTAACCTGCTTCGCAGGGGGCGCGACCACACGATGCAGCGTCGAGCGTAGGACGTCGTTACTCCACCGCGCGAGCAGGTCGCCGGCGTTGATGACAATGGTGCCAGGCTGGGGGCGATGCATGTTAGCACAAGAGAAGGCGTGAGCGACTGACTCGCAATGATACTCACGATCGGAGGAGCGGGCTGGAATTGCTTCGTGTGAGGGTTCTGGACTTCGAGTCCACCGACCTGGGAGGAGAGAATGAGATGCTAGCACCCTGGGACAATATGTGACTCACAGAGTCTTGGAAGAGCAAGGTTAGCGTGCCGTAATCTGCGCGTTTCGTGTCAAATCGACAGGCGGCAACTAGAGGGGCAAAAGACCCTTGCCTGAGTGTGCGCCCGCCCGAGCCTGTCCCTCTTGCTGGAGGAGCTGTCTCCGGATGGGCGGGTAGTTCAGCAGGCGCAGGTTATGGTACTGCTCGTGAATCTTGTCCTCAAAGAACATCTCGTCGAGGTCGAGCCCGATCGCGATCGCGCGCATGACGAGAGTGTGCAGGTCGTGGCACGTCTGGAAGAACTGCAGCATCGTCTCGCGGAAGCCGGGAGCGGCGCCCTCCTGCGGCCAGCGGTTCTTCCAGGTCGCGTCCCAGTCACGCCCAATCTCCATGGATTCCTTGAAGTCGGGCGCCTTGGCGCGCAGCGCGGCGATCTCGTTCGCGTCGGCGGACTGGGTGACGCGCTCGCGCCCAATCTGCACGTAACCACGGTTTGCACGGGGGTCCTCCCATGCCAGCTGGGACTGTACAGTTCAAGTCTCATCAGTATCTTGCCAGCGGTACTTGTTCAATTATGGACATACCTTGGCCTCCATCGGCAGACGGAAGAACTCGGCGCTCTGCGGCAGTGGATACCATTCAGCGTCCAGGCGGAAAGAAGTTGAAGAGCGGTCACCTTCTTGAATGTATGCTGAACAGTGTCATCGGAGATACCATGCTTGTTGAGGTAGATGAACCCGACTTCCTTGAAACCTCTAACAATATCATCTGCAGTGCGGCGCTTCTCTGCTTGAGAGGCTGCCGTGCGGAATTTGCTGAAGTCGATCAAGGGGATACTGAAAGCCGCGTCGGACTTCACGTCCTGATGCCAAACAGCGTATACGGTTTCATATTCGTCAGTCGATCAAAAAATGAGCGGGGAGCTCACCTCGGCCAACGTCGCAAGTGAGCGCGTCTGTGAACGTTTCAATGCATGACCCAACCGTCCCCAACGACCGCAGTTTGAGATATTCCTGAAAGCCATCCTTGACTATACGGACCAGGTGGCAACAAGAAATTCACACTGTGCACCCCAGACCTTATATCTGATAGCTGAGAGCTAGGACGAGATAACCGCAGGCTACTTAAGTATTTCCCGCCCAAAGGTGCTGCCACCAGCTTAACCTTGGTCGTTATCTGAAGCCTTTGGCGCTTGGCACTCATTTCAAATTCAGTCTGGTGGAAAGCAAAACTAGAACAGAACTGGGTACTGAAGGTGTAGAGTACATCAACGGGTATAAACTGCATTACTTTGAGCACTCGACTAGAAGCTTCCGAAATTAGTGAATCTGTTTGCCACGCGCCCTTCCAAATCGCATCCAAGCAACGTCGCGATGAGGTCGGATGACGGGGATAGAGTATGTGAACGCCGCCTGGCGAACGCGGGTGACGTTGCAACGTCGCTTGGTTTTGTCCTGGTGAATCTACAACGTACGTAAGTGGCGAGCTCCACACAGCACCCGCAATGGGAGGAATGAACCTTATGTCTCAACATGATTAGCTTGGCCATGCAGGCTGGTGGACCCGTCTCGCGGAATGGCGTGCCTGTGAACCAGTCTACCTATAACCTCTGAGGAAACGGAAGAGCGACGTACGGGAGGCCACCAACGCTATCCCCATCTCATGCGCGTCCAGCTCGTCCCCACCCGTAATTGACGTCCATATAGATGGGAAGAGCACACAACATAGGATAAAGGAGCCGAAGAGAGACAAGAGGAACATGAAGGGCATAGTGGTCGACGCGCGAGGGCCACACGGCTTCTATGGGCGACAGGCCGAAAGAGCGCAGGCCTATAGTCGCATGGATTGTCCAGGTCAAAAGAACGGGACCCTACAAAGAGAAGAGGTACCGGGGCGGACTGCTATAAAGTGTCTTCCCCGATGGTTGTTCGCTTATTGCGCGCCCAGCTTGTCACAATGGGGCGTACCAGACCATTATTGGTTAGTCTCGCCTTTCTGCGAGGTGCCGAGACCAGAATATTCTGATCCCTCCCACGCGCGTTCACACGGCGCACCCTCATTGGCTCACTCCCACTCTCGACTCGTTTCACGAGCAGTGAACAAGCTGGCCGGCCCATTGGCGCTACACAAGGAAAGAACGTCGCATTTCGTTCATGTCTCGCCTTGCTCTCGTATTCGTGACATTGTTTGCATATTATGTCCCGTCAACGCATTCGCATCACATGGCAGTGTACACGATCATCGTTTCCCAGGATGGTGGTCTTCCCAAGATCAACAATACACAGGAGGTGTCTGCCCGTGCTACATGCTTCAGTTGAGAATACTGGGACCCCAGCCAAGATCAGCACGCATTGCGCAAGGAGTCCCTGCCATGCCTAGCCGCACTATAGTGGTCAAGTGCTGCTGGTCACCGAAATACGTACTTTTAGCAAGTTCAAACTCGTAAATAAGGTACTGTTTATTCTTCTGGCACCAATGTGCAGTACTGCGAAAGTGTGAAAACCGAAAAGCGCGAGTGCAGCAGACAAGCTCTGACGCAGCAAAAGCCAACGAACGCAGAACGAAAGGGCATTACGGAAATGCAAGAGACCATGATCATACCTTGACAAGCTCTCGGTGACAAGATTGCCCTCCGTAGTCAGTACACGATACAGGCTCAGATGACGAAGAGCAGCGATTCAAGCGTCGTGCATCCTAAGATCTGAGGACCTAGCGAGCCCCGGACTAGCTGGCACTAGACGCACGCGGTGGCAATCCTCCTAAAGGTATTGAATTGGTGCAATGTTTGCCTCAGCCCCCTGCAGATGTAGCTCTAGTCCGACATATCAAGCTGTTGAGAGACACGACGTCAGGAGGATAACCGTGTGGCGCTGAGCGCCCGTCGCGGGAGAACAAGGAATCACGTGGCATGCACGCGTCGGTGGCCACCCAGCGCTCAGCATCGCTCAACGCCTTGTCCTCCACTCACGCTCTCCTTGCCTTCCATACCCTCCATACTGAAGTCCCCGCTTCATCCGAGACGTCTAACATCCGTCCCCTTTCGAAACTCAGCAGCAGTATCCCAGCGCTTCCGGGAGGTAACCCGTCTGGGCTTCTGAATCGCCACGCCACATTGTCTCGACAAATATCTTGAAGTCTATTGAGGAATCCATTCGCCATGGAGATCGTTGACGAAGTGCAACGGTCCGTTGCGCAGTGGGAGAACGGAGGCTCGGAAAGATGGTGAATAGATTCACAAATGAAGTTGTCTCAGTCTGACGTATTTGAAGCCTGCAAATAACCGCCGCCCCGCATGCAAATCCTACTGACCCAGACTGCAGTGACGTCCTCTCAACAGTCTACCAAGCACTCATAGTATCCACACTCCTGAGCTGGTCCCCGAAAACGGCCCTCACTGTCGACGCTTTCATTTTGTTTGTCCAGGCAGTCCTTGAGCGCTTCCCGTCGTCGTCTTCCACGTCGACCAAGTCGTCTTATGTCGCTGCCTTTGGCGAGTTGCTTGTCGATATATTCTGGTCCGTCGACGCGGAGCTGGAAGAGATCTTGGCAGACATCAGAACGGTGACAACAGCTGCTGACCAGGCGAATCGCCAGGGTAGTGATGCAGTCGACAAGGATGCCGTAGCGAAGGCCGTGAAGTCGAAGCACGATGCGGAGGCGGACAAGGCAATGCTGGCTGGAATTATCCGCCGGCTACTCGTGCGTGTTGTATTCAGTGAAGCATGCGCCAAGTCTCATAAGTATACGCTAGTCCATCGAAGTGCTGGATCCGGATGTTTGCAGAGAACGATTGGACCTGGCTCTTATTGCTGATGCTGGTCTGATTGCGGACAAGAGCACGTTTGACAGGAAGGAGATACGGACACGTACCGGCCTTTTGTGAGTGATGTCAGTCCGGCGTATCTGGGTCACTTTTAACTCGAGTACAGTTACAAGCAGAACAAGTTCAACTTGCTTCGTGAGCAATCCGAAGGCTACAGCAAGCTAGTCGTCGAGCTCACGAGCTGCTTGGGCCCTCCGCACTCATCTGCCACTGGGCAGCCCGTGGAGTCGCGAGCAGCAATCGAGGCCCGGGCCCGTCCGGCCTGGGAGCGCGTTGTTGGATTGATCGGTTATTTCGACCTCGATCCCAACCGTGCTCTCGACGTCATTCTAGATGTGTTTTCTGCGCATCTTGCCACCCACCACAGCTTTTTCGTCTCGTTCCTGTCATTTTCGCCATGGGCGCCTCGCTCTAAGCCAGTCAATTCGCCAGATAGTGATGAAGCCATGGCAGTCGATCCTGATCCGCCGAAGTACAGAGGGAAGACACTGGACGATGTTCTTAGTTTGGCAGAGGACCTGTCTGGTAAATCGGCCGAGGATCCGCAATTGCCAGGACCGGCACACGGTAATCCCTCTCGCGTGTTGGCGCAGGTCCTGGGGTTCAAGTTCGCGCACTATCAGGTATGCAGAGACATCTTGTTACTTTTCGCAAAAGCTGACTTCAAAGAAGCATTCCGAGGTCACGGAACCGGCACCGACGAGCTTATATCTTATGGCTGCCATCCTGATCCGCGAAGACTTTATCTCATTGGACGAGCTTTATCCTCACGTAAGTGCGAATTCAGTCATGCATTGTCAGAGCCTTGGCTTAACCTTGCCCACTTGTAGATCGCTCCCACGGAGGATGGGATGGACGAGTCATACCAACGCTACCTCGCGAAGGTTAAGGAGCGAATATCGAGTGCGAAACTCAGTCAGCTCGCCCTGGCTGCCCCTCTGGAATCTACTGGCTCTGCGCCGTCGAGGTCGAGACCGACTGCTAGCCAGGAGGCAAACAAACCCAGCCAGCCTAAAGAGCTGCCGAATCAGAAGGTCGGCCTACTCAATGCTTTGCTCGCCATTGGTGCTCTTCGGCCTGCTATCGCCGTCATGACTAAATACCCGTGGATTGTGGACGCGTACCCGGAGATTGCTGATCTGATGCTTCGGGTTCTAAAGCACTCCATAGGCCCGCTCTACGAGAGCCTGTTCGCAAAGGACAAAATGCCCAACTGTGCCGTTCCTCGAGCACGGTATGGCTCAAGCGGTGTTATCCCTGCGCCCGAGCCGAAGCGCGTTTTGACGCTATGGGCCCCAACGCCCCCAAGAACGAGTAGCATACAATTCGTGTTCTTCTTCCCGGAATGGGTGCAACGCATCCCAGTCTGCTCTTCCTTGGACGATCTGGAGGACGTGGCGGAACCATTACTGCAATTCGTTGGGTTGCACATCTCGCGCGAGCCAGCGTTTATAACAAAATTGTTGAGACTAGCCCGCAACCATCTCGCGACGACTGTAGGTTTTTCGCGCCTTGTCAGTCATTCGGTCTAACATTCTTTACAGGCGACCTTCGACCATAGATCGTCGGGTGTCCTCAATCGTGAACATCCCATCCAGGAGTTCTGGTATAAGGCCCTACGCCGCTATGTGATCCCCGCTTTACCACTGATCCGCGCTAATGCGGTCTGCGCGGTGGAAGTTTGGAACATCTTGAAGCTGTATGAGATCACACTACGCTGGCAGTTGTATGGAGAGTGGAAGACGAGCATCTACCAGTCGCATCCAGAGCTGAGGTGTCGGCAAATCCAGGCAGATCGCGAGTCCAAGAGTCTCCTTCGTCGCCTCTCAAGCAACACGGTCGACTCCTTGTCTAGCTCAGTTGCCAAACTGGCGTACTCGGATCCCTGCATTTTCTTTGCCAATGCTATCAATCAAATCATGGCATATGACAATCTGGCAGACGTAGTCATTTCGGCATTGGGCTATGTAACTCTCATGGCGTTCGACGTGCTCTGCTACATCACTCTAGATGCGCTGGCGACTCCCAACAAGGAAAGACTCAAGGACGACGGTGTGAACATCGCGGACTGGTTACAAAGTGAGTGGCTGTGTGTCTGGCAAGGTTTTATAGCGCTTACCATCATACGAAGGTCTGGCATCGTTCACCGGGACGCTCTTTCGCCGCTACGGTGCCGATATCACTGCGCTGATCAAGTATATTGTGCACCAACTGCATAATGGACAGACGACCGAACTTATTGTGCTACGGGAGCTCATCTGGAAAATGGCAGGCATCGAGCCATTGCCCAGCTTGTCAGACTCGCAAATTGCAGCAATGGCTGGTGGACCTACTCTTCGCATCGAAGCAGTCGCCTCAACTACGCGAGGTTCACGTCTTGAACTCAATGACATTGCGCAGAAGGCTCCGCGACGTCTGGGATATAGCTTGTTGGAAACCAACCTCGCCCTGCCTCTTCTTATCCAAGTGGCACAGCAGCGACAGGCTTGTATCTACCAGGCCCCGAACGCGCATCTCAAGCCGTTGGCCAGTTTGTACGATGTGGTACGTATGGTGGAGTACCTCTGCTGATCCATCATGTTGTCTCATCATTCGTGCAGACGCATGGTGTTCTACTTCAATACCTCGAGTTGCTCAATGCTCCGTCGATCATCTCTCCACAAGAGTATGCCCAGAAAGTGGTGCCGCCGCTAGCAGAACTCAGCGAGAAATATGGCATCTGTGCCCCCATCTGCATGCAGATCGTGCGGCCAATACTCAACGCAGCACTTTTGGTGCGCTTTGTGTATATTCCTAAACGTATAGTACTGATCTTTGCCGTCTGTAGTCGGCTGCTTTGAAGATGCAAGAGAAAGAGCGGATCGCAAGCGAGGAAGCCGAGAAGCGTCTCAAGGCAGCTTTGACCGCCAAACGCGAACCCAACGCCTCTACTTCTCGTGTCGCATCACCAAGCATCGGTGATTCTGCAGCGCCTGCTGATGGCGTCTCGGAGACGAAAGCCACCAACCCCACGGATACACCCATGGCTGATGCTTCCCTCGAGTCGTCAGACAGTCGGGTGAGCGTTGGGCCTGCTCCGACTGAGGTGAGTGTCAGATTCGAGCGTGTTATGCAATTTCATTGATGTCCTATTCTTCAATAGAATCCATGGCTACCTGAATTGTATGCTCTGTTTGACGACGTAAAGAGGATTGCACCAGGGAATGCCGCTGAAGTTATTGGGTAAGTCAAACACGCTGATGACCGATGAGCCATTATGTTGAAAAGTCCGCATAGGCCTGGGTTCTACGTATCTTTCTGGCAGCTTTCCACGTATGACCTTACACCTCCTGGAGCGAGATACGAGGAAGAGTTAGTTACGCTCCGCGCGCTTGCTCAACAAGAGGACTATCAAGCCAATGTATCTGAGCGGTCGATGGACCGGACTAAACGCCAGAACGGTATCCAGCATCGGGACAGACGAAGTCGATATACTGCTTTCGTGGATATGTTGGGGCGAGAGTACAAGGAGCAGACAATTGCTCGGGCCTTCACTATCAAACGCCTGGCTCGCGAAAAGCAACATTGGTTCGCGCACAGTGAGTGCACACGAGTGTTCTGCTTATTGGGTATGTATCTGACGTCAGTAACAGACCCGAAGGCTGCTGTTCTGGCATCTTCCTTCATTGAACATTGTCTGCAGCCGCGATGCTTGTTGTCACCGATGGATGCGGATTTCTGCGCACAGTTCATCAAAGTGGTCCACATGCAAGGAACACCGGGGTTCTCTACACTCATGTGTTATGATAAGGTACCCTTTGGTGCATACTCCCCGCTCGTACATTGATGTTCATTGTCTCTTGATCAGATTCTCGGGGATCATATCAAGGTTGTCATATTCTCTTGCAGTGAATACGAAGCGAAGAACTACGGTATGCGAAAATGCCTTCCTTTTGTCCGGTATGCTCAGATGTCATGTCCTCTTAGGTCGTTTCCTCCTCGGCGTCCTTACTGATCTATCTAAATGGTTCAAAGACGAGCAATCGTTCAAGCAAGACAATCGCACGAAGAGCGGAGGAAAGATAACTTATCTACCGGGACTGCAGCGAAAGTGGTCGCAGAAAAACATCGTAGCCCCAGAGGATTTGATTACCTGGCATGACTACAAGACGATCGTCAAGAAATGGCATCGCAAACTTTGTAGAGTGAGTCCAAGATTGACTTGTGGACGAGCCGTAGCTCATTAGTTCACCATCTAGTGTCTTCTCGACTGCATTGAGACTGGGGAGTTCATGCATGTTTACAACGCGATCATTGTTCTCAAGGAAATATTGCCCGTCTTCCCTGTCGCCGCTGTTAATGAGTTCGCTGGCAACATGCTCCATGTGGCGATGGAGCGCTTCCTGGACAAGGAGACAAGAGGTGATCTGAAGATATTGGGCAGAGCGTGAGTTGTACTACTGAGAAACTCCTGAACATCAATTAATTGTTTCTACAGATACACAGCGAGTCTTAAGAAGCGAGAACCGATATGGACGGCGCCGAAGCCTCAGCAGAGAGTATGACTGCAAGCTACCTACTTCTGCTCTCCTGCTCATATACTCATCTACAGGCTCCTGCCGCTAGACCTGCTAATGGCACTGAAAAGGCTCGTGGCACCCCCTCTACACTTTCGGGCTCTCCTGATGATGGCCGACAGAGGGCAAATGGGCCTCCGGCATCAACACCCACTGCGCCGCGCGCTCAATCAAATGCAGTAAATGGTTCCTCGCATGTGTCTCAAGCTCAACTAACGTCGACGTCCACTAAGCTGGCTATGGAGAGGTATAGTTGCTACCATGAATACTACATAAGCTTGCTAAAGGGTGTAGCAGTATACCGCGTCCTGAAGTTGTTAAAAGGGTGAGACCTGAGGCAAAAACCTCGGAGCAAAGACAAGACGTGGGCATCGCTAATGGAGCGAAGGATGAGCCCATGCAGGTAGACGTTAGGCGACCGGAGACCACCCCTGCAGCTCTCCCAACGGGACCTCGTGTTCCCCCGTCAGAACGTCCATCGAGAGATGACAATCAGCTGCAGTCCATTCCACCAAGCGGGCCTTCGAACAAAGATATATCTCGCCTGTCCCAGAGCTCCCGACCACCTACACCTACTCAGCCTCTCGCGAATCGCCCTACCTCTGCTCGCGACATTCCGAAATCACCTCGCATGGGGCCTATGGATGCAAAGGCGTCCCGTTCGGAGATTTCCCAAGTTATGCCGCCGCCTTCCATTCCAAGTCAGACACTTTCAGCCGAAAAGCTGAGGGAGAATGCGAAGCAAGGCCGCGGCTCTGAAAGATCAGACGAGAAACCTACTCAAGGAGTGCCTGATAGCAGAAGCCAATCCAACGTAATCTCAGTGCCCTCACCTCCACCACGTCGTCGGTCCTCATCACCAGCCAGTCGACCCGGTACTAGGAACCCAAGCCTGGAGAGCCGTGCTAGTGGAGGCCGCCGTTCTGCCCGTGCCGATGGGGATCGTGGTGACGAAAAGCGAGCAGAACGGGATAGCCGACAAGACGCCAGGGAGCTGTCTCGCCGCGACTTGCAACCCCATGGTCGAGATGACCGACGACGGGAATCTGACAGAGAGAAAGATCCAGATCGTGACAGAGAGAGGGGCCGCGATAGACATGGAGACAGAGAAAGGGTTCGCGAACGGGACCGTGATCGCGAGCGCGACAGAGACCGCCGAGAAAGGGAGCGGGATCGTGACCGGGACAGGGACCGGCATCGTCGAGATGAGAAGGACCGCGACAGAGAGAGCAGAAAGGAACGAGATACCGTCAACCGTGGCGCGTCTGCTCTCCCACCCATCGCGGCGCCTGTCGACGATCGTGGTCTGCCTTCCAGGCCGGATATACCGCGTCATCGCGACATGCCGCATCCAGATGAAGGAATGGGCAAGAGGCGGCGGCCCACGGACGATGAGGTAATTAAGACGTTGCCCTCAATTTCCCTGGCTTATGTACCATACAGCTTGATCGCTCTTCAAAGCGTGGGTCTCGAAAAGACAGCCATCATGAAGAGCGAGCGCGTCGATCCTCGGAGAAAGACGGGCGCGATCGAGGACGCGAGTCTGACCGTAGGCGGAAAGACCGTGAACAGGCTGAGAACGAGGGCAAGGGTCTTTCGATTGACACGAAGGTACGTCTCAGACTCTACAATACTTCCGGATAGCATGTTCACTTTGTTATCACAGTTCGGGGACAAACGCATCCCCGAAGGGCCTGCGTCAGGCAAGTCATTACCGCCCACAACTCCGTCTGCCCCGCGTGCAATGGCGACTGGAGACGCTTCGCGACTAACCAGATCCGACTCGACGTCGGGCCGTGATAGGGAGTGGAAGCCAAGGGATCCGCCTCCGAATGCGCCCACCGGACCTGCGAACTCTGGCGGCGTCACCGCAACGCAGGAAGCCTCCCATGGGTCATTAGGTAGCTTGCGATCGCGGATAGGTGACAAGGAGCTTCCTAGAGCCCCTGCACAAGCCTCTTCTGACTACCGATTGGAAGCGGGAGCAGACCGCAAGCCGGACTCGGCAAGAGATGAAGAGCGGGATGGCAGCAGGAAGCGGACATTGTCAGGTATGCCGTAATCTTATTGAACATCAGGAGCTATGAGCACTCATTTTGCATGTCAGAACGGGACAAGGATTCGGGCGAATCGCCGCTCAACCCCAACGAGGTTATGGCGCAGCCTCCCAAGCGACCTCGCATCAATCGCAACCGTTACAGTGCCGTACCTGCCCATGGCTTGGCCAAGAAGCTGCTCCCCATAGACCCCCAGGCGGAAAAGACGCGTGCTGGTCGCAACAACTGATGCTCCATATACTCGTGGTCTCGTTGTGTAGCATATATTATTGGATGAGAGCATGTATCAATATCGTTATTGTAGTAATGCACGGGCCTCTGGTAATGCGAACGTCTGCGATAAGGATATTGCAATGTTGAATTGGGATAATGCGATATAGAGATGAGAGGTGAGTTGAATCAATGGGGAGTTGAATCGGAAATTACGAGCACGACTTAAGGGATTATTAACGTCCCTTGATGAGGGTCAAGAACTCTTCTCGGGTCTTTTGCTGCGTTCGGAAACAGCCAAGCATACAAGACGTTACCGTGATAGCCCCTGGTTTCTGCACGCCCCGCATAGTCATGCATAAGTGACTGGACGCACGTCAGGCCGTCTTATAGAATTTCAGGGGAGTCGCTACTTACGTTGCTTCCATCACGACGGCGACTCCACGAGGCTTGATAGCTTCTTGCACAGCAAGTGCAATCTGCTTTGTGAGGCGTTCTTGAACTTGTAGACGGCGACTAAAGGTTTCAGCAATGCGGGCCAGCTTCGACAAGCCGAGTACGAGATGGTTGGGTATATACGCTATTGCGATCTGGTATAAGAATGAACACTACGTGAAAAATTTAATCTTCAACGGATGGTTTGCAACTTGCCTTGCCCGTGAATGGAACGAGATGATGCTCGCACAAGCTTGATATGTCAATATCACGCACAATAACCATCTCCTCGTGGTCTTCGGCAAAGACGGCATCGTTAATGACATCTAAGTCGATGATGACCATCAGGCTGCATTTTATTCGGAGGAGGGAATAGAAGCACCTGCCAAGCGTTCTTCATATCCTCGGGTCATCCACATGAGCGCTTGGGCGTATCGCTCTGGCGTCCGGAGGAGACCCTCCCTATCGGGATCCTCGCCAATGCACTCGAGAATAGTACGAACAGCACCGGCAAGCTTCTGTTCTCGTTCGGCGCGCTCTGCCGGCGTAGCATTAAGACGAGATAACGTGGACTTGGCTTCAGGGCAAAATTAGGGCAGAGAATCGCAGCAAGATCGAGCTGGAATCCTACCCGGCCATCCCAGCCCATTTGGATCAGGTAGTGGGCTGCTAGCCTCTACCCCGGATATTGACGTATTCAGCGGGGTAGAATGCCCAGATGGCGGTCTGAAGCCATATCCTTCTCGGACAAGAGCGCTCACCCCGGGCCTGTTGAGACCAGGGGATGCAAGTACCGAAGGAAGCATACTATTTCCGTCCTGTGCCTCATGATCGTCGTCGAGATGCGAGTCGGTATTGGAAGCCAACGATTGATTTGCGAGCTGAAGCCTATGCAACGTGTCCGATAAACCGTGGGTTTCGTCGGCGGTGGGCGAGGACATGGTGGTCAAGGCTGCGAGCGGGTGAGACGGAGGGCATGTCGGAAAACTTCACAGCAACCTGGGAGCACGCAAGGCATATACGACCTCCGAGCACGTGGATCTTCACCGACACTCGCCCGGAAAGGAAAGTGCAATGGTTCGCCTCCTCCAACGCCGCAGACGCGGGCTGCACATGCTGTGTTCCCTACTTCAGGTTATGTGAAAGGGAACGTTTAGGCAAGTGAAACCCATGAAATTACTGAGGTTATTGTCTTCTGGTCAGTCTCTTGTCATTGCTTTTTGCAATTGTTGACCCCGTGTTGATCTAGGCTACATGTCCCACTTCATATCAACTCAATGCAGCTCATTGTATAATTCATGCAGGGCAATTTAACCATAAAATGGTCGTAGTGCTTCCTAAGGCGACTGCGATCTCACTTTACGGAACTTGTTTTGCCGTCTCACAAGTTGCCTGAAGGGAACCCCTCATTTGCAAGACTGTCTTATATAGAACGCCGTCATCCAGCGATTGAAAAGATTGGCTTTTGGTATCCGCGGAAGGATTCGCTTAGCTTAAGCATGGCAACGTGCAAGTCAACATCGGCCGACACTGTCTTCGAAATCTGGCTAGCTTCTCGGGCCAATCCGAATTCTACAGGTCAAAGACTTCCTCCCGGCTCCCATCGTCCACTGTGCTCGAGAAAGCTCCGTCTAGCATTACGAATTTTGAAATCATGCTCCGCCGAGATATTCGGCATGCTGTGGTCGCTTCACCCATGGAGAATCGGCCTCACGCTCGCATTAGAAATCATACGCGGCCTTTCTCCCGCATTCAAAGGATACTCCCAAGCCTTACTTATCAACGAGGTGAGCGCTTTATCGCGACCACGCATAATACGAGCAATAACGCATTGTCGCATAAGGTCCAAAGACTGATAATCTCCAGGCAATTCACGTGCGGAGACCTTCTGCATCTTGTTGGCGCTGAAACCACACGCATTGGATTCGAGGGCCTGTTGGACTATCTAGCGTAAGCGTCTGTCTGGACTCTTCAGTGCATTACTTCGACTATTGGTTCATCGATAGGTCCTCGAGTGAAGACGTAATTCACAGCTCTACGCAATTCCTTTTGGAATACAAACAAATGCAGCAACGCGTACGACTCGACGTCCCGACCCTCAACGATCCTGTCATCCGTGACCTTCTGCACGAATCGGAACTGTTTGTGCGATCGTTCAACGGCATGTCGAGCTTTGGACTTTTCTCCACTTTCGATCTTACGCATATCTTGTCCTTGATTTCCGAACTTGTGTCCCATCTATTGATCCTCGCATCCGTGACTTCGGGCGACTTCCACCTCCACGCGTTACTCCTATCCCTCATTTTGTCAGTGCTTCCATTGATGCTCGGATCCAGACATGCCCAGGCAGACCTCGAAGGATGTGATGATTCGGTGGAGATTCGTGCGCTCGTCACCCAGGAGAAAATGCACTTCCTTGCTTATAGTAACTCTCATCGTCCCGAACTTGCGCTGTTTGGGCTTGGTCCTTGGATCTTGCAGTCTTGGGCTCAGGCGCGGAAGACCATGCTCAAATCTGGTCGACAGGAGAGCATCCTTAAAGAGGCTGAACGAATTCCGTCGTATTTGATATCAAACATTAACATTTCAGGTCTTCTTTTCGTAATGCAAAATGTGGTTCTAGCTAATGCCTTCCGTCCTACCTGATTGCTGACCTCATGCCGCAGATACCGCTGCTGCTTGCGACACACTCGCCCTCAGCATCGTTGGGCAACTTTCTTCTATATCGCAACTCGATAGAGTCACTACTTTTCACCATCCGTCGTCTGTTACATGCAATTAGTATGGCGTACCAGAACATTTTCCTCATGGCCGCCTTTTGTGCTGCATCTTCGATAAAACCACGTTTACATCCTGATGATGACAACGTTGTCCAATATAAGAATAATCCCGGAGGGATGAGTATCACTGCGAGGTGAGTCTTGTTATTTTAGGTTGAGCTTCGTTATGGGTGTTGATGGGATATTTTTGGAGGAACTTGACATATACATATCCCGGAAGTACAGACCCTGCCGTGAAGGACGTCAATATCACCATAAATGCCGGAGAGAGCATAGCGATTGTCGGATTTAATGGATCTGGTAAACTGTGTCTCTGCCTAAGTTATTATCGATGCCAACCGGTGTGTATCATCCAGGGAAGTCAACGCTCGCCAAAATCTTGCTACGCATATTGGATCACGACAGCGGCGAGCTCCTAGTCAATGACATAGACATACGAAGATATTGGCCCGAAGAGTTTCACGCGCATGTCTCCGCTGCGTTTCAAGATTTTTCGAAGTATGATGCGTCGGTGCGAGAAAACATAGCAGTCGGCTTCGTAGAGGAGCTACAGAATAATGATGCAGTTGAATCGGCTGTGCATCTCGCAGGAGCGGCGGGTCTTGTGCGATCTCTGGCGCAAGGCCTGGAGACGGAGCTCGATTTTATAAGCACTTCCTCCAGATCGGACGCTACTCCGTGGGCTTCGCCTCACGGAACTAAATCCGAGCTCTCGCGTCATGGGTTGTCGGGCGGCGAGGTACGTTTCCTCGCTATGGAATTTGAGGTTGATTCCTTGCTAAGGATGCTATAGTGGCAACGCATCGCTTTGTCGCGAGCTTTCATGAGGGCTAATCGACCGGAGGTAGACTTGATACTGTTTGATGAACCAGTGAGTATATTCACAAGTCGGATCACCGACTCTATTAACTCAGTCATAGACTTCTTCGCTCGACGCACACGCCCAAAAACGAGTATTTGACAGCCTGCAAACAATTTCTCGTCCCGCGTCAGGTGCCAAAAAAACGGTGATCTACATCACACATCGGCTATCCACCGCCCGTCATGCTGACAAGATAGTAATGATGGACAAAGGAGTAAGTGCCTGCTGTTCCTTCGTATCTGAGTGTCACTAATCGTGCGCTAGACCATCGTAGAGTTCGGAACTCATGAGGAACTCCTGACACGCAATGGACAGTATGCATCACTGTATAAGGCATCTGTCTAAGCACTGGTCGAGGGCTCCTGTGTTCATGTTGTGCAGTAGCATGCGACGTAATACGGACAGCTCCAAATATCCCAGCGGCAAGCGTCTATCCAATGGTCGCGCTCTTTCAGCGTTCCACGATGCAAAAAAAATACAAAGTCAGGTATATTCAAGCTACAGCTGCTCTGTTTGTGAGTATTATACTTGTGGTCAGAATGCATGTAACAGTACATGTAACGGATAAGCCATCAGCTCCGCTTGTAATAATTGAAATATGAGAGTACACCATCTTGTAACGCCGCATCTATGCCATTCGGGTCAGTATCAGAGGAGGTGGGGAGTCTTGCGAGGTCTTCCTGAGCCCCAAACGTCCCGACCAATAGGCCGAGGTCTTTCACGCCTTGGATTAGGGAAGGGACTTGCGCCTACCGTCCGTCAGTCAACACCAGCAATTGTATACAAGAAAAACTTGGACTACTCACCAGGAGTCCTGCATCTAGTAGCACGCCCAAGAGGTTATTGGATTTGGAAAACTCGACGGCTGCGTCGAGGCTCGAGAACCGATAATCCTGTACGTCATCAATGCCGAGGGCAGTGGCACTTGGAAGCGCACGGCTATGCTCGCCGCATTGTGAGGCCAAAAATACTGGATCTGTCGGAGGGCAGAATTCCTCAATATACTACTGGGATGCAGCGCCAAGTGGGTCTTACAGTTTGGTTGCTTCCAGTTTAATGCGGCACAAACGTCTGGGGAGAATGACGTGAAGACAACCGGCCGTCGTACAATAGGGCCTGCCGTCGAAGGCGTGGTACTATAGACAGTCCGCAGTATAGAGTCCGTGACCGTATTCAGACCCAGCTGGTGTCGCAAAGAAAGCCGATCTCTGACTCGCAGAGAAGGATATGTGACTTCAAGGCAAACACCCATGCTTGGAGGGATAATCTGCGAATGATTTCAGGTTCTCGGGTGTACTCGTGATTAGATGAATAAATGCCCTAACCTTCAGTAATGACGCCAGTGAGAGCATGGACCGCGATATTGAGCGATGCCATTGCACTGGTGAGAAATTAGTTTGCTCTGAGGGGAATATGTGCCGTCCTGAACGTATAGCTAGCTGCTCGAACTGCTCCAGAGTGACATCAGCCACGCCGACATCGTATCCAGTCTCAGGAAGTAGCCATTCGGCAAAGACGACCGGATGTAGATCTCGTGTCACTTGCACAGTGATGTAGATGTAACTCCCGGTGACGGAGGAATGAGTCAGAGAATGCCCCCCTGATACGGTCAAGAAAGGGTTTGCAGGTGATGCGTGAGCAGACCCCGTCGGACGTCCTGGCTGCATAGGCCGCGGGGTTGTCGATCTCGCGCCGGGTGTGGGCACAGGAGTGGCTAAAGACTTCCAGTAGGTCTCGACCGCACCTCCTATCTCCAGCGTCACACCGCTGAAGGGGGTAATGATATTCACTTCGAAGGAAACCTGCAACAGACGATCAGACGCCAGCATGACTACAATTGATCGGTCCAAATACCTCTCCTATGACATGGAGACGCGAGTCCAGAATCGGCAGAGTAAACGGATGGCTGTTCTTCGCATCCTTGAACATAGCGGGTAGGGCGATCGCACGCCCCATCGTCTTGGTACCGAAGTTAGGATAGAGCGAGAACTCGAGCGAAAGCGCGTCAGCCGAGGAAACCTGGAATGTGAACACAACGTTCTGGTCTCGCATCGGCAACGGGATACTGTAGGGCGCCGACGTCACGACCGGCGTCGCGGTCATCACCAGCTTGAGCAAGGGCGACGAATGCAGGATGCGATCGTCGTACTGCGAGTCGGCGAATAGATGATGAAGGTTGACGGCCGGCGACGAGTCGTTCCCGAAACGCGAGGTGAAGTGGCCGATGGTCACCTGGATGAGGGACGTCTTGTCCAGGTAGTTGTGGCCGTATACACGGTACGGCATCATCGGCGGTGGGAGGTACAGCGACGGGATGATGTCCATGTCCGACTCTGTGCCAGTCGAGCGCTGCGTATCTGTCATCGGTGACTTCTGAGTCAACGGCAAATGACCCGACGCGGTTCTGGAGGCCGCCTCCAGGAGAAGCACGACGCAGGAGCGATGGCCGTACCAAGCGGCATAATACAGGGCCGAATATCCGACCTCGTCGAAGCGGTCGACACGGCATCCTACCTCAAGCAGGACACGCAGGCAGGGCTCGCGGCCGTACCTTGCGGCGTGGAACAGAGGCGTCCACTCGTTGTACTTGTCTGGAACGTCCCAGCCGTCGTGAGGCGCGAGGATGCGGCAGACATCCCCATGGCCCTCCTGGGCGGCGAGATGAATCGGATATTCGCCGTTGGTATTCGGTATGCTGGGGGCACCGTGCTGCAGCAAAAGGACGACGACATCGATGTGGCCATACCGAGCAGCAAGAGAAAGTGGTATGAGATCGCTGCTCAGTGCCGGCGTCTGCACAGAGACCTTGCCGTCCTCGAGGAGCACACGGACGCAGTTCACCCACCCTTTTAATGTGGCGTATATCAGCGGTGTGCAGTTATCAACGTCAGGGATGTCCGGGGGCAACCCCACTTCGATAAGGCGTTTGCAGACCGCATCGTGTCCATGCATAGCAGCGTAATGGAGGGCAGACCGGCCGTAGACGTCGACTTTGTCGCGCTGGACACCATGATCCAAACACACATTCACCAGTCGCAGGACACCGACTATGGCGACCTCGTGCAAGGAGGTGCGTCCGTTGATATCATCTACAAAGTGGAAGTCGAATGGCTCTGCCGTAGAGGCGAGGATGAGGTCTGCCAAGTCCCGGGGAGCGTCAATCACCGCTTTCCACAGAATGCGCGTGACATGCATGCGGGCTCCGCGAGCTTGGGACAACGAGTCCGAGTACCTCACGAGAGCTCGCAGGGCATCCGGGTCCGCGTCTGAGACAGCTTTCCGAAGGTTACTTTCAAGATCGTGGAAAGGGCCCATCGGAATAGCGTGGTCAATGCCTAGCTCCCGGCTGAGCAAGTTCTCGTCTGCTATTGGACCTTCGTGCCTAAGACCCACCGAGAGGTCAGTCAGGTCAAGAAGGCACGCCGCAACGGTATCAGATAGTTCGGATATGAGCTGGGAAATCAATTCCGCTCAACGTAGTTCTTCAAAGTGGAAAATAGGGCGCGGAGCGTACCTGTCGATTAAAGACAGGCTGCACCTCAACCTGACGGGCTAGGTAAAGCTCCTTCGTGGTAGACTTGGAGCGTTTGTCCCACTTTTTCAGAATTTTGCGAAAGCCCGTGGCGTTGATCTCAACAAATTGCTAGATGGCCCGCGTATGCATCAGGATCACACACGAGGAGGATCTCGTATACCTGCAGTTTTCGGAGATCTCGTTCCAGGAGCCGGAACCCTTCCTCTACAGCGCTCCATTCAACATGGTTTTTAGTCGCGTCGTCGAAAGGGTCGGGTAACACACGCATCGCTGCGGCTCTCCGCTTCGAGAGTAAAGTCTCGAGTCGTAGTTTCAACTCGGCCTCCTTTTCCAGGTAAAATGCATTGATCTGTGCTATAGTCAGTATATGCTATATTGGACGAGGGACAGAGAGCACGACACCTTCTCGAGCTCACGCTCGAGTCTGAAAAAGAAAGCAGCTTTCTGCGCTTGAAAGTTGGGTCCCCTGTCATCGTCCTGACCTAGTGAAGCGAGGATTGGCGGCTCTTCAATGCCAGGTGTATCAAGTCCGGTCTCATGTATCTTAGCAGGAGCGCGAGTAAGGAGGTCTTCGGGACGGACGCTCTGCGTAATGCTTGATGGTGTTTCTGAGACGGCGCGGTCTGTTGTTAGAGAGGATATGATCTTCTTGAGGGCCTTGTAGTCCAGATAATATGGGGACCACCCTGGAACCTGTTCTGCCTGGATTCGCTTGCCAAACTAGATAAACGGCGCGTTCATGAGCACGGATGGACGGTGTGTGCTGTGATCAAGCCACCTTCATGACCTCGGCGGCGTGGGCTCGGGCGTTGAGGAGATTTGTCGCGGAGCCGAGGAGGAGAACGAAATGAAGACGAGCAGGGATGGAAGATAGAACGGCATGGACACGGAGAGACAAGAGTGAACTTGAAATTGGGTTTGGCAATGCCCATCGCCGGAGCAGAGCAGTCGGAGGCAGCAACCGGAGCCCACGTGCCAGCCCATCCCGCCAATCGCAAGCCCGTCTCCCGATCAGATTGGACCAACGTGCGTCAGACGATCGCATCCATTCATCACCCAGATTAGATCAGGATCTTCCGTAGTTGCCATACTCGAGCCGGCACAAGTGTTACAGGGCACCTTCCGTGCTTATCCACGTACTCATACGCGCACCGATAACAGAAAACATAGCCAGACGGCACCGCCGTCGCGTTCGCGAACCCGTCCCCACACAGCGGACACACCCCGTACGCCGTATGGTCCAGCCGGATCCCCTGCGGGTGCGGCTTCGCCAGTATTGGCGCAGGCACAGCAGGCCCCTGTGGCGAACTCGACAGTGCCCGTGCCGGCGACGAGGGTGAGTACCACCACTCCAGGAACTTGACAAAGAAGATGGCAGTGGGAAGCATGACGTTGATCGAATTGAGCAGCATGCGGGGCGAAGCCAGGAGCAGGCGCCGTAATATCGCAAGCAAGCTCCGAGGACCGGTGCCGCCGACAGATGGCTTCATTGCCTGTTGGACGGCACGCTAGACGCGACTTGTCAGCAGACTCATCTACGCTCGAATCCGCAAGACTGACCAAATCATCTATTCCTACGCGACGAATATCGACGCCTATCCATGACAGCCATGGGCGATAGAACGGAGTGCGATCGAATAGATAGGCTACGTTGTAGAGGAAAAGCCATGCTTCAAAGCTCGTGTTGAGCCAAGGGTACACCGCCTTGTACATCCTCCTGAGGCGACCTGCCAAACTCTGCAACTGATGAGTTGGAATGCGACACCAGTATCGGACAGGCACATACCTCTTCAGACAGTGCTCTCGTCTGATTGACAAGACTCTCCTCCATCACCTCCGACTGGACACCACCTCCTAGGTCCTCGAAATACTCGTGCGCTTTCGTTCGCAGGTACGGCAGGCCAACCTAGGAGCCTAGGTCAGACACAGCAGCAGATTACGACTCCCGACCTCACCAAAATGAGGAGAGACCGCCATATCTCTCGATCTCGCAGCTTCTCTTCTGGCAGCACACCCGGGACGGCGGCCTTCGCGCGTTCCGTCTCAAATATAGGCCTCCGTCTCCGCTTCAGGCCATAGAAGTTCTCGGAGAACGATGCGCCTGCGACATGAACAGAAGGACCATGCGCACGCTGCAGTATCACTTACCATGTGTCCGTAGATGGTGCCGCTCCACTAGGAGCATGAGAAGAGCATAGAACTCTTCATGTCGGTTTACAATACGCAGTAAATAGCGCGGATATCTTTGTGCGAAGACCTGTAGGCACGAGGGACATCATGTAGGCGCTGCGCCGGTGCAGGTTCATGTCACTCACGGATAGCACATACTTCAAAGCAGGTTGCAGAAGATCACGGAGTTGTTCTTGGGCGATGAGCTCAAACAATGTTGGTTTCAGCGGATCGCCTCCGACATCATTGAAGAACTCCATGTACGAGGTGTTGGTGTGTCGGTGAGAGCCTCAGCAAGCGCGTCTCAGCAAGCCGACTCCTTCCCCACATCATCATTGCACACGCGATCATGTGATAAATGTGTACTGTACACCGCCTGACGCGCGTCGCGACATGTGTAATGACGGAAGATGAAGACGTTTTGTAACATAGCTCTGACACAGCGAGTAAACTATAACGACACAACACAGGGAAAGCAACGAAGGGATCAGCCCCAGTCAAAATACTTGGCGCCGGCGTGAGGACCGACCGACTGCGTTCCTACAACCCATTCCCAGACGATGTCCATGCTCGAGTCCTCTCCACAGTGTAACCACATCCGCATCTGCGTTAGATTGGGTTCCATGCTTGCTTCCTCGGGCTGTGATGACGGAATCTCTGTCTCCGGAGAACCTGCCGCTGTATGCTCGGTCCAGCGTGGGGAACAACGGACACAGTACTAATGACTTGTTTCGTACCTTCGACAACGCCCGTCCATTGGAAGAAATTGTGCACGAAGGGCGCGACAGGTTCTCGTCGCACGGACGATGGGGTGTGACTCTCGCCTTCCGGTGGAGATACTGGCCGGAGGACGGGCAGCCGTAGTTGGTCCAGGCCAGAATCGAACACGGCCAGTGCAATGGTGGTGGATCTACGAAGGATGGAAGTCCCGCATACAGTGATTCTCCGGGCGCGGACTCACGATTGTGATGAAAGGGCGTTCAGGGCCGTCAGGGCGTGAGTGATCAGTGATATGTACGAAGAGAGGCTAGGCAGGTACGCGGTTGGTTGATCAGCCCCCACACGCATGAGCACACGCACGTTGGTTCAGAGGACCCTGCAGAACAAAGCGCAGAGAGTTCGTGCAGCACAAGAAGGGTGGGGGCAGACGGAAGCGTTGTCTTCGGGTGGTAGAACGAGCCCTCGTACACGTGTAGCATGGACAGAAGGAGCACAAAGTGAGCTGGCGTCGGAGGGTAGCTAGTTGTCTTGTCGGAAAGGGGCCACAACAGAATAATGGAGAAAGACCAACAGGATATCAACCCGAGACGACGCGTCGCAGACTCGGCCGGTTCCTCCGTTGGCCCTCAGCCACTCGTCGTCAAATTCCGTTAAAGAGGAACAAAGCTGCTGTCGAGAAGGACTGATCATGATGGCTTTCGCTTTGGGGCTCTTTGCATTATGTGAGAGCATGAGGTGGATGGGTGCAGATGGATGGTAAGGGCCTTGCACTAGCAGGGTGCGAAATGGCGGGAGGAAAGGCCCAGAAGGCGGAAAGATGGTAGTCATAGCTAGTAGTGAGCCGCCAGAGCGCGGCAGACAAACGAATCGCGCCTTTGCAGGTCAACGGTGGAAGATGCTGTGAGTCAATGCCTATGCAGCGGTGAGCAGCACTACACGAGGGAAGAACATAGAGGCGGGCCGTCAGGCTGTATGCTACTGTCAGTCAGGCCTCAGGCCTCAGGTTCCAGCTGGTTACTTGAACACTAGTACTGAGACAAGTCCAATCCCAAGTCCAGTGGTGCGCATCACATGATCGTGTCGCGACGCGTGTTTGACATCCATTGTGCCAGTGGCTGCCTCGTGGTTGGTGTGGCTTCTGTCACCTCCTTTGAAGTATAAAAGCCTTCTGTCGCCCACGATGGATTTGCTCAGAGTAACTCTCTGTACGGACCCCCTCGACCCCCCAGGTCAAGGCTCACTACCACTAGCACTTCTCCCGTGCTCTTTCGCCTTCGGCCACTTCATCGCAACCCAAACTCATGCTTCTAGGTCTGAACCAAGGTCGCGGTCGTATTATATGGAACCAGTGGCTCCGAGACCCTGACGGTCCTCCCCTCAAGAAGCCAGGACCCTTCGGCAAACGAACTCCCAGTGATCTCATGTGGGGTGCCGACCTCTCGAGTTTCTTTTGGACCGAAAGGATCCCTTGCGCCCCAATTATCTGTATCTGGACACGCAGTATGATACAGGAGTTTGGGGAGAATTTCTATGGCCTTGAGGACATTGACGATTACGAGCCAGACCCGCATCTGATACAGCCGTATCCCATCCTGCGCTTGATGGACCAAGCAGACTCTGAGAGCGACGAAGGCGATGGGACAGATGGGGAAGACTCCAACGATTCTGCAGATGAGTGCAGTACAGGCGACGAGACTGACTCAGGAGACCTCGCAGAACAAGATTCTGCAGACGCCGATTCTGCACACCAGATCTCTACAGGCGATGATACTGCCTCCTCTGATATCCCTACAGCCGACATGGCATCGGTGAGCATTTCCTCGGCGGACGATAAGTCGTCTTCATCTCCTACGTCCAACCATATTCCGCCATCCCAGCCGCCCTTCAAGGAGCTCCCGAAGCTTGAGGAATTCATACCGGAGGAGTACTTTCCCGACTTCCTTCTGGTGCATGATCCGGACCAGTTGACTCCGGGTGTTAGTGAGAGGTCATCGGGAGATCCTTCGCAGAAGAGCGACGATCCCGTCGTTCAGTATAAGCGCCTCTGGCCGGCATTTGATTCGGATGTTCCCCCCAAGGCTCCGTCAGGAAAGAAGGCTGGGCCGGAGACGAATGATGGTTTGGAGTCGCGCACTGCGCATCTTTACTTGTCCGCGCAATGCCGCATGGGCGTCGGACACCATTCACTCGTGTACCGCGCAGCGTTGACGCTTCCTCCACCGCTGGCGGCGAACTCACCCACCGGACAGGTCACCGTGGCGGCGAAGGTGGCTATGCCGGGCTCTTCCGCTCGGGCTATGCTGCACACTGAGGCAGATATCTACAATAAGTTTCCGAAACATCTCATGGAAGATTGGTCCGGTTTCAATCTCGTCGCACCGCATAAATGGCCTGTACCGGCAGACGCCATTGTGCCTAAATTTTACGGATATTACGTCCCTGTCAAATCACGTCAGACGCTCTCCCAACGTTCTCTGAGCCCTATCCTGCTTGTTGAAGAATGCGGAGTACCCATAGATCCCCGGAAGCTCAGCATTGACGAACGGTGCGTTGAACTACTTATGTCTAATGATAGGCGATAGGACTGATTAACCGCCCCGTTGCAGGTCGCAATGCTACACTCATATGCTGCGCTTGCATTACGCGGACTTCATACAGAACTCAGGCTATGTGCGTAACATCATGGTTCAGCCAGGCCCTCTCCATAGGCCACCTAGCGAGCGATCGATCAAGACTCCGAGCTTCCGAATTATTGACTTCGGGCGGGGTGAAGTGTTCCCAGACTGGTTCAAGAAGATGTATTACGAGCACCCTTCGGAGGTCCGGAAGGATGATAGCCGTCTTCAGGAAAAATATCGTGCGTGGGCCAGTAAGGTAACGGATCAGGAATTGTCTTTGAGGCACGAGCTTGGTATCAGCGAGGGCGATGCCTGAGTAAGTCCCGATTGTTATGTGAAAATAGCCCCGTTTTCAGACCCTGTCGCCGTTGTGGACCTTGGTCTCGGAGCTCGTCGAGTCTTAGCGCGCATATGTAGCGTCTGTATGATAGTTTATGTCTGGGGCCCGCGTCTCTTTTGTAATATACTGTGCATCCTGACTCGCAGAAAGATAGTACTTGTGTGATGACCTGTGGATAGGCAGTACCATTACTCGAACAACTCGGGCGGTTAACAACTCGATCGTGATCGAACATGGGCAAACATTCCCATTGGCAGTTGACCTTCTCATTCACGACATTCTTTCTACTCAAGCTTTGTACTTGGCGAGGGACCAGCTGCTGACTTTGCAAAACCTGCTTTTGAAGACAGGTCAAGCTTGATGCGTAGTATACAGCTATAACTCAGTAGCAGTCCTCAGTAACTTGAACGCCTCGAGGCTACTTGGTTCATTGCCCAGTACAGAGCCAAGATGCACCCGTTCGCGTCATACGTTTTGCGCAGCTATTATCGTGGAACAGGATGGAACGAGGATAACCTATACGCGAATCTCACTCGTTCGTCAAATGGTGAGTCACGGAACGCCGCAACCTCACAGAGTTAACTCAGTTCGGTATGTCAGCTATCCTGGATTTTAGCGTACCCAGAGGACTGCATTTTTCTATCTCGAAGTCGCCAAATCCTCTGTTCAAGACCACATACTCCATGAATGCCCTTCCATCTCTGAACGGGTCGATAGGCTACATATTCACGTCGTGCGAACTGGACGTGAAAGGCTCCGGGGACGTACGGTTCAAGGACATGATAGATCGCTTCAGGGTGTATGACCAACCTCGCAGACCAGAGGGGAAAGAGGAAGAGTGGCTTGCGGGCGAGCGAGTCGACACTCGCGGTAAGTACGTTACCAACCATTTACTGCCCCTCGAAGCTCCCACTGACTTTGCCTGCAGACTACCTCCTGTACGGCCGAGTTTATATACCAACCGGTCGACTTGATGCCCTCTACTCCACGAGGTTATCTCCCACTTTGCAGGCCATGGTAGCGGCCATCTCTGACCCACGATCGAGCCTCTTCGCCGAGTCCCCTCGTGGTATCGCTGCACCTTCGAGCAATATTATGTTCAGCCTACAGCACGACACAGGAAAATGGTGCACGGAGTATACATGGAGCGCTGAGGACGGGATGTGGGGAGTCCGGTGTCTCCACAACTTTGGGAAGGTAGGAGGCCCGAGCGAACCTGTCGAAGACAGCGAAAAGTCTACAGCGGCTCCTACCAAGACACGCTCCGGGGTGAAGAGAATTGACGAGGAGGATGCCATGGAGGGCGGCCTGAAAGGTCGAATATCGGCAGGTGCTGAGTTTTATTTCAGCGCCAAAGAGAAAAGTGCAGGAGGTAGGCCAGGATTGGTTCATTGTGCCCCGTCATGTTTGATATCCGTTTATTTAGTTTCGACGGGGATTCGCTTCACGACACTCCCTGATGCGACGCCACCGTCATTCCAGCTGCCATCGTCTTCTCCAACCCAGCCGTCATTATTAGCCCACGGTGCCCCGTCACAACCACCAACCACTATCACCGCTCTCTTCAATCCGATGCTCGGCCATATGTCTGGTGCATACTCCGCCCGCGTTTCCCGTGATCTGTCCATGAGCTCGCGCTTCGACTTCAATGTCTACAGCTACGAGAGCGAATGGTCAATAGGAGCAGAGTGGTGGACGCGCCGCGGCAGGGGCATGTTCACGTCAAATCCCCCGGCCGCAGATACGTCAGAAAAAACCCCGAGCTCACCTCCCGCTCTCGAAGCTGTCGGCGATGTGACGGGCGTTGTGAAAGCACGGGCGTCCACAACGACAGTGAGTAGTGCAATGTCCCGCGATTCGTCACAGTGTCTCATTCTTGATATTCTCAGGATTTCTCACTAATGTGGGAAGGACGCCTACACAACATGCTGGTCAGTCTGGGAATTGTTTCGAACCTGACGAGCAGGTCAAAACCCATCAAAGCGATTGGACTCGAACTTTCGTACTTCAGTTCAGGTTAGATCAATTCGCATTTCATCTGTCAAGCGGTGTGTACTATATAGCAATGACGACCGTGCATGGTCCGGGAACATATAATTATTTGGGATCTTGCGGGACCCGAGCATGTTTGTTGGTACAATATAGACTCCGAGACTCGAGGTGATTATTTTGCAGCGTATGCGGACAGAGAGCAACCAATCGGGTGGGTATCAAGCGATAACAGACGAGAAGGCAGCGAGGATTAAGGAGATACACTACATAGGAGCAGATTTGTCGTAGATAGTTTTTTGAGCGAAAATAGGGACTGTCCGTCAGTCTTTGGAGATGGAAACAGTAGGGGGAGATCGTCGCTGCAGAGGTGAGCCGCCCAAGGTCTTCGCAAGCCTGGAAATGGCGTCTCCCGAAATAATGGGTCGCGTCGCGTGCATCGAACGCGTGTGTCCGTGCGACGCACCAGAACCTGCCGGTGGGGTCGAACGCGTTCGTGCATGAGCCCCGCCGTCTCCCCTCAATACACGGTCCGAATCAGACGTGGGGCCAGGAAAGCTGGTGACGGACGCGCTATGCGGCTGCTTGTGCGCCCTCCCAAGGGTGCGTGAACGAACGTGCCCGGACTGGTGGGGTGGCAAGTCCGGGATAGGGTGGCTTGAAAGATAGCTCGGAGCGGACATGGAGGCAGGGATGGGGGTATCCGCGGGCTTTGTGACGCTCTGCGCAGGAGAGTGAGCCTTGGTCTCCACCTCGTTAGAACCCGCGGGCTTATTTGGTGCATCCTTCGACGGAGCTGCATTATTCTGAGTGGCAGATTCTTGACCAGTCGGCTTCGAGGGCAACGAAGCATGCATTGATTCGGCCAACCCTTTGAGGCGCGGCTGTCGCTTATGAGGAACGGGATCCAGCACCGCGACAGGTTTGCGAGGTAATGAAGGGTGCAGAGAATGTTTTACATTGGGAGACGGCATCCCTGAAGCATGCGGCTCTGACGTCGAGTTCAGCGTCTCAGCTTTGGGCTTGTCACCAAGATCTTCGGCAGTATCCGTCTTGGGTCCACCCGTAGCCTGCTCCGTCTTCGATTCCCTGCGTGGGCGTCGTTCCCGCTCCTTCTTCTCAGGCTTAGCAATCGAAGGCGTCTCAGCCGAGATGCCATCGTGCTGGTCCTCAGGGCGGCCATCCAAGGAAATCGTTATGGGGGTACCAGGGTCAATGCTTGGAAGTGGCTTCAAAGCATCTTCCAGTATAGGCGAGATGATACTTCCTTTGCCAGACTGAACAGAAACATCCGTTTGACTGGTGCTGACTCCCCAGTCGGGAAGTTCAGGTAGACTATCATCGTCATCGCTGGCCCAATCAAAGTGGCTACCCGGCGTGTGCGGCCTATCCATGGCAATGGCGCGGACGCGCTCTACGAGAGCGTCGATGTTGTGCCTCGTGTCATGTGGAGGCTGCTCTGGCGGAGGTGCAAGATGAGGAGGGAGATCCTTGGATACAGATGCTATACGGTCTGGACGAAGCTGGCTAGCACTTGACTCGGACGAGAGAGATGACTTCGAAGGTGCGGCAGAGACCGCTTTGCTTGACGAACGTTTCCGCCGATTGGACGCGCGGGAAGTATTGCCGTTCACAGGAGGAGGGTTAAGCGGTGTCGGGGGCACAGAGTCAGCCCCATTGGCAGATGCTTTGCGGGAGACCTTGATCTCAGGTACCTTCTTAGCAGGCTTGGATCGGCCAGAAGGCTTGCTCGAGGGCGGCACTGCAGCACTAGCTACAGAGGGCGGCTCTGCCGGCGTCCTCGCAACTTCGGAAAGAGATTTGTCCTTGCTTTCATCCTTCGATGACTGGTGCCCGCCCTGGCTGGGTGCCGCACCTCCTCGGCTACTACCCCGTCCACCGCGTGCGCTCCGAGCCCCTCGTCCCCCTGATTTTCCCTTGTTCGTTCCGCGAGTTGCTGATCCAGACTCGCCACTCCTACTCCAACTCCCTCGTGTGGCTTCAGTCTGGCTTGTCCAAGACAAATTACCGCCGGAGGGTGCTGGGGGAGGGAGCGTGGACGCCATAGGCAGTAATATGGGCTATGATTTACGGGTATTTCCGATGTCTGACATTTGCGTAAGAGACGAATGCGACACCTCGAGCCATCTAAGGGCCGCTGCTAGCAAACTCACGACACAAGTAGATGGTGGCAGGCCTGTGATGAGTTTCGGTGATGGCCAGACGTGTGAAACAGGCTATGTTCGTCAGATGGGCGTGAGGTTGTGGAACAGTAGGTTATATATAACAGCAATGAGTTCAAGAGAGAAGAGGGATTGAGAGTACAGCGATACAGAGCAAGAGGAGGTAGAGGTTGATGTTTGGTTCTAGGAGGCCACTAGCGGACTGTCGGAGGTGTCTCAGTTGCGGCGCTTGTACCACGTGCTCCATAGGCTCGGTTCCTCCAGGCCACAACAGTCGACTCGACTCTCAAGCGACAAGCCACACAAAAATCCGGCTCTAGTCAAACGGCCCAGTTGCAGTCGCCATGTCGAAAGCCTCCCAACCCGAGCTCAAAAAGGTGAGTGTCTGCATCTTGATACTTTCGTGTATCGTGTGGCTCGCTCATAAAGGACCACCTTAGTTTATGGACAAGAGGCTGTTTGTCAACCTGCAAGGCGGTCGCAAAGTCAGCGGGACATTGCGAGGATACGACCTTTTCTTGAATCTTGTTCTGGATGATGCCACGGAGGAGACGGTCCCGGCGCAAAAACATCCAATTGGCACAGTGGTACGTATGCGTACCTCTACCTCCTGAAAATGGACGCTTATCGAATCCCCCATGGATAGGTCATCCGAGGTAACAGCGTAACATCCATGGAGACCTTGGAAGCCATTCGGTAGGAAATTCAGGACGTGTGTTGTACGCTTTGTATCAGTATTTTGCTGTCGCTGTGCACTTTGTTTCGGAACCGCAGACACGATCCGGGTAATGAATCTTTGTGATCCACATTTCAGCCCGCGCAACTTCGGAGCACGAACATCGCTGCGAGTCGTCTCTCTTGAAGAGTGAGAATGTTGTTACACTGTCAGACTCAGATATCGATAAATCATCAGTCTGACTTCGTGCGCAAGTGAGCCCCCAAGAGCACCTTGGCTCTGATACGCTCTATGTTGCTCTGGTGTGCGAGTGATGTTGAATTTCGTTTTGGGACCAGTTTAGCCGATGCCTCGCGTTGGGGAGGGGGAGGACCCCCGAATATAGGGGGGGAACCCTGATCCCAATTTCTCAAAAGTTGGTCGATTTGTACGGCAGAAATTCCCGATTTTCGGCCTGATATGTCCGGAAAAAATCAGGCTGCCGCCTGATTTAGGCCAAAATGTCCGGAATTTGTATCTTTTTGGACCAGGGTGTCGAAAATCGGCGATTTGTCCGGAAATGATGGATCAGGGTTCCCAGAAACACAATTTCGCCCCCAACTTCGATTCTGACATCGTAATGCGGACTGGACACTCATACTTGTGCTATGTAGCTTCGCAATATGAACTCTGTTCAAGCACCTTTGTCCCCTGGACCTGTGTGATTTTAGAGGTGGCCACTTTCTTTGTCTTCTTGCACGCAGCACCAAGCATTTTCACTGCCGTGATATGAGATAGGCAGCTTGGGGTGCTCAGAAAAAGTGGCATTGTCGAGTTTGAGAATGCGCTCGTCCGTAGTTATGTGATGTGAACTATATAGATGGCAAAAAAAATCAATCTGACGAAATGTGAGCAAACGAGAGGCACTTAGAATACCAGCCGCTGATGAGCCCACATTTTGATACTATAAGTAGACATGTACAGGGTGCAGAAATACTAACATTCAATATATTATCCTCGAGCACGACATGACGCGACGTCGTGGGATCGTCCGCATGCATGTCACATGACGGCGGACGTGCAAACCTGGCCAAGCATAAGCGCGGAGCAGGCTTGTCCGTCTTCGGATCAGGCTTCCGGCATTGGCCGGAGTATGTCCGGAAATCGTACCAGGGATGAGGGTTACGACAGACTGGTTTTGTCCGGGAAAAGATCAGGGATCAGGGTCCAAAATCGCCCAGATTTGTCCGGAATGGGATCATGGTTCCTCCCCAATATTCGGGGGTCCTGGAGGGGGGGGGGAATATAATCTTGTCTTTCATAGGAGGAATACTCTATGCATAGAAGTTGAATGGTTACCACTCATTCTAAACCCTTTCGCCCGCACCTACGGCCCAGCAGGACATTTTGTATTGTATACCGACAACCTGCAGGCCAGCCCAGTAAGGATTTTTGCATCTAGACGCTTATGATAAGATAAAGTCCGGGTAAATTTTTGGACTTCGATCACTGCGATCCAAGATTCAGATGCGCCTGGCGCCTCCTTTGAATATTACTTTCCATCCTTATACCAAGAATCAAACGCTCCCATCATGGTAAAGCTGTCTCTGCTCACGGGCCTCTACTACTCTCATACACATATCAGATCCGTCGCCAAGTCCGAGAGCGCCGTCAGTACATCTACACGAAGTCGCTCGAGGCGCAAGAACGCCAGACATATGAGCGCAAGCAGAAGCTCAAGGATGCGCTCGCAAGCGGAAAGGCATTGCCCACTGAACTCAGGAAAGACGCAGAGAAGCTTGGTCGTGACCTTGCGCTTGATGAAGCGCAGGCCGGTACGTCGGATCCTATCTTCCAACATTCCATGATTATTCTGATAGCCCTGGTGCAGATCCCACAACGCACATTGATAATGAGTACTCTATGGCCGGTATCCAAGACCCGAAAATTATTGTCACTACCTCGCGCGACCCGAGCTCCAAGTTGCAGCAATTTGCCAAGGTAAGGGCCGCATGTTCATCTATTCACAACAACGTTTAACATGTGTTTAAAGGAGATGCGCCTTGTCTTCCCCAACGCGCATCGGATAAATCGAGGCAATTATGTTGTAAAGGAGCTAGCGGAAGCATGCAGAGCGAACGATGTAACGGACCTGGTGATTCTGCATGAGCACCGAGGGACACCAGGTGAGTGACATCAAAGTCCCATTCCATGCGTATTCCCTGAATGTCTATTATGGCAGACGCCATGATTGTTTCACATTTCCCCCATGGCCCTACTGTCTTCTTCACCCTCCACAACGTAGCCCTCCGACATGACATCAGCACGTACAAGGAGTCGACCGTCTCTGAGCAATACCCTCATCTCATCTTCGAAAACTTCAGTTCGGGACTGGGAGCGCGGATAAGAGACGTGCTGAAGCATCTCTTCCCTGTTCCGAAGGAGGACAGCAAGCGGGTCATGACATTTTCGAACGAAGATGACTTCGTTTCCTTCCGGTGAGGCATCTCAATGCTACTACATCGGTACCCTCTCATTATTATTTCCTCGCAGACACCATGTCTTTATGAAGATCCCACCACGACAAATCCAGCTGGCCGAGGTCGGACCGCGATTCGAGATGAAACGTGAGTGGCCATGACATTGAAGCGCCATGCGCGGCTCAAGTACTATCCCTTCTTAGCATACGAGATTCGACAAGGAACCATCGAGCAGACTGAGGCAGAGCGTGAATGGGTACTGTCACACTACTCAAGAACAGCCAAGAAGCGGTCGCATTTGACTGGACCCAGTCCGCGTCCCGGTCGGGACGCTGGGTCAGAATCAGAATCAAATCCCAAGAAGAAGGTCAGGCGGTAGCTTGGACGATTTCCATTAAAACCACTTCTCTAGTACGGAGTAGGGGTAAATCACCCGCCTTGGACGACAATCTCATGTCAATGTTGGAAAATGAGCTTACTTCCCATAAGCACGGGTTTGCGGAGGGCAGACGTAGCCACCGCCATGCCAGGGTGGACGTTGGAGAGCAGGCCTTGCTGTTAGGGCTCGGAACCTTTGAGGGCATTGCATGTATTACCGTATGCTATCGTTCGTTGCTCCAGTGTTCAACGTTCAACGCCCGCATAGGATCAATTTATTGCTTTCCTCCCAGTTGAAATTCATCAGAATGTCCGTTAGTCCACGAGCAGGCTCTGATCGAGCTCCGAGAAGCCTTCAAAGAACGAGACAAACAGGTCGATCGCACTCTGCACGTCGTGCGCGCCTGCGGTCTCCCGTATGGAGTGCATAGAGAGCATCGGGCAACCGACGTCAACCGTCCGAACGCCCAGCTTAGACAGTCCGGGGCCGACCGTCGATCCACACGCCCTAGGGATAGGAAAATACGTCAGACTACCCGAATGTCGACCACCACAAGGAGGAGTGTACACACATATCGTTGCGGACCTCGTAGTTCTGCACCTTCCCGCCCTTGCGCTCGATGAGCTTCTTGACGAGGAATGTGCCGATCGCGTCGGTCGCGTAGCGCTGCTTCGCGTTCGTCTTGATGACGACGCCACCGTTGATGCACGGCGAGTGGTTGTCCTCGTAACGCCCGGCGTAGTTCGGGTGGAATGCGTGCGTCATGTCCGCACTGATGAGGAACGAGCGTGCAATGCTCTGCGCGAATGCACCGGGCGTGGGCGAGAGCCGGTTGAGCAGTGAGGCGATGAGCGAGGACTCGGCGCCGGTCGTCGAGACGGATCCTACTTCCTCGTGGTTGAAGAGCGCGATGCAGTTCACGTTTCCCTCGGCCGTAGAGAAGGAAGGAGAGGAGGCAAATGTCGCCATAGCGTCCAAGGCTGCAAACCTATGGGAAGTGTCAGGTAGTGGAATGGCTGCCGGCTGATATGCGCACTCACGATGAGAACTGGTTGTCCATGCGAGGGCTAAAAACGAACTCGTTCTTCAGACCGCCCAGGACAGACGGCTGGGTGTCGTAGAGATGCCTAAACCACGGTTCAATCACAATATAACGGTATGAATGCCAGTGACGCACAGCTCGAAGTCGTGGATGTCTTCTGGTGCGACAGACAGCTCTTCCGACAAGACGGCGAGAAGCGCGGCATGGTGATTCGCTTGCACGCTCGACGCAGCTGTAACTGGAGTTTCCGCGGGCGGATTGAGTTGCGACTCGACCATGCCTACAATCGGAATCATCTCCGTCTCCTGATTAAAGCTGAAGTTATCGTTGGCAGTGCGGTCCACTACTCGCTGGTGCGCGTGAGTCGACTAGGTAGCAGGTAAATCTGGCACTTACGGTGAATGGCCAGGGTAGGGATCCGGAGGAGTGGCCTATCAATGCGGATGAGCTTAGAGTTGAACGCGCCGCTCTTATCCTTCAGGATAATCCTGCCGGCAAGGGACAAGTCGCGGTCGAACCAGGAGTGCCAGATGCCTCCGCCGTATGTCTCGACACCCACTTGAAGGTATCCCATCTTGGATTTCTTGGAGATAGGGCGCACCTAGCAGATGCACATCAGGACTCTATTCATCGCCCTTTCATTTTGCAAGGAAGCTGGATTTTTCAAGGCTATTTCATCTCCTAACTCGCGAAGACTCTGCATGTTCGAGAGCGATGGCCGACAGCCCACTGAGATTCACCAGAGCAAGATTTCGTTGCAAACTTGTAGTCATATGCATAGCTTCCGCATACCCTCTGGAAACATTTAACAAGCAATGGTAGGTGCAAAGCGCGGCGCCTCTCAGCCAGATCCGATAGATGATGCAAGTACCGAGAAATCATTGTTGAGACTCGTGCGCATCTTAAAGTCCACGCTATGTACTTCAAAGAGAGAGTGGATTCCGCGCACACGTTATGCGCCTGGGCAGAAAACTCTTCTCATGCCGTAAAGGCAGACAGCACGTTGAATGCAAGACGCACCCGTAGATTCGGACTGTCAATGTGGGTAGCAACAATTGACACGCCAGCGCCCGGCTTCCAATTGGAAGGTATGGTGAATGCGACAATGCAGCTCTGGTTGCTGTAACGTGTCATGAGTCGAACCGATACAGACTGAAGACATTAGTGCTAGGGCATACCGGGTCCAGTAGTACTTGTCCCCGCCCTTCAGGTTCCTTTCCCAGTCGTTCTTCTCTTGTATCTGAACAGTACCTGGTTATCAATATATACGGATGATTGGTGTGTTTGCCGCACCTTGCGGAAACCGGCCTTCTCGAGGCGGATTGCAGCGGCCTGCACTGCGTGGAAGGGCGTAGGCGAGGCGTTGACGAAGCTGAGAAGCCTGTTGGCAGCCTCTGGGCCCGACTGTAGCATCATTTCAGAGCACGGAGCAGAAAATAGGCGTAGGTATTGGCGAGAGAACGAGAGGGGACGGAAGGAGGAGGGAGGAGTGGCCAGTCGGAGCATCGACCTCGATCGCGGGTGGGGAACGCGATCTGCGATACAGCATGCGTGGGAATCTCGAAAATTACCTCGATCATTCTTCTGGCTGGCTAGCGCCCGCCTAGACTCTACAGTGAACGCCGACATGGTCCAAACCTACCTCAGGCACGGGCCTACAGAGGTACGCATTTGCTGTTCTCTATTGCCCGCCATTATGTGAACGCGCATGTGCCTTAGGCATTCGGGCTCGTCTGCAGCTCGTCGTCCAACTCACAATATGACGGCAAACTCGCCTATGTCCCTGCACTCGAGGATGTTCTGGTCTGGGATGTCAAGAAAGGTCAAATGGTGAGCATCCCCAATATACCTACATGCATTCATGCTAAAGACACGCAAGCTGGCTATGTGGCACGAGACTGGACATCGTGCAGAGGTGACCTGCATCCTGCGTTCCCCGCAGAAGGATATTTTTGCTGTGGGCTACGCTGACGGTTCTATCCGTCTGTGGAGTGCCTCTGAGGGGTCTGTTATTGCCACATTCAATGGACACAAGAAGGCGGTAACTGCCCTGGCGTTTGACGAAGCAGGAGCGAGGCTGGCGTCTGGTTCGCAAGACACGGACTTGATTCTATGGGACGTCGTCGGCGAAGCAGGTCTGTTCCGGTGAGCAATTCGGTTCTGCGCGTCTCATGTTGTTACTTAGCGGACATACAGGTTGCGCGGACACCGCGACCAAATCACCGCCGTACATTTCATCACACCCTATGCATCTGGAGTCCCGTCCACGTCTAGCGGAGCAGCTCCCAGCTATTTGCTCACCTCAGCCAAGGACACATTCCTCAAGCTCTGGGATCTTTCCACGCAACATTGCATCCAGACCATTGTCGCTCACCGCTCCGAGATCTGGACGTTCGACGTAGACAGCAAGCACGAACTTGTCTTTACCGGTAGTGGTGAGGGCGAGCTCAAGGCCTGGCGGATCGATCATGAGGCACTCGCCCAGGGCCTGCGAGAAACGGAGTCCGGCGAGGTATGCAGTAGACCGTTTTTGTGATGCACGCGGAACTCACCAACGCGCTCACAGGTTGCGAAGCTTATACATCCCGTCGCTGCTCTACCGCTTGCCTCTAATCATCGTGTATCTCAAATCACATTCCATCCAACGCGTCCATACCTCGCCGTGCAATCACACGACCGAACCGTCGAGCTGTTCCGGATTCGCACTGAGGACGAGGTGCGCAAAAAGCAAGCGCGTCGGCGCAAACGGATGAAGGAGAAGAAGGAGCAAGGGAGGGCCAAGGCCAAAGACGGCAAAAAAGACCAGGAGCACGAGCCTGAGGCCGACGACAACGCCATGGACGTCGACGAACCGGCGGCCCAGCTCGTTGACCTGTTCACGCCGTACCTTGTCGTGCGCGGGAGCGGTAAGATCCGGTCATTCGACTTTGGCGACGAGGAGGCCAGCGGCAAGGGCGCGACGCAGGTGTTCTTGGCGCTGTCCTCGAACGCGCTCGAGGTGTACAACGTGCCCCCTCCTGCGAAGACAAAGGATGTACTCCCGGAGACCACGCGAATATTCTCTGTGGACCTTCCTGGTCACAGGACGGATGTTCGTACGCTGTGTCTAAGTTCGGACGACACGCTTCTAGCGTCGGGGTCGAGTGGTAAATTGCTACTTCGAGCTCCGTCGCAGTACTTTGCTCATCCACAAAACGACTTCAGGCTCTCTCAAAATCTGGAATATGAAGACTACGGCTTGCATACGAACGCTGGAATGTGGACACGCGATCTGCAGCACCTTCTTGCCAGGCGACCGTCAGGTTCGGCGTGTCAGCATGTCGTGATTGAAATTTACTGACACGGTGGTTCTCTAGATAGCAGTCGGCACAAAATCGGGGGAGATACTTATATACGATGTCGCGTCATCATCGCTCCTCGATACGATCAAAGCGCACACATCGACGGTTTGGAGCATTCACGTCCGTGCGGACGGGCAGGCGCTCGTCAGCGGTAGCGCAGACAAGGACGTTAAATTCTGGGAGTTCGAACAGAAGCTCGTGGACAAAGAAAACGTGAGTCGACGCATCCACTTTGCTTGATTAGCAGGAGAGTTTACGTACTGTCGTGCTTGCCTCAAAGCCGCGCAGTGGGCGGCTGCTCTCGCTGGTCCATGTGCGTACGCTAAAAATGACCGACGACGTGCTCTCGGTTCGGTATAGTCCCAATGGGAAGTTCTTGGCCGTCGCACTCCTCGACTCAACGGTCAAGGTGTTCTACCAAGACTCCCTGAAGTTCTTCCTCTCTTTGTACGGTCACAAGGTGCGTCAAAGTCATCTACTTCTGCGTGCCGACGATACCCACATCAGTGCAGCTTCCGGTGCTCTCGATGGACATCTCGGCCGACTCCAAGCTCATCGTGACCTGCTCTGCGGACAAGAACGTAAAGATATGGGGCCTCGACTTCGGCGACTGCCACCGCTCGATCTTCGCGCATGACGAGAGTGTGATGCAGGTTGCCTTTGAGAATTACGACGTGCGGGACCTTGACGCCAAGCCTTCGCATTACTTCTGGACAGTGGGCAAAGATAAGATGGTCAAGTACTGGGACGGCGACAAGGTAAATATACATGCAAGCGGGGAACGTTAGCTTACACACTTCTTGCAGTTCGAGAACATTCAAAAACTCGAAGGTCACCACGGCGAAGTCTGGGCGCTGGCCGTGAGCAACACGGGCAAGTTTGTAGTCACCGGCTCTCACGACAAATCGATTCGTGTCTGGGAGAAGCTCGATGAGCCTGTGAGTGGATTAGTCCTCATCAGCCATGAGCACCCATGCTGACGGCACAATCACCCTAAGCTATTTCTCGAGGAAGAGCGCGAGCGCGAACTTGAGAACATCTACGAATCCGGCATTGCTGAGTCACTCAACCGCACTGACGCGCCTATGGGTAGCGGGGCAGACGACGCGGACCCGGACGCGGCGCCCGGATTGGAGGTCGCCTCCGTCTCGAAGCAGACCACTGAGACGCTCATGGCGGGCGAGAAGATTATGGAGGCGCTCGAGCTCGCCGACGCGGAGATCGCTGCCTTCCGCGAGTACGAGGAGGCCAAGGCGCAGGGTGGGTTGTCCGAACAGGTCGCCCCGCCCCCGCGCAATCCTGTGCTTGCGGCGTATGACGTCGAGCCGGAGGAGTATGTACTGCGCGTAGTCGAGCGCATCCCGGGGACCGCGTTATATGACGCGCTACTGGTGTTGCCGTTCGGAAAGGTGGTCAGCCTGATGCAGTATCTCAATTTATGGGCGCAGAAAGTGGGTTGCTCGTCCTGATACGTCTAGACACCGGGACTGACTTTGCTTCAGGACTGGAACATCATTCTCACATCTCGCATCATTTTCTTCCTCCTAAAAACCCATTATCACCAGATTGTCGCAAACCGCATCATGCGCACCGCCCTGATCCCGTTGCGCAAACACCTGCGAGAATCGCTGCGCAAGCAGAAGGATACGATTAGCTACAATCTTGCTGCACTGAAGTACATCAAGCGGCAAAATGACGCTCAGCGGATCGCGGAGTTTTACGAAGAGGAAGGCATGGACGAAGAAAAGATCAGGGAGCGCATAGCGGAGGGGAAAAAACGAAAGCGCATCACCATCAAAGCCTAATATATGGGCAGACACTCTAACCATTATGGCGATACAATACAATGAGGGAATATACACGCGATATCATGCTACAAGTCCACAAATATAATCACAAGGCACATGTCCATCTGTCCAGTCCTTGGGCTTGGAAAGTCCAAATCGTGTCTAACGTCCGCCTCTCCATGAGTAGTGAGGTAATCAGGGCTCTTTGGGACCCCAGAGGTTCTCCAGCCTGCGTCCCAGCATCAATGCACGCCAAAAACAGGATGATCTTCGTTCAGCTTACCATCCATCTGGATCTGTCGCTTCCCGCATCTGGACGGTTAGAACACCTTCACTAAGATCGGCAAGTTGAGTGAAGGCAGCTTTGGTGAGGTCAACATGTTTGGAACCAGGGGCACAGCCAGCGCAGGAGTCCACCACGCGCACAAAAACACATTTCTTTGAAGTAGTGCACACTATCCAAGACTTAACGCGACGCATATACTAGCAAACACGAGCGGACGCACATTCCAAAAACTTGAAGCATTTGGGGCGTGTCGTCCAGCCGTCCAAAGTCAACGCGCAAGCGAAGGACTCATCCTAGCATGAAGATGAGCCATTGTTCCATGTATTTCCTGAAGCGTACCGTTGGAGCCCATGAAGGGTTTGACCAGCAGCTAGGGTTCAGCAGATCATGGCCGGTGTACCTATGCATATTCTTGTTGGTGAATGCACTTACCCGGCGTGGACTACTCACCAAGTTATTGTCACCGGCTCAGGGCTCCCAATTGCCTTTATGGTGTTGATAATGGACTGAAGCGATCCTAGAACTCCATTCGCAGCCTTCGACACAGACTTGTTACTTGCAGAAGATGTTGTTTTCGCCTTGGACGCTGTCTTGGTGGTAGATTTTGTGGATCTCTTCTTGCTTGACCTTTTACCATGCTTATGGAAGGTCGTCTTTGGTAGAGCCTCTTCGTTCGCATTGATGTCGTCAACTGATCTGGAATACTTGTACTGCAAGTTGGTCACATTGACTGCTTGCCAGCCGTCCCGAGGGTCGAACTGGTAGGTGTCACCCAGAGAATGCGCAGTGCTGTACCTCTTCTCGAGGCTGCCTTGGAGAGCGCTTATATCAGCAGCAGCAGCATTAGACCAGAAGGATGCCAGCAGAGTTGCAGCCAAGAGAACAGAAGAGAGAAAAGCGAGACGAGGCATCTTCCCAAATAGTGTGAACGCGGACGCTGAAGTACCAGTAACGACTTGAGAGATATATGCAGTAAAGACAGGCCTGCCTGAGGGCGCAATGTATAGTTGTGCGGAAAGAATTGAGAAACGAAGACAAGCTGCCGAGATGGGTGAAGAGACGAAGTTGAATTGTGGAACGGCGACACCGTGACAAACATACGACGCGGTACGCGTTCGTCACGTGCTTGTGCCAATCGCGTCGACGGCGCTTGGCTGATTCAGACTCAGAGGCTCGCGCCATGGCCGCGTCTCGTGTCGTGAGTGGGCTCGAGTCACTCGCCGTTCGCTTTCACGTCGCTTTTAAGTTCTCCCTTATAACCTGAGAGGCGTGGAACTTTTCTTCTCTCTACTTTCTTCGTTTAAGCATTACTATGGCTCCCAAAAGTGACACAAAACGTACTCTTACGGGCACAGACCTCCTCCATGCTGACGATGGACTTGGTCATGGCGCGGAAGTAGCACCCTCCATATCTGTGACGTCCAGTAAGTCTCTTGACCTAAGGATGCGCGACGCCAGCCGACAACAATCCACTCCCAGCCTTCAGGGCTACCCTACGGCCGGACAGCAATCCGCCCAAACAAGATGACTTCCTGAGCACAATCAGAAACCCCCCTAGTCACTTGTACTCTCGTTACACGCAAAGTGTCAGCACGCGGGCAGAGCATGTGCTGAGTAAAATCAACGTAAAAGCACTGTCTTCGTTCCGCGCAATCGTTGATGGAATCCTTCTAGGGCGGATATGCCATCACCTACGCATCAGGTTTAGCTGCTTCCTATGCCGTGAGTCCTCCTTATGGCAAAATTGTATCTTTTTCCATCTAGTCGCCTTACGGTGAATTATTACCCAAAGGCGTTAGTATCCTTGCAACCAAAGCGCATTGCTATCTCCGGCGGATATTACGGGTGCCACGAAACCATTCACGTCTACCAGCACACGCGAGGGGGGGACGTGCCAATGATTGACATCAACGACGAGTTTCAGCCAGGTGATCTCTGCTGGTTGGAGACCCCCCTCAACCCGACAGGCGAGGCCAGGCATGTCTACCCCCGTTTTAGATCGATCGGTGATCATACTAACGTACGAAGCAGAGACATCAAGTACTACGCCGACAAGGTACGCGCTAACGGATCAATTTATGGGCAAGAATCGCGGAATCTTAACGGCTGGACTAACGAACCTTGCAGGTGCACGCGGCCGGTGGACGGCTCATAGTTGATTCGACATTCGCTCCTCCACCGCTTCAATACCCGTTCAAATGGGGAGCAGACATGATCCTACACAGCGGTATGCATTTCCGCCCTTACCGATCAACCCGTGTTCTCGTTGTCTGATGCTCCAAAAGGCACGAAATATTTCGGTGGCCACTCTGATCTCCTATGCGGCGTGCTCATCGTTCCAACCGAGGATGAGTGGAAGACGGTGCGTATTGATGGTTATCGGCGATAATCAGCTTGCCTTGCATCTGGTCCCGCATGCCTATAAGTACGCTCATTCGTTCTCATACATGGGATTCTCGCGTCGGCGAGAACTCGCGTATGGGCGCACGTAGGCGTCACGTCTTCCGTGTTCTCGCTACGGGCTGACATTCTTACGTCAAACCTGATCCTGAAAACTGGTTTTATACGCAGCTGTGGTCTCAGCGTACTTTCCTCGGCTCTATGATGGGTTCACTCGAGTCGTGGTTGCTCCTGCGCTCTCTCCGTACATTGCACCTGCGTGTGCCCCGTCAGTCAGAGACTGCTACAAGCCTTGCTCACTGGCTGAGCCAGGCCGCCGGAGTGCGTTCTTTTCCTTCTGTTGTAGCTGACAGCGTTGACCGCCCAACTCTCTCGTTCTAGGGCAAGGCTTGGGATGGAATCCCGGCAGGGCTTATCGACAAGGTCTGGCATTCCAGTCTACAAGGCACGGACGCCAGGGGATTCAAACCCAAGGCACAAATGGAGGGCGGCTGGAATGCGACATTCGCCATCTTTGTGCGTACCCTCAGCAACGCAGGGCTGGTCTCGATCGTTTGTTGACGTCGCGTAGATGACAGACCCGGAGTACGCTAGATTGCTACCGCACTCGCTAACATACTTCGTTGTGAGTACGGCTTCCTCTGCCCGCGATGCGTATCCCTCATTGTCCCCTCTAGCCTGCAACGAGCCTTGGAGGCGTAGAATCGCTCATCGAGCAACGCGCCTCCGTCGACCCCACGGCGGACCCCCGCCTCGTCAGGATTAGCGTTGGTGTCGAAGATCTAGAGGTACGAGATCCGAGGCCACGACTGTCGTCCCTGATTGACGTGCATCTCATCGCATAGGATCTCAAAGATGACCTGCGCCGCGCGCTGCAGGAGATTGTGCGACCCAGGGCAAGGCTATAATTATGCTGTATTATACCCGCCGGCGCGCCGGCGCCGTGTATCTATATGATGTGTCGACAGGTTAGTGAATCCTTAGGCTGGCATGTCGGGCGGCGGAGTTAACGATTCGTGGACCCTGTGCAGACATTACGAACCGCTTCAATCTGCAAATCTCTGTAGAAATATCATTGTCCAGTCGTCGCGCAAATGATTTGATATCCATTACGTTTTTGGTTTGCCCATTATCTGCGGTGATGTGAGGCCTACTCTGCAACCGAACGGATGTGTCTCACCACGCAGAAGCCATGAAGACGTCGCCTACAGCGCTAGCGATGTGACGAGTGTGTTACGTGACTTCGTAAAGTGAAATGTTGCCAGGCAACCTGCACGAAGGTCCTATCTTCTTTTACTCCTGTAGAATTCGAGGAACGCCGCCTTATCCTCCCAGCCAAACCCAACCCGTTTCACCTTGCCAATCTGGGCGATTAGCGATGCACAAGCTTCTGTCAAAATATCACTGTTCTGGCCCGCCGTAAACTCGCTTGTGACAAAGGCACCCGAGCTCGGTGCGTCCGCCAGTGAGAGGAGGCGAATAGAGAGCGTGTACGGTGCGAGAGACGTCGTCAAGGAGAATATATGCGGGAGCGGGTTCAACGCAGAGTAGGGAATCGGGTGTGCTAATGTGGGGCAGAATGTAGTGGGCGGGTCGTAGCTGCATGGTAGAGGTGTGAGTATGAAGCGGAAAGCTGATAGCGGAGCACCCACCGGACACACATGATGAACACCTTGAACTTTGTCAAGGGGACACTGACATCGCGGAATAGCTCTGCGAACCTGAGCAGTCCTCGACCGTTGCTGGTAGTGCACTCGGGAAACACGACCACAGGTCTATCCGCACCACCTCTGATCTCTTCGAGCGACTTGACATCGGAAGATGTCGTGTGAGCTTGAACGGCACTGGGAACATGCCCAGTCGCCCGGAGCATACCGAATAACGACGTTTGACGGAACCCAAGGATGGGCACTCGGGGTGTCGGGGCTCGCGCGGCGGGTGAAGAAATGGCGGCTGAGCCTGTGCCTGTACGCCGGCCTGGTGTTCGCGTTATAGGCGAACTAGGTGTCGCCGCCTGTTGCGCCTGCTCCCCTGCTGCACTTACGGGTAACACAAAGATAGGATTGAACCTAATGAAAGAAATGAGTATCTCCGGAAAGAACAAGCAAAGGCAGTATACCGAAACGCCAGCCAAAGGATTTCGATAGTGGAGACCCAATTCGAGACGATGAGGTCTCCTGCCCCTGGACTCCATGTTTCATTGGTCTTCGAATTTCGCCTACGGGGTGACGTGAGTATTAGACATTCAGACGCGCGTGGATGGTATGCGTACCCTCTTTTACGCGAAACAACCTGGACTGGGATCCATGGCAGCCCAATGAAGAGTAGTGCCAGCCGAGCGAACAACGCAGTGAATACGTGCGATACTACTCTGTACAGAGGGGGGACTGATCTCTGCTCCTGTGAGTGATGTCCGGCAACTGCTAAAGCCGTCTTGCTCACCAGAACTTGACAAACAACCTCCACTATGAGTGCATGTAGGATGCCCAGAATGAGCACGAGCAGGGTCCGCACGAGGCCAATGGCATAGCGTAGAGGCGATGTAGCAATGAGAAGCGCTTCAGAGCCCGTGGGTGGAATCGGCCTCAAAAATGGCTGCCCCGGAAGCACTGTAAGAACGAGGTCGCCGCTGCATAGGATATCTCCAAATTTACCTGAATGCCCGTGCCTGGATCCTGTTAGTGACATTAGGTTCTACACCAACCACGAGAAACGTAGGAAACGCACGCGAAAGGCTGAGAACTTCTCCATCCCCTTCCCAAATCAACACAGGCAAGGCGGGATGGGCGTGCGTATGCACGTCGGGGTCAATAAGGGGTGCCAGAGAAGATGTGATTTGATGACCGCTGCTGGCCGGGATGAGCTCGGTCGCCCGAGGGCGTGATCCGCAGCGTTGATTACCGTTGTGGACGCCGGTGTGCTCCCCGCCCGCGGCTTCTCACCTGCGCATCTCACTTGTGTGTCGACGCTCACCGCCAATCTTGCCCTTTGGGATGACGGCCATCGGCAACAGACTAGTATGGCTTGCCGCTATGCTCAGGCACTACATTACAGCTGCATTCCGGCGGTACCAGAAGCTGACTACCCATGGTAAAGCGAGTCTCATCTACTCCCACTTGTATACAGCTCTCCTGACCACGCCGTCGTCGTTCGCCTAGCTAGTTATTTATCTGGGCTACCGCATGCCTCTACGGCACTCTTGCTTCCATCATCAGTATCATTGGACCCGAACGCATTGGCCAGAGTCTGTACAATCTTGCACAGAGAATTAGCCACCAGCCATATGGCTGGATGATATTGGGTGGTGCACTGGGTGTGTACTCATTCTCATAAATATCATCTTTGAAAACTGACAGTTGTTGCGGCCTGCATGCAGTGTTCGTGTCGTTCCCGCCATGCATCGGTCATACAACCCTCGTCACGCTTTGCGGCTACGCATATGGTATGAAGGGATTCATTGTTGCTGCAGGGGGCTCTCTCTTCGGCTCCGCACTTGCCTTCGTCGTCTTGCGCTTTCTCTTCAGCGAGAGGTTGCGGCGGTGGTCATCGTCCAATGACAAATGGCAAGCTCTCGAAACTGTTGTAGTACGTAGGCATCCGACGTTATAGATGAAGCCAGACTTACAATATACCGTAGGCCGCCAAGGGACTCCCCTTGATCACTCTCATCCGTGCATCCCCTTTCCCTCCATGGGTGTACTCGAATGCACTGTTCGCTGTGAGCTTCTCGCTCGTGCTCATTATGTGTGTTCTCATATTTGTCTAGTCTATAGAGGCTGTCGCGTTGTGGCAGTTTGTCCTTGCGACACTCGTCGTCTTCCCGAAGATTGCTCTCTTCGTCTTTGTCGGATCGCGATTGGCATCCTTGTCTGACGGGGAGCAACGGAGCCATATGGATACCTGTACGCGATCCATTGTATGCTTCTGTCCATCTATTGATGTCGCTTGCAGCCACGAAGATCCTTAACGTAGCAGTATCAATCGGAGGGGTCCTTGTAGCTATAACTGCAAGCTGGTATGTTTTGCTGCGCTTGACACTGTCGCTGGCAATACACGCATTCTGACGTTCGACACAGGATCGTCTACCGCGCCATGCAGGTCGAGATCCGACGGCTCCAGGGCATATCACCGGAGATCGACGAACTAGCAGCCGAAGCGTTGGAGGAGGCCGAGGAGGGCGCGCCTCTCCTTAGAAACTACAACGAAGGCGCTCCTCGCGCCTGATACTAGGTTTCGTAGATGAGGCTGGGCATCGCTCTCTGCATATGTCTGTACTACTGTAATGGACTACGAACGTTATATTTATATTTTTGTGCTATGCTTTGCCTTCTGAGACCCACGGGCTTGACCGGATTCAAGATTGATCAAGATTATTCTCACGAGCATCCTGTCCCCTCAAGATTGAACTAGTAGAAATTTTGGTATTGATGTTCCCGAGGCACTTGCTGGTCACTCCCGGAAGATGCATAAAGTACCTACTATGGCCATCAAGGAGCTGCACACTTGGAGACTAATCGTCGCTAAATTATGGTTACGTTGCTGTTTCCAACCACGTCTATACCGGTTTCATCATCCATTCGATGAAAGTCATCTTGCCATGCTGGTATATACTTGTCAGCTCTCTGTGAGAATACGGCACTTACATTCTGCATCTTCTGCCACTGAACCGCTCGGAAATAGTCAATGTGAACTTCAAGATCGAGCGGTGTCAAATAATTCCTTCTGTTCGCTCCGACATGGGTGATAACATTGAATATATACAAACAACCGTCCTAATCCAAGACAGCAAGATCAGTAGTAATGTAGGAACAATAAGGACAGACTAGCTCCGATGAGAAAGAGGAGTATCCATTTCCTGCTGTCCCTAGCTCTTCGCCTGGCCTCCCTCAGTTGAACATTCCCTTTCTCCACTGTGGCGGCTGTTGCAATTGCATCCTCGTACAGCTGCTCCGTCTGCTCTGTCTGTTTTGTGAGATGCGTGACAAGCTCTGCCTGCAGCGCGCTGATCTCCATCAAGCGTGACTCTGCTTGATGCACAGACGCCAGGGTATCCTGCACCGACTGAAGAATGTTGGCATTCTCCGTCTCGAATTGCATAATCTGCGACGCCGTCAGTTCGAGGTCCTCTTCATCGGTCTCGTCCATAAGGTCGTCTGTGGGCATCTGAATAGGTTTCAGAGTGGCGGTAGAGCTCAGAGCATCGTTTGACTGCGACCCGATCGAGGCAGCAAAACTAGATGCGAGGTTTGTTGCGCCTCCCAGCCAGCTCCCGCTCGACGATGATTCGGCCGGTGACGGAACTGAATCGGCCATATCCATGTACATCGCCTCCCTGGCAGCTCCCGACCCGAGCGTGCGAGTCCGCTCCAGTTGCCGTTTCATCCGTTCTTCTTGCATCTCTTTAAGATTCTGACTGGCCTCAGTCAGGCGTCGACTGAGGTACCACGTAACACTAGCGTGGTGCGCCGCAATGAAGTCGGAAGCCGCGGTCTCATCGTCCTGCCGGAGTCGAGCAGGTAACAACCGCGTGAGAGGGTTCTTTCGACTTGCAGCAAGCTCAGCCCGGCCTGATTGGCAGTAGAGCCGTAGACCCAATGTGAAATGAGTATGTATGAAATAGAGTAACCTTCCCTTACGTTTCTCCACTGCTTCCAGCTCTCTAACTCTCTCAGAACATCGAGACAAAATGACTCTGGCCTGCAGATCAATTTGGTCTCTTTCTTCATTTGACAAGTGGCGGATGTTGGCCCATGACTGGTCTGCGGAACCCAAGTCTATGGTCCGCGAGGATTGCCGTGATAGTGGGGCATGGCGTGAGTCAAGGTTGAGATATGGTTTCCGGACCGCAGCCAGCATGCGGTTGAGAGTATGTATGTGGTTCAACTACAAGGAGGTCAACTTGGTATAAAGCTCATCTCCCAACGACTCACAATAACATATGCCTCAGCTGTGTACTCCTTGTTCAGACGATCCTGACCCTCACGCTGGCCATCTGCAGCGCGTCGCGGTGCGATCCTGCGTCGTTTCGTTTCCGGCAGTGCATCCTGCTTTTCTCTTATAAGATCACGAAGTTCTGGGAGTCTGGACGTTGCAGGCATCTAAAGAAGTATTAAGTAGAAATGTGCCAGTCAAGGAGAGACGGTGCACGCAGGACGTGGTAGTTCTTGAGATTGTGGCTGCTCAGGGCCTCGTATGAGCGCATCCGTGTGCGTGCATCAGACTCGACCAGTCACATGATTGCCAGTCTGCACCGAAGGCGAGGAGCAAGTTTCACCTTGTAACATCGTCAGTCGCGGCGAAGGCACTCCACTCAGTTCTGCTACCAGTGCTCAGCACTCAGTCTCAACACAATGACGGACGTTGCAGGGACGATTCCCACAAACACTGCCGGGGATCCTCCCATGGATGATGGCGAGGAGGAGGAATCCAAGGTCTGTGGCATGTCCAGTTTATGTGCTCACACCTGGCTCATTACTGGTGCTGGCGGTATGGTATAACAGGAGATTCTCCTCATGAAACAAAGAGTTGAAGAAATGGAACGAGAAGCGAACAAATTACGAGAGCTTCAAGCCGCAGCTGAGAAAGCAGAACGAGGCTCTGTGGAAGCAGCCGACACAAGTGTGCCAATGGAAACGGAAGAAGACAAGGCTGCTGCAGACGGCCGGAGCATATTTGTTGGAAATGCAAGAAGCTTCTTGTTGGGATTTGTTACATTGTCATTGAATAGCGTTGGCTTTTTCGCAGGTCGACTACGCAGCCACGCCCGAGGAGATTCAAATGCACTTCCAGGCCTGTGGTGTGATCAATCGTGTCACCATCCTCTGTGATAAGTTTACAGGTCATCCGAAAGGGTCAGTATCTCTCTTGCTACTTGCCGCACGATCAGTGGGCGTGGAACGGGACTGACTATCATTGTTATTCTAGATACGCATATGTAGAATTCGCAGAATCCGACCATGTAGACGCGGCGGTGGCTATGGACAACTCACTCTTCCGGGGTCGATTGATCAAGGTGCGTGCACGCCGTCTGTGGGGTTCTAGTCGCTAACGACTAGCAGGTCACAGCAAAACGAACAAACGTCCCGGGGTTCAACCGTGGCAGGGGGCGAGGCGGGTACCGCGGTGGGTACCGAGGCGGCTATCGGGGTGGTTCATTCGGTTACACCCCATATCGGGCGCGCGGAAGGTGAGGTGCCACAGCTTTATAACACACATTGTCTTCTAAGCTGTCATACTCATCGTAGGGGCCGAGGTCGAGGATTCTAATTCAAAATTCGGACTTTTCACCCAGCTTCTCGCATCGTCTGTACTATTGCTTGTGCATATTGTATTCTACTGGTCGACATGCGCTTCTAATCGCTCTATGCTTTCCATTCGAACTCAGTGCACCATCGAGTACATGTCAGGTTCATGGTTATGCGTCCATTAGATACGAGGTACAAACATGCGTCATGCATAACAGGTGTCAAAACGAGACGGGCTCACGGGTGGACTCTGCACCCGATTCTGTTGGGGCCCGCAATGTTAATTTATCTTGAGACTTTAGGTCTGTCAACGTTTGTCCTCTGTTCGGGTGAAAACCATCGACCACTCAGCCGTAAATGATTCAATGCGCGGGCCCTCTAGCTCCCGATCCGAGGCCCCTTAAGTCCCGTCATTATAAAGCTCACGATATAAGGATAGCTTCGCTGGGCTTGCTAGAACCTGGACTTGATGAATTATGTATTCCTGGTAGCTTTGGTGGGATCTGGCCGGGGCCGTTGAGCTGCGCGCCGTTCGACGCGTGAGTAGGAACGGTCCACGTGATACGCGACAGCACCGTAACTTGAGCGCGTTTGCGGCTACCGCTGGTTCGCTTTCGTCGGCATTCCACGAGAACGGCAGCCAAATATTGTAGGACGCTTGGTGAGGTGGGAGACTTTTGGCTAGAGCGGAACTCAGTGGTTTCTTTCATCCTTAACTGAGTTCATCTCGCCATGATAGACCGGAATGCACCATGTTGCTAAAACATCTGCAAGCGGTATTTGTCGCGTCTTACCGAAATGCCTCCTGCGCCTTAACACTGTACGGCCAACCAGTCGTACACAGAGATGCTTTACGAATGGCGTAAGTGGAAGCACTCAGCACCTTAGGCTAGACCAAGAGGCGCATTGCGGTATGCTGTCCATATTCCATCCAATTACCATCATTCTGACTGGTTGGTAGCCCCGTATCCGAAACGCACACACACATGCAGGACACTCAGCTCCGCAGATGTTGATGTCTCAGTGACAATGCATGGATGGTTACTTCCCGAAAGGTACGTATATGGCGCGTCTAAACATATACAATCATTCCTGACTTTGGCGAAGGAAGGTCAATAAGAAATTGTCTTTCTTCAGCCTGAGAGATCCATATGGGACAGTGCAGCTAGTAGTTTCTGGCAACAGTGATCCCATGGCATTGTCCAAAATGCGTGATGTACCTCCGGAGTCTACCGTGCTGGTGCAAGGTGTTGTTAAAATGCGAGCCAAAGGGCAGCAACGCCCTGTAAGTGTCGGGAAACGTGCTACTTTTCATGGTGTCTTATTATATACCTTGCTCACAGTATCCTGGGGGAGATATCGAAGTGGTCGTCAGCTCCTTTACTCTCCTCAACCCGGCAGATCGCAACCTCCCGTTTGTGCCTTCAGACACAGAGAATTTGGTGAGTCTTATTGCAACTAAAAGAGAAACCACCCTCAGTGGCTAGTGACTAGACACTCATGTTCTTGTCGCTTGGTGCAGGCTAATGAACAGCTCCGCTTACGTTACCGCTACCTCGACCTCCGCAGAAATGAATTGTCCGCAAATATCAGGAAGCGCAGTGATGTAGCCCACATAGTGCGCACTGTGTTTCATGAAAGAGGCAAGCATGACAAGTCATCGACCTACAGGTCATGAATGACCATCTTGCGCAGACTTCACCGAGGTTGAAACGCCCATGTTACTCAAGTCCACCCCGGAAGGTGCACGGGAATTCCTTGTCCCTACTCGAGTTATAGCTCCAGCAACGAACAGCCGAGCCACTCAATCACCTATGTCACCCCTCTTTTATGCCCTCCCGCAATCTCCGCAGCAACCAAAACAGCTCCTCATCGCGTCTGGCGCTGTCGACAGGTACTACCAGCTCGCGCGATGTTTCCGCGATGAAGATGGGCGCAAAGACCGACAACCGGAGTTTACTCAGGTCGATCTTGAGATGGCCTGGGTTAGTTGGGGGGAACTAGAAGCGAATGTTGCATCTCCACAGGAGCAGCCAATACTGACTGCGGAGGCCGACGGCAGTGCGCCTCTCTCCACACGGGATTCGTGGAGGATAGGTGGTCATGAAGTACGCGACGTCGTGGAAGCTGTCGTGCGCCGCATCTGGGCTGAGATTGAGAAAGTGGAGCTACCCCTCCAGTTCCCGGTGATGACCTACAATTCTGCCATGACTCGCTTCGGAAGTGATAAGCCTGACACGAGATTTGGTCTGGAGGTATGTTCTCAACGCGGACAGCATCGGGGATAGGTTTCCCCCAGTTGTGTCACTGATATCTTACATTGCAGGTTGTCGATGTTACCTCCCACCTACCAGCCGCGACCCAGGAAACCTTCGCCGTTCATGGAGAGGCCATCGATGCCTTGATCGTTCGCGAAGACTCTTCAGCTGATCACCCATTCCTCCGCGCTGCTCGTGAACAGGAGCATGGAACTGATCCAGCTATTGTGATTGACGCATTGTATAGATGCATCCCATCAGCTAGCTCACCGAGACCTTCATTGTAGGAACGTATCGAAGTGCGAAGTAACGGCGAAGTCACCCGGTCGCCTGGTCATGTAGGTCAGCTTCTGGGAACGTGCGAATGGGAAGCCTTTAGCAGCGCTCTGAACATGCAAGGTGGTGGGGTGCTTTGGCTGTCGAAGCGTCCTCGCCGCCCAGAGGTGAATGACACCCAGTCTACGCTTTGTACGGTTGCCGATGACTTGTTACGTCTAGGGCGGCTCAACAGCGCTTGGCCGTCTTCGCCTCCAATTAGCCAGCCGTGCACAGGCCTTGGGAGATCTGACATTACCGTCATATCCTCACTTCCTCTGGGTTACCGAGTTCCCCCTCTTCACTCGTGCCGACCCTGACAAGGATTTCCTCGCACATGGACGTTGGAGCAGCTCCCACCATCCTTTTACTGCACCTATGTGGCAGGATATCGGTAAGATGTACGAAGGCAAGATTGCGGAGGTATGTTCCGCCTAGACGCGTCCTAGGGAGGTCCTAATGGCAGGACTATCGTCACAGATCCGAGGCCAACATTACGATCTGGTGCTGAACGGCGTCGAAATAGGTGGAGGCTCGGTTAGGGTCCACGATGCCGATATGCAGGACTACATCTTCAGCAAGATTCTCCAGGTCGAGACCTCCCTGCCAGGCAAAATATCATCGCTGACTCTTCTCATAGCTGGATGAGCAGGAGAAGGCGTCTTTTGACCATCTACTGCATGCACTTCGTTGCGGCGCACCTCCTCACGGGGGTTTTGCCTTTGGTGAGTAGACAAGGTGTACTGGCGTGAGCCCAACTTGACTGAAGCGTGTGTAGGATTCGATCGCCTGATGGCCATCCTCTGCAAAACGGAGTCGATCCGCGACGTGATCGCTTTCCCGAAAACAGGCGCGGGGACAGACCTGCTCTTCAAGAGTCCTGCCCCGGCGAGTAAGGATGTGCTGGCGCAATACGGTATTAGGGCACAGTAAACAAGATCTTGAGTCACATTGCGTCAGACGTATGATACAGGTATATAGGACCTGACAGGAATCGGAGTCCTTTCGAAAGCATGCAGCAAATCAACTGGAAGCGTGAGGAGTCGTACAATAAGTAACAAGCGGGCGCAGAAACGACAGTGAATGAATGGCGAAGGTTGGCGTCCTGTAAATGCTGCCTACGCAAGAAGCTAAGTTGTAATGGGAACTTTGATGGTCTCGTCTGATAGTGGACTGCGACTCCGCTCCGCATGTGGAGTGGAGTCGTCTGAGGGTGTCGACGATGGTGACTGAGCTCGTGCAATTGTTGAATTGCGCGGTGTCGTGGCGTCGGAATGCTGTGTAGGGAAAGCGAACAGGTTCCATGGCCCAGGATCCGACTCCACCGTAGAATGCCCATTAATCAATGGCATCGTGGCGGACCGCTGACCCATCGCCTGCGAAGGGTTCACTTCAGATCCGCCGCCGTCAGTGTCACCGTTTGGCCGCGGATGGCTCTCGTCGATGACGGAGAGCACGCTGCGTAGCTTCGATTCCGACTTGCGTGGATGATGCGATGGCGACGTCGTGGCAGCGGCAGTGCCAGGATGCGAATGTCGTCGATTTCTCGAGGACGGTGGGGACGCGGCGATCGTCGTGTCGACGGTTTGTGGTGACGCCGATCGGATGGGCGATACACTGGCGGAGATGGCGACAGCGCGCGGGCCAGGTGAAGCGGCATCTGCCCAGGCTGCGCTCGCGTCGGGGAAAAAGCCACCTGTGGCCGGAGTCCACGAGCTCTTCGTGGACGGAATGCCGTCGCTACTCTCTAGTTCTGGTGTCGACGATGTCAATGGGCTTGGTGAGGATGATGGCGCATTAGCGATGACGGAGAGGGGAGGGAGGATGGTAAAAATTTGGTTCTCGGACGGTGGAGGCCCGTATGAGTCGAAGGGGTCGGGGACCGTCTGCAACATAGGTTCTATTACCGGGTCCGACCTGGTGCGTGAGATTGACGTGAGATTGGGAGGGTAACACGACTCCAGACAGTCACATACGCTTTGCTCGTGAACCGATCGAAGACGTCCATCGTGGAGCGGACGACAAGGCATACTTTCCCTTGCACGAAGTCCCACACCTCCTCTTCGTGCTCGATGATCTCCTCATAATGTTGTGCCTTGAGCTCATCGAGCTCGTCTACTTGCTTCTGTAGGACAGTAAGGGCTTCGCGGAACGTCTGCAGATCTGGCAACAGCCGAACAGGTCAACAACCGGAAGCGCTATTCAGTTCGTGCACGAACTTCGGCCCTTCTTCTTGAGATTGCTCATTTCAGTCTGTCGGATGATGTTGCTCCTCTCTTGCAATGCCCTCTCATAGCTGTTGGAACGCTCCTGGATGCTCACAGTCATTGGATGCGGATAGATCAGTGCGCGTGAATCCTACGGTCACGATAGTGCGGTAGTTTTCGAGATGTTGACGTAATGGCTTCTCAAATTGCTTGTCCAATGTCTCTGCCTGGATTTGCATGCATTCAGACCTCGACTTTTACCCGATTGCAGGGAACTCACAAGCACATGGAAGTGATTGTTGATGAGGTGGTGCAGTCCAGACGCAACCTGGAGGCGCGTTCCGGACTCGTAGTTCGGGCCCTTAAGACTGATGCACGGTAAGTGATCGCGTTGGAGAAATCCTGACAGAGGAACTTACCTAGCACAAGTACCCATAGCGTCCGCAAAGCCAGCCGTCGCCCGCGACATGGTAAGCAGAGCGGTGCGATAAGCTGCGCATTTGTTCACAAGCTGGACGACAGCACGTCCTATCAGCCAAGCCAACATGCGCAGCGGACCCGCCGACACCCACATCCTCATACGCCTGCAGGCTGACCTTCAAGTGTGCGCGGGTGATAATCTTCTGGGGGCCGTCTGGGCCGAAATTAAGGACGGATGCGTTCGTGGTCTCGGAGAATGTAGGTGAGGTCGCCCTGGGAGAGGACTCACGCTGAGGCGAGAGAGCCTGTGAGCGGAGAGAGCGGACGCGAGGCATAATCCCGGGAGAAAGCTATGGTACACAGTGAGGACGAGACAGATAGACGGCAACCGGATGGAGAGGGACCAAGCAGAAGACCGGGGCTGCTCAGGTACGGTCCGGCGCCCACCCCAGGCCCATCCCCAGGCACGTGTTCCCCCGCCCATGCGCGCTTATCATCGCGTCAATGTCCGACATGTGCTCGCATTGAGCAGTCACAGGTATATTCGCCAAAACAGAACATCCTCACTACTACGTCCCCAGAGCCTTCTCAAGGAATGTTACCGCGTCATCGACTTTCAACCACGCATCAGGCTGGCCCTCCTCAACCACGCACCCATCCTGCTCGCCCCCAGTATACTCGGCTGCCACACCCACATATACGTCTTGTCCAGTAGAACGCGAGTGCGCCAATTGAAAGCGGACGAATCGCCATCCTTGCGGAACCACTCCGTCAATGCGGACCCGATTCCGAGGCACATCATACTCGATGCGACTGAAGTCGAAGCCAAGGCCGAGGCCGAGCGCTTTCGTGTACGCCTCTTTCAACGTCCAGATGAGATAGAAGCGTCGGAGTGCTTCCGTTTCCTGGAGGGATGGTAGCAAAAGAATATTGCGCTCTAGTGGAGTTAGCTAAAAGCAAGGAGTGCATCGTCTTCAGAATTTGCTGTACATTAAATCACAGCCGGACACACCTGGTCGTTGACGATAGTCACAAATCCAGCAAACGTTTCACGTCTGGGTAGCTGCAACTTCATGACATCTACGCCGATCCTGTATGCTGGTGGATCATGGTACAGACCGGGACTACAATCATACGCCATAGCAACTAGTCCACTGTCATGTGTGATGTTGTAGCCAATTGGGAACTGAAGCATAGATTGTCTACTCTTCGAGAATGTTCGGAAGGAGTAGTATATGTCAGGAGTAATCTATATCTGAGGTAAATGCCTCACTATGTAGGGCTTTCCGGATTCTGTCCGTCCGAATGTCATGCCATCTGGAGTGATCCCTTGTTGTATGAGTAGCATGCGCGGCAGGAGACGTCCGATCAGGCCTCCTGTGAGATTCTGCGGTATCAGTACAGCAATATAAATACTCTTAAGAATAGAACATACGAATACTGTCTATTTTGTGGTAAAATCGTTGGAGGCGCTGCCTGGAATCCGCATCCACAAGCTCAAGGCCCCGCTGATATAGCTGAAATGCAGCCGCCTAGGCATCCGAGAAAAACCGTATTGAAGACTGACGCACGTCCTCTAGGTCCGATACTGCATTCTCATCCAGAGTCACAGCCCAGACCTGCATGGCGTGAACGTGGAGGTTATGAGCGAGTACAACAAGCGCCCACAACTGATCGCCCTCGGTCCGTGCGATCAGGGCGATCGACGGACCGGAGAGATCAAGATCCATTCAGCGGGGCCGCCGTTGGGTTTGCCTCATCCCATCGTCTCATCATATCACACTTGGAAGCAGTTCAATCCGTCCGCATCATGTCGAGCTCGGGCACATCTGAGGAGAGCGAAAGGATCTTCGTGTCTCTGGGCATGTTCATCATCGACGACTTCCAGTTCCACGACGAGAATGATAAGCCAACCGGGCGGACGCTCCCTCCCCAGGTGAGTACCTTGTCTGTTACTGTGGCCTTTTCAGACTTCGAACACGTCCAATTAGATTGGAGGTGGGGGGACATATGCTACTGTGGGCGCACGTATATGGTGAACAGCTTCATGGACAGCGAAGGCTGTGTCTGACAATACAACAGGCTCCCCGCCGAGAAAGTGGGCATGATCATTGATAGAGGCCATGACTTCCCGGAGGACATACAGAAGAAACTAGACACATATGGCACGGATACGTGGCTCTACAGGGACGACCAGCAGCGCGTCACTACCCGTGCTCTCAATTCATATCGAGGTGATTATAGAGGGTATAGTTCTTTGCGCAAGATTACATAGGACGTGTATACTGAGACGCCCCCGTCATAGGTTTCAATATACCACACCTCGTGTCAGGATCACGCCCAGAGACCTGTCTAGGACTAAGCTCTACAGGCCGAAGATGCTCCATTTCATCTGCTCCCCAACACGAGCTGCTGCGATTGTGTCTGACATAGAGAAAGAACTGGACTGGAAGCCAATCACCATATACGAACCAATCCCCGTACGTGCCACCTGCTAATTCGATTGGGTTTGGTCGTGTTAATAGAAGATCTTGCACTTGCAAAGCAAGGACAGATGCGTACCTGAAGAACTACCCGCGCTGATAGAAGTGCTTTCCTCCATATCGATATTGAGGTGTGGTATCTTGTCGATCCTCACTATCCGAGGGAGGTCCGTTAATCGTCCATCGCGCATAGCCCCAATGCCGAGGAAGCTATGTCGTTGCTCTCCATGACAGGTGCACCTACGAAGTCCCTCGTAGAGACTGCGTGTGCGAGGCTACTCGATTATGGAGTCGGGCAAGACGGCACGGGCACGGTCATCATCCGCAGCGGTGCGATGGGGGCGTACGTGGCAAGTAGAAGCAAGCCTGGACGATGGGTCCCTGCTTTCTGGACCTCGGAAGATGCATCGAAGCATGTGGTCGATGTCACAGGTTTGTGCAGTTCTGACATAAGCGACGCCTGGCAAATTACGCAATTCTTGCAGGTGCTGGCAATAGTTTCCTCGGAGGTCTTGCGGCTGGATTGTACGAGACTGCAGGGGACGCATACCAAGGTGCGTTCTGGTGATTCGATATATACATCTACGTCCAAGCTAAAGGCTACAATTATCAGCTACTTTATACGGCACTGTATCAGCTTCGTTCGTAATCGAGCAAGAAGGCCTGCCCAGGCTAATGCAGACCCCTGACCACACCGGTCACGAACTCGAGGAATGGAACGGAGATTTGCCTCGAAGGAGGCTAAGGGATTTACAGGACCGACTGCAGAAGATTACATACTAGCTAATAACTCAGAGAGGATTACAACAGAACCAGATACTGATACGTATGCGGGTGCGGGTGGTCGTACAAGGTATACAGCGCTGCTCCAATGTCCCTCGTGACAGGCGAAAACGATACGGGCGAGGTTTACTGCTGGGCAGATTGGAACCGCGCGCGGCTGGCTGCGAAGAGCTCTTCTTGCTGCTTGAGGAGTTCCTCCTCCGTGAGGCCAGACTGTTCGAGCTTCGATACCTTCTTCTCCCGGTCCTGTGAGAAGATGGGATTAGGGGAGACATTGCTTCGAGAAGGGCTCCCTACGCACCTTCTGCTGCTGCTTGTGATCCTTCAACACATCCTGCACCTCTTCAGTGAACGACTCGAATCCGAGATGCTAAGTAACACCAGTGTCAGCAATACCGACGAGGAACGGTAGACACTGCACACCTTCAGCGCCGAAATAATATGTTCGGGCGCAATCGTCTTCTTCGACTCCTTCTCACAGATTTCGTTGGCCTCCGAGGATATTAGATGTATGAACTCTGAGCAGCATGGGACCGAATGAGAATGCAAATTTTCCGTACGAGGACGATGGATCACTTCACCTACACAACATTCGATCACCAAGTCTCGCGTCTCCTTCGCGCACGACACGTCACGAGGCAATAATTCTGAGCACACGGACTGTTAACTGCAGGGGAAAAGCAAAGAGAGCATCAACGGCCTACCTGCGATCATTTTAGCAACGGTCGCCTTCGGCAGCGACAGGTCCTCGTCGGATCCCGGTATGCCTCCAGTCTCGCGGTCCGACATTTATGCGTAGTGTTCCGGACAGGCTAGCGAGCGTTAGGACGAGATGCAAGGGGGGCCGGAATGGGAGGCTGAGGACGACCCCCCAGCGCGGGGAAGAGCCTCTATTATAGCGCAGACCTGTCTGCGGGAAGACTTTCGAAGTCCGCACGTGCTCTCTTGATCGCCCACCATCATGTCTACAGTACGTCCCCAGTTGCGCAAAAAATGACCGCGAAACTCACAGCTACGTCGTATCGTGCAGGTCAACCCGGTGAATCCCAAGCCTTTCATCCAGGAGCTCACTGGGAAGCCGGTGTACGTGAGACTGAAGTGGGGTCTCGAGTACAAGGGATTCTTGGTCAGTACAGACGGTTACATGAATCTTCAGGTGCGTGTTGCACTCCTTCCTTGCGTTGCATCGCTTCGTTTGACAAACTCTCCATATATACAAGCTTGCAAACACGGAGGAATTCCAGGATGGAAAGTCGAATGGTGCCCTAGGAGAGGTGTTCATCCGGTATGTCTCGCGTACATCTTCTGTCGCCGCGTACTTAGCTGATGCCAACGCCGGCCAGGTGTAACAACGTGCTGTATATTATAAGTATCACCTATCCTCTCTACTGGTAGTCGATCTGACAATATGCTTCGTAAACACAGGGAGGCACCACAAGAGTGAAAACATCTCTTTTTTTGCTTGCTCTGTATCATATGTTTCCTCCGGCGACAAAAAGGCATCTGCCCTCTCATCAATCCTCGTGTACCGCAAAGACTGTTCAATTCAATTATGTTGCCACATGCTGCGACTCAAGCAATGTCACTCTAATACAATGCGTCATCCTGGGCTAGTCTATTCAGGGAGGTCCTTGTGTGGCGTCTCGCCAAATTGGTACCACCAAGGTATCTGGATAGATCACAATGGCGTGAGGTACAAGCCGGCCTCAACGTATGTGGCGGAATGGCCACCCAAGCGACAAATGAACGGTTCAGGGTCATACAGGCAGATCTGAACCAAAGCCACCACTCATTCAAGAACCATCTTCGCCTTCAGGGGTATGTATGGGCATGTCCAGCCCCACCCGTCGCGCGGTGGCTTTGATTCTTTCTTCTGTGGTGAGGTCATGCAAAGGGTTATAGCGGTCCAACAATGTCTGCATATGTGGTAAGTCCAGGCACGAGCTTAGGCAAACGCCACTCAGGGGGGCATACCTTGTGCATCCGTTGCGAGCGCATGAAGGTCAGGGCGTTCTGGAGATCATAATCAAAGCGATTCGAGCCACTTCGGTGTCCCTGCTCGAAGATGACACGAAAATTGGTGGCGGTCGTCTTTGGCCTGGCCTCTCGGGATAGTATTGACTAGACGCGCTCAGATCAGGACATTGCAATGCTCAGAATCGGAAGATAGACGAACAGCTCTGTTGACCTCTCTGATAAGAGAGCGACAGACAGCCCGATCCATGGCCGCGGAAACTGGGACTGAGCTGGAGTTTGATCGAATTAGGGTGGTTCCGGAGAAGCGCTTTGTCGTGAGGCAAATGATCACGGTCACGTGGCCATTCAACCACAGATCCCTGATCGCTTTGGCCTTTCCCGCGGCTTTGACCGTCTTGCTTTAATGCCAAACTCAGCGGCCCTCTACGGGCCACACCGTCCCATCATCTCGCGATACATAAGGCCTGCTGCTTTGGCAGATACCGCATCTCACCCCCAATCCTCCCTTCGCCACTCTCATCATGTCAAAAAGGCCAACTCCGAAGACGGGCATCAGAGGATACGAGCAGTCGGACTCTGAAGACGAGAAGCGTAGATCAGACGCTAGGTATATGCCGGATGTGTGTTCGTCATCACTATGGTGGCGGCGCGTCTTGCTAACTTGTAGCCCATAGCGTCTTGCAAGCATGACTATCACCAATGACACTCCGTGGCTTGTGGCTGGCCCATCCAGGCAGTCCCGAGCAAGCCAGGCGAAGATCAAACACACTCACAAGAAGCGCGAAAACAAGATCAAGAAGAAATCTAAGACTCCTGCGGGCCCGAACGCGAAGACCATGGAACAAATCAGGATGGATATAAAAAAGGCCCACATGAGGGCCAACGCCAATCGCGACAAGTCGGACTGGTGTTATATCTACGTTGGCAATGTAAGTGTATCAACGCAAGGATGTCAACGTTCACTGAAGATGTTCACATCGTTCATAGCTGAACAAGGAGATCACCGAGAGAGACTTGGCACGGACGTTTAGACGTTTTGGACATGTCCATCACGTGGAGATACGTGTTACGCAGGGTTGTCCTTACATTGATAATGAACGTCCAAACCTTCAAAGCCCGCGATATGCGACGATCGAGTTCTACTCCATCGGCGCGGCTCAACGTGCGCTGGATCTCAATGGGTATTCTCTGTTGGGCACGAAGCTAGCGGTGCGTACATTTCCGATAACGTACTTGCCATACTGATTCGTGTCGCATTTAGGTATGTTTGAGCCCTGGCGATTTGCCGGAACATAAGGCCATTGAGGTTCAATACGCGGAGAATAGGGACACTCCTTTACCACCGCCCAAATCCGAGTACGTTCGCAGTTTTAGCCGGAGTGCCCTCACTGACCTTAGCCGTTAGAAGAGCTGTGAAAGCGGAACCCACCATCATGATCAAAAAGTCGTCGCGGCGTCCGCTGAACTGGCCAGAATACTATTCACCTGAGGAGGCAGAGGTGCTAGAGATCTGTTCACCTGAGGAGGAATATGTGCCAGAGGACGCCTCTTCGCAAGAGATTCCTTCACGCGCAGGACCTTCACGGGCGGGCCCATCGCGAATTCAACTTTCGAGAGCTAATGCCCGTGTGTTCGATCAGGACTATGCTCCCGCACCGACTGGACCCGCAACACCGCAGCCACTGTCTAGACGCGTCCTCATGGGCTTCTCGTTTGCAAACTGTGTGGTATAATTTTTGTTATTCATAAGCTCATCGTCCTTGTTTTAGTAGATTTATTCAGCTCCATCACGCCTAGACTTGGGTCGTTCCACGTTCCTTTTCTGACCATGGGTTATCGTGGTCTCCTGTTAATGCTCATGTCTGTAATCTATTGTACACGATATGTAGCATAGCCATCAATGATCTAGTGTTTTGTGTGAATTGAAGTCCGACAATGCGCAGTGGGATGTCTTGGAATGATGGAGGTGCTTCGTAAGCCGGACCGCCAATCAAACAGCCCCGTCGCGACTTGCGACCAACAGCTGGCGGTTCCGTCCAGTCTATCCAGTCCCTTTGCGGGCTGCTTCTATCCCTCATCTTTCTCGACACGTCGTCACCTACCCAACTAGCTGGATGGCACCTGCCTGGTAGTTCTGCGAGGCGTAACAGGTCAGTACCTGACATAGCCGCTTGCCACTTGACATTAGCTCATGGATCCTCCATAGCGTGGCCGTCTCTTCTACTTGTCTCTACTTGCCAGGTCATTGATTATCGCCATGGACACAATGTCGAGAAGTCCAGCTTTAAATCCTACATCGACACCCTTCTTTCCTGGAGGAATGCGGTCGAACGAGGAGGACGGAAGGGCGTCCGGTCTCGGCTTCAGGCTGTCGATGAACAGGGAGCAGCAGTACAGCACATCAGCCTCGACTCTCTCCATCTCACCCTCAGACTATCGTTCTGTGAGGTCTTCTCCGAGTCCGCTGCAGGATGAGCGTGATCGCAAGCCGGAGCCCGGTACCCAGTTCAATCCTCCGGCGGACGAGACGCGTCACTCTCCCGCCACCAGCTCCCTCAACGAGGCCGACCGGACGTATTCTGTCAATGACAGACAGCTCGCAAGGAGTCTATCCGGAAACACGCAAGATGGTGACGATACCCCGGGACCATTACAATCCAACGGTGCGCTGGCGTCAAGCGGTTCTTTCTATGGCAACATTCTGGGGCGCGGGCGGGATCGTCTCAATACTCCCCCAGTAATCTTGGATACCGGAAACTCTAGGTCGTCGTTCATGCATCCTCCGTTCCTCTCCTCGTCCCCGGCGTCATCTTTAGACTCTGGCAGTCACTTTGCGAACAGCGTTGACCTGCCGTCGAGCTTTGATGCTCAACTCAAATCGTCACCTTTCATGCGCGACCTGCTCGATCGCCTCGCGCGTTGTGAGTTCACAACTCGTGAAATCCAGCGAGACTTAGGGGATGTCAATCGCAAGGTTGATCTTCTGGTTGAACGTAGCCTCAGCGTGAGCATAAACGCGAATGGTCCTCCGGAGTTCAAGGACCCCTTCGCATCCAGTGGCAGCAACCTGCAGACGCCGTTCGCTTCTCTCGGGCCCCGCGCGTCGATGAGCGCTGCCATCCCACCCAACCAATCTGCTCCATCGGACGACATCAGCCAGATCTCCAGCCGCCTCAATACCCTTACGAGCTCTGTTGGACAGCTGCTCGCCCTGCAAACACAACAGATGCAGGCGGTCAACCCGGGACTGCAAACGGCGGCCTTGCTCAGCAATGGTTTGCCACAAAGCGATCTGAATGGGCATGGAGCCCTTCCCGCAGTCCTATCCACAACATCGAGTTTGGGACATGGTCTCCCCAATCGGCCAGATATTCGTTCCACCCCGCGCATGCCAAACCCCCCGATGCGCACCTGGTCTGCCGGGAATCTTGACATACCGCTGCGAGGGAGTGACGGGCGCCAGGATTCCATTTTCCGAGACAAGCGCAGGTCTGTGTCAGGGTTGCTTCGGCGCGACTCAACAGGGGTGAGTCTTCCTCTTGGGCTATATAATTCTCTCGGTGTGTGATGTCCCGTACTGAATCAATATCAACCATGTACAGGGTGACAGCCTGGCTGGATCGTCTCAGTCGCGAGACGGCGGTCCCATAATCACGAAATGGGAACAACTTTCGCTAGCAGCAGACCTGCTACGTTCTTTGAATACCTTTGGGTAAGTCTTCATATCGAGAACGGCGACCTTAAAAATGCTGACTCTTTTATCAGTGTTGGACCTCCGAACAAGATACAACAGCGCGCGTTGCCCTTTCTTCTAAAGGGTGCCGATATCATTGCTCAAGCCCCGCCCACGCAAGAGAGAATTGCGGCATATGTCATACCCGCGATCCACATCGCTTTGACTTACGCGCCAACGAGGATGCCCTTGCGGGGCCCAATCGTTGTCATGATCTCAACGACAGTCGATCAGGCCACACAAGCGCAGCGCATGATTCGTGATTTAGGTGGTCCCATCGGCATCAAATCAGCGCTGGGTGTAGGTGCTACCTCTGCGAGCAGCGACCTCACGCAGGAGCTGCGGTTGCTCCAGCAGAATATGCCTCATATCATATGTGGCACCCCGCAGAAGCTCCATGCTTTGTTTACCTCCCCGGGTGGAATCTCTGGTTCGGACGTGAGGTTCCTCGTTTTAGACGAGGTCGATCAGTTGATCGCCCGCAATTTGCATGAGTTCGTCTTCAATATCATCAAGCTGCTTCCTCCTCCCCGGTCTCGCCCCCTGAGTTCGGGTGCACCCGGTACCACTCCGCCTGGATCGGCTTCGCAAACAAACTTGTCCACACTGGACGCAGGCAACGGCTTGTCAGCGCTAGTGCCTCACTTCCAGAATACTGCCCGCAGGCTCTCTGGTGTGGGATTAGGCACGTCTTCGTTTGATGCGGCCAACGGTGGTTCTGCGCAGCCTATAGAGCGTCAGACCGCCCTATTCTCAAACACAGTGCCTCAGGACGTGCTCAATCTTGCTTCCGCAATTCAACTGCGCGAGCCTGTCCGCGTTCTTGTCCGCCGGGATGGAAATGTCACACATGCCGATACTAATCAGGGCGCTCGCGGACTACGCCAATTCTACCTGTACCTCGCATTCACCGCTGGTGGCCGATCTGACGCTCCCCTGCCTGCTAGTGGTCTTGGGATAATTGGTTCTGGTAGAGGCGCCTCGAGCGCGGAGACTGCCCAGGCCCGGGAGTGGAAGTTGGATGCTCTTGCTGATTTGTTCGACGACCTTGACGTCCCCCATGCCATCATACATGTCGGTGGCATGACCGCTTTGGATTCCGTCGTATACAAACTAGCAAGCCGTGGCGTCGAAGCGGTTCCTCTGGTGAGTATATGCTGTTCTATGCCCCGCCTCTCGCCGTATTAGCTAATAAACATTAAACAATAACAGCATGGAGACATGAATGCTGGTGCTAAGCTGGCAGCCCTGAACAAATTCCGCAGCCCTTCGAATGGCATCATGCGGCAGTCCACGACGAAGGTTTTGGTCGTTTATGACGTTCAAGTGAAGAGCCCAGAAGTGTCGCAGATTCCCCTGATCATCAATTACGGTGACTGCCTCTTCAGACTTCATCAGCATTCGCTCGTTGACTGACACGTGCAATTGCAGATCTGCCAAAAGCTGTTGAAGAGTATGCTCATCGGTTTGTCTTCGTCTTCCCTCTCGGTATGCATTCATTGATTTGGTCGCCTTGATCGACAGCGTTGCTCCCGCTATCGCTCCGAGCTACTCGCGTGCAGGCGTTGTGGTCAACTTTGTGACAGCCACAGGGGGCGACGTCGAAATGTTGCGCTCCATAGAGTGCTTCTATAAGTCAGTGTTTACTTGTTGTCAGATTGTTCTTATCCACTCACTTCAGTTTCTCCGCTTCCAGGATTAAATGCGTAAGTATTGCGCATGTACTCTAGTCAGCGTAACGCTGACGGTTTTGCAGCCTGAGGTCCCCATGAGTCTGCGTGACATTGTTTAATTGACGTCGATCATCGTTTGTTGTATCCCTATCGCTGCTTTCCTGGCTCAAGCTATCCCGTACCCCATGCTGCTTGCTTGTTATTTATCTCAAGTCGCATAGCGCATTCCCATTGTGTCATACCCTTCACTGACCCACATCTAACCCGATTGTCTCGTTACTACCTAGTTCTTGGGTCTATACCCATGTGTCTACACTGTATACTGAGCATCCTTCACTTGATTACCCTACGTACTGTGTTTAGTCTCTGATCCTGATTGCACAGTACGGACAGTCAGAATCTTCAATGTATTATCTTCACTACAGCTAGCTAGCTGCATCCCTGCGTCGTTGGTGCAAGGCCGACATTCCAAGCGATGTATGTGATCGACATGTGCAGTGCTGCGGTAGGCGACTTAGCCTTGAACGTTGGTGTAACGTGGAACTAATCCCTACCTTGAGTCAATCGTGAGGTCAAGCCGCCAGTCTACCCAATTGTCCTGGGGACATGAGTAAATGAGGATAGCGCCGTTTTCCAACCCTATAGCCAGGGTGCTCCTAGGGATTATATGCATTAAGGCTGAGCCACAAATCAGGTTGCCAAAGGATGGGCTAGCCGACCTTCCATCCGTGCTCTTGGGTGCAAAAGTCAGAGCGGTAGCTGCCTCTACCGTTTTAAGCGTGGCAACGGCTGCCCATTGCTCGAAGTTGTCTGCAACTTTGGGTTGCCAGACTTTCACCTGAACAGTGACCAGTCTTAGTGCCGTCTGTAAAGAGCAACTTTGAAGAGACGCGCACCGTTTTATCCCTGGACGCAGTCGCAAAAGCAACCCCCTCAGGAGCCCATGCGCAGTCCCAAATTATACGCGCGTGGGTTCTGTCAGCTGCTACAGGGATATAGCCATCTACGTTCGGATCATTAAGTGATAGTCGAGCCTACGGTGAGAACTAAATGACATACTGTCTTCCTTATATTCATACAGACGCCAAGAGCGATCCCGCGATACGGAGAGCACGAACCTGTCATCTGGACTAAAGGCTACGCGAGTGACAGTCAAGGTATGCCCTGCGAGAGGCTTCCCGACTGGTTGCCACTTTTCCGTGTCATAGATGCGGACGACGGCGTGATCTGCAGTCGTCGCCTTGCATGCTGTGGCCATGAATCTTTTCGCCCTCGATACCGTTAATGTGATCGACTAGTCAAAATTTAGTAAGTTGACTTGATGGGATCCGAGTCGCCTGCTCTCTTACCTCATACCCGTGGCCGAAGATCTTCTCGACCTCAGGCCAAAGTGTGAACGCAGCGAGCTCACCCTCAAACGGCCGTCGTTTCATACGTGTTGCATCGCTCAGAGATGTATTTACTATAAGAAGTGCTGTGAGCAGACCGCATACACCTCCAAGCGTAGAACTGTACCTTCGCTCACTGCTTTATTTGACAGCCCGAGAGGCGGAACAGTTGCTGCGCGGGGTCGTTCGCCCTGCAATGCATCAGACATCGGTAATGAGGGAGAAGAACACTGTGCATAGGTTGTTGCACACCTCGCCTGCCAGATGCGCGATTTTCAGATTGTTGACAATGTCAACGAACTCGCGAGGCGCCTCGAAAACCCGGGCTACCTTCTCGTCAGCAATGCTGACGAACCGCAAGGGTCCAAGGGTGGCCACGTTGATGAGATCATAGCCATGCACCTGTGGTCGGCCGATCTCGTGCCAAATTGGAATCGCGGATTGATCGCCAGATGTCGTTGGAATCGCAGCATGTATGCGTGTGGTCTGGTCCTGGCTGCACACCTATCATCTCACTTCTGCCTCAAGTGCGTTCTCAGATAGTCGCTCACCTAGCAGACAAGAGGTATTCGCCGTCGGGACTCCACGAAATACCCCTTACAGGTCCATTGTGCCCACTGATCGCCCCAGTCTCTGTCCAACTCTCGAGGGACGGTGCACCAAATAGGCCGCCGTCGTGACTGCCAGCGTCGGGGACGCATCGCCAGCGGCGCCATCCGCCGCTCCATCCCCATGCAGACGCTTCTGCCCCGCCGCGCGTCCACAGCCCGCCAACGAATCCGCCGAGCCGCTGGCCGCCGACATCGCCGAAACGCTGGCGGTTGATCCAAAGCGACGTTGTGCCGTCCTGGCCGTTTTCCTGGGCGGAGGTGGAGGTGAGGATGGTGGAGGGGGACCACAATATGAGCGAGGAGTCTGTCGAGGTGGAGAGCAGGGTCGGGGTGCGATCAAATGCAGCTGCGGAGGACGAGGAGGACGGAGGCAGAGGCCGCCAGGCGAGCGAGGTGACGCTGGCCTCGTGGCCGACGAGGAGCGCATCAAAAGTGATGGAGAACTGCTGCGTACTTTGGACTGGGGATATTATACGATGCGGGGCGCGTGTATGGAGGGGCTCACCTATTTTGTGAGCCCTTGACGGTGAGAATATGGCGCTTGAGGGATATCTGGCGGCCACCCTCCTCGCCAACCGCAACCTCCGCCAAGGATGCTTCGAAGGCGTCAAGTAGCTCGTCACTGACTTCGGTGCTTGACTCGCCGTCGGTACGGTTCGTAGACTTGGATATGAACGACTCGATATTCCATAGTCGTATAGTCGCATCTTGTGAGCCAGATGCGAGTATGAGCGGATCGCTGTCTTTCTCTGGTTGCCGGAACGCTAAGCTGCGGACCCAGTCCTCATGGCCTGACAAAATCGCGGACGAGACGAACTACAAGGAGATATAGATTCTAGGAACAACATTGTAGAGAAGCTTTTGCATACCTGGGCATCCGAGCGAGTCCATATCTGTACATTTTTGTCTGTGCCGCCAATCGCCAGAATGGTGGCTGTGTAACGAGAGCTGTGACCACTAGTTCAGTGGGACATGCATGCAAAAAACACACCTTGGGCTCCTGGAAGTGGTGAGAGGCTAAGAGAGAGCGCATATCGCCCCCGCAAAGAGATTGTCTGCTGCTCGAGGAGAACATCTTGATAGATTGTGTGGCCAATGTGTATATAGAACACTACAGTATGAATAACTTACCTGACTGCTCTTCATGCACAATCTTCCATATTTTCACCGAAGAGTCTGAGGCTGCCGTAACTATAACATCCTCGAGGACCGCCATGGCAGAAACGGACTTGTCATGTGCTCGAGTAGAGGAAGTCGGTCTCCACTGTGTATAAATGACTCGTCATTGCAAGCAGGCACCAAGTGCATGCTGGACGCGCCTGCGTGCCGTTGTGTCTCCATGACTTGACGACTCCCTTGTCGTCTGCGCTCATAAAGAGTTCATTGTGTACGAAGCGCACTGAGGTGATGAGACCCTCGTGCCCCGGAAGCGTTTGATAGACTCCCCTGTCGAGGACATCCTGAGAAAAAAAGCGATACATTACTTGTTTCATGTACTTAAGGCTGGTATCTACCTTCGCGTCCCATAATGCAATAAGCTTGGAGGACCCAAATGCGACCAACGAGCGACTTGATGCATCTCCCGCTTGAGGATGTCGATTTGTAGAGGCAGCGATGTAGTTGACGGCAGCATCAAGCGGCATGACACAGAGTTCTAGCTTGCGTGTGGAATATGTTACAATGGGACCTCTGATTGTTGACGACGTCAATTGGTGTGTTCTGGCTAGCAAGGACTGAGGGCAAAGAGTCAATCGCAGATCTGGGCGAGATCTGGCAGATCCTTCGATCGAGGCACGCGCGCTTGTTTCAAATGTAATCAGGTCGTTCTTTCTCCTCTTGCATTGATGCTCCGACTCGTCCATGGGCATACTGGGCATCGGAGTGGATGTTCTCCACGTCCCGCGCATACTAGAGCTCATCAAGCGGAGGACAGCAGCACGCCTGGCCGCTAGGATTCTCAGTGAAACCGAGTCGGCCGTGTGGCAAGTCATACCTCCTTCCGAGCATGATCAGAGGACGCAGTTCCTTGCAGTCCGGTTCGTAATCAAGCTCTCGAATCACACGTATGGACGGGTGCTCACCCGCTCCCCTCACATTCAGTTTTAGCGTGAAGGAAGCAGCGTACAAGGCTCTGTATCCGGTGGCAAAGCCAGCCTGGAAGGAACTCACTTTCCACGGCCTACAACGCGGAGTAGATGGCCGCAAACCGACATTGGAGTTCCATCCATCCATGCCCAGTGGCCAAGTGGGAAAACTTCACGCATCCGTCAGTCATGACGGGGAGTATGTGTTCACTACAGTACTGGTTGAAGAGAGCGGCTGCAAAGCGTAGTTCCAATAATAAGGCTTTCATGACGAGGAATCCCACATTTGGCTGCATTTCGCACTTTCTTGGGTGCAGCACTATACAGAAGCGACATAGACGTTCTTTGGGCGTCGCGCAGTCCAACTCAGATTTTCCATGGTGTTTTGCATGCGATATGTGCGACATGTAGACTATGGCATGCTCGTATGAGAAAACAGCGCAGGAGATAGTGAGGCTGAACCGTCTAGCCCAGGAACGATCCAATAAACTCCCCGTAAAGCTCCATGTAGAATGAGAGGATGGTATGCTAGAGCATCGTACTCAGCGGAGAATATGTGACTAGTCATATCTACGTCATTGCGTCCTCCGAAGGGAGAGTAGGCGTCCTGTCAACAAAAAGATCAGTCGAGCAAGAACTCATCGAAGAGACCAACAACGTTCACTAAGTAATGCTACGGTCACTCACAAAGCGCCAGCATCCGAGATATCAGCTAGCTATTGTTCCGACTGTTCTGCTGCATCCTGTTGTTGGGTGACTTGTGGAGGAAGGCCCACGTTGTTTCCTCGGAATCTCTTCCTCATGTCTAACTATAGGCATATACTATCACCAGGCCTGTCCCTCGGAGAAGGGTGAAACGACCGCGAGACATACCATACCCCTTTTGCATTCAAATGTCGCCTGCCGCAATGCTTTACACTGTTCCGGCAATTCATCGGTGTGCTCCCGCAGACATTCAGACGGTAGATATCCCTGCTTTACGACGCAGTCCGAGTGCAGAAGACACTCTTTGAGTGCAGAAAGGAGGTGCTGACAAGAAGAGGACATGGGTGGCAAGCGGAAGGTGGCGTGTATGTATCCCGATCGTTCTGACTTCTCACCCTCATGCTACCACCAAGCATCCTTGCGCTCGTTCGCAATGCCCCCACCGTCGCACCCATCCCGCATCGTGCGGTGCTCTCCGTGACGGGCTCGCAGGCTGGCGAATTCCTCAACGGTCTCATCACGTCGCCTATCCCCACGGACCCGCAGGCCCACTTCTTCACCACCTTTCTGCATGCACAGGCAAGTCGCTCTTTCCGCGCTCCCCCGTCTCCGTCCATTTCTCGGACACAATGTCCTGATTGACATGGAATCTGAACTATGTCCTTTGAAGGGCCGCGTGCTCTATGACGCGTTCGTGTACGCGCAGGCCGGCAAGGGAGGTGCCCCCGGCTTCCTCGTCGAGTACGACGCGCGCCCGTCGGAGGCACCGCCGCTTCTAGCGATGCTCAAGCGGTACGTGTTGCGCTCGAAGGTCAAGCTGCGCGATGTGTCCGAAGAGTACGACGTCTGGGCGGCGTGGGGCTCGGAGAAGGAGAAGACCTGGGATGTCAAGCGGAAGTGGGACCTGACTCGGAATGATTTCATGACACCCGAATGGGATGAGAACGCCGCCTGGCCGTGGGGAACGACACCGGGGGTGATACAGGACAGGAGGGCCCCTGGGATGGGTCACCGGCTGCTCGTGCGGAAAGGCGACCGACGTGGGTTCGGACTAACTCGTGCTTGTTGAGAGCTTGCTGAAACACATACAGCACAGGAGGTATCGACCCATGATGTAGCTTCTGCGGAAGACTATCAACTACATCGCACTCTAAGAAGCGTCCCAGAAGGCGTCCTTGATATTCGTCCCATGAAAGCTTTCCCAATGGAATCCAATCTGGACATTATGGGCGCATGTAAGCTCCGCAGCTCTATTTTCGTGTCTCAGGGTCAGTGACGGCAGGCTTCATCATATTCCTAGTGAACTACAGCAAAGGATGCTTTGTCGGGCAAGAACTAACTGCGCGGACTTATTTTACTGGCATACTGCGGAAGCGCATCCTGCCCGTCGCAGTGCGGCAGTCAGGCAATAGGTGCGTTCACCGGTGCGCCATGTATGGCTTTCACGCACGCTCATTACATGCTAGGTCCCTAGTCGACTCTCCGCTGCCCCTCCTCGACATTCGCACTGTGCCCAATCAACGATGGAAAGACGGTGACGGCGTGCAAAAGACAATGAGGCGGAGTCATGGGAAGCTGCTCAGCTCGTATAAGGGACTCGGCTTCGCCCTCCTTCGGCTAGAGGACCTGGTTCCCATTCACATGGAGCTCGCTACGCTTGAGATAGAGGATGGCGAGACTAAATACGAGGTCGAGTACTTGTGGCCGGATTGGTGGCCGAGGCAGGTAAGGGACTTGGACCCACACGATCATTTCTAAAAGTGTGAACGGGTGGGCGATCTCATTTGACCGGTACGGTATTCCATTTGACCGATTTGCGATCGGAGATGACATGATCCATTTTCGCTACTGCTTTTGAACAGAGTCTTGTCTCCTGTATTATACATCTCCATTGAATCGACACATCCTACACCGTACAATTCCGATGTATCCGTACTACCCAATGCCGATTTTCACTTGCATTGACAAGGCACTGCCCTCCGGGATTGACGCGACGGGCCACAGATCCCATGTCGGTGAGTTCGCTAATGCTCACAGAAGTCATCCGATACTGACTGACTTTGACGGCAGGCTCCTCGGCCTGTGGAAAGCATTCTTGGGGACTGCGGCTCATGTGGTTCTATATGGGGCCGCCGTGGAGTCCTCGATTGCTGTCTTTTTATAATCACTCAGATATGAGCGGACGCATCTGACAGCTAATCGTGGTCCCTTGTAACATTGGACCCTTCTTATTATTTTCAGTCGCCACGTTTGGCTTTGTTGGACGCACACGAGCGATTCGCAGTAGGTAATCAAAGGCAGGACTAGCTTGGCCTAACGGAAACTGGGATAATACTATTAAATCTCAGACAATGGGGAAGGTCAGCTGGTAGGTCAATCTCTAATGTTATTGGGAAGTAACGCGTGTACATGCGATCGCATAAGTATCACATCTGTGGTTTGTGTCTATGTTGTAGGGGAGAATTTCATCAACAATGCGACCAAAGGAATCCGGCGGGACACACGTATATGGCTTCAACGAGCTTGATTTCTCAGCACGATTCAACATCACCTCTCAACCTCTACGTCACGTTGGGAACAGTAAATCCAGCCTCTGAAGTCCTTCTGGGCTCTCCGGCACTGACCTACGTACCCTATGGTAAACAGTGGCTGCAGGAATGGTACAGTGGAATTCGTGGCTTCGACTGGTATGAAACCAGTTCGACGGCACTCGTTGAACATCTGAAAGACTTTCACCAGATGTTCCGATGGCCGATATGGGTCACTGAATGGACATGCCAGGTATTTCGCCGACGTGTCTGCATACTGAGACTGCATGGAGTTAAGATATGTCCCGAGGACTTCAAGGACGCGGATGCAGAATGCTCGCCGCAAGACATCGTCGGTTTCGTGAACATTGTGACGGGCGTACATGAACGACACGGGATGGATAGAGCGGTACACCTAGTTCGGCGCCATTAAAGACGTCCAGGGGGTCAATCAGGTAAGCCGATGACGTTTGTCAGCCGCGTTTTCACGCAGTACAACGCCGGCGGGAGCACAGGATCAATGTCCTTGGTCAGCAGTACATCAGCGCGATCTCGCTAAACGTCTCTACCAACACACACCGGGCGGTGTCAATGGCGGGGGCAGCCGCTTCACGAGCTTCTCCTTGAGCCAAGCAGACGATACAGTTCTCCTTGCCAATAATCCAGGCGGTAATTGTAGGAGGATCTACTCTGTCAGTGTTTGTTTGACCCTGAGTTGAGGCATGTACGCATGTATATGTACCATCATTCGGCGACTTACAATGCCTGGCATGAGTGTTCGCGAGATAGAACGCACTGGAAAGGTATCGATACCAACGCCCCGATAGCCCTTGATAGACACATGTTTCTCGCGCTAAAGTTCGGGGACCGTCATACGGTCCAGGACCGAGCTTGCTCACCGATTGCATCATAGCATCTCTGGCGTGCTTACTACTATTCTTGACAGCTGACTATGTCCAGATGCATTGTCATTCTCACACAAATGTAGGCTGGAGCTGGTATAAAAGCAGTCGTTTTACGAAGCAGTGGAACACCAGCCACCTTCCCGCTCCCTCTCCCTATCCAACCTGCTAGCCTGTAAGCATGTCCTCTGACACCGGCAGCCCTCTTCTTCTATACACCGGTAAGACTCCAAATGGCTACAAGGCGTCGATACTCCTCGAGGAGCTGAAGCTAGCATACGGTGGTCCCGACTATGAGTTAGTATTCGTCAGCAATGCGCGGTACAGTAGAAGCGATTACTGATCGCGGGTGGACAGCGCGTTTTCAATCGACATTAGGACGAACGTCCAGAAAGAGCCATGGTTCATAAAATTGAACCCAAACGGCCGCATCCCTACGCTCGTGGATCGCTCTCGCAACAACTTTACTGTCTTCGAGTCCGCAGCAATACTGCTTTACCTTGAGCAGCATTATGACAAGGAGAAGAAATTCGCATTCGATCCCGTCAGCGACCCGGACAACTACAGTGAAATGATTCAATGGATCTTCTTTGCCGTAAGTTGACCTCAATAATGCACCCGGATTGACAGCTAACTCGGGATCTAGCATGGCGGAGTAGGGCCAATGCAAGGCCAAAATCACCACTTCAACAGATATGCTCCCGAGGATCTTCCCTATGCAAAGAAACGTAAGGATGCGTCGCCACCGCGGCTAGCGCGTAGTCGCTGATATCCGCTATCCGCACACAGGCTATATCGACGAGACCAAGCGGCTCTACGAGGTGCTTGAAATCCGCCTCTCCCAGGGTCGCGAATACCTAGCTGGTCCTGGAAAGGGTGTTTATTCCCTCGCCGATCTGAACGTATTCCCGTGGATTAGGCTTCATGAATGGGCAATGATACCGACCTTAGACGAATGGCCGAGCTTGAAGGTATGTTTCCCAAGGATATTCACGGGGGCTAGTAGTTAAGCTACTGCTATTAGGCCTGGGTCAACAGGATCTCCGAACGTCCCGGTGTCAAAGCAGGCGTGGCAGTCCCGTAACGAGTTTAGGGTGAATTGCTAGGTACAGACATAAGGCTGAAATCGAAATAGCACCTTGTAATAGTATATGCCTGCAAGAACTCGCATTCGAATTGTATGCTCACTGCATGATATGGAATATGGAAGCACCGAGTAAGCATGAAGTAAAAGGGAACATGCGATTGAGCAAAATAAGAAGGACCATCGACTCAGATCGAGCTGAGAGCTGAAAAATTGGGAATGCGGCATTGATTTGGAGGCAGAACACGGAACCCCCTAGTAAAAGGCGAGGGGGTTGTCTGATTGCACTACCTCCTGCCGCACTTACTACGGTCGGTAAGACAGGTCCACTACCCGACTTTTGCATTTTGTGCAGCCCGCGGGTAAGCTTCACGTGAATCCACCCGCAAGCGACGCGCCTTCGGCCCCTGAGCTCACCGCGGACAAGATGTCTGTCGACGACAAGCTCAAGCTGGTCGTGTCGACCGCTCTCCGCAACCTCTTCTCCTCGTACAAAGTCACTGCACCCATCTCCTCGTTCGACCTCCTCACGCATGTCATCGCTGCAGGACCACCACCACCAGGGCTATTTCCTGGGCCCGACCCGCCGCCTTCGCTCCGGCTAACAGACCTCGCACGTTTCGAGGCTATTCTTGAGAATCTTGCTGAAGCATGGGCCCATGGAAGGATCTCTGTGATACGTGAAACACTTGGAGATCTCACTGTCATGGAGGTGCATCTGGGCGACGCCGCGCTCGCCTCGAGCTCGTATTCACATGGACGCAAGCGGAAGCGCGTCGTCGACGAGGACGCCGATTCTGCCGCGGGTGACGCGGAAGAGGAGGACGAACAGAGAGAGGAGCTGCGCGCACGGCTGAAGCCTGCACCTACGACCCTTGCTAGCCTGAGCAAGGATATGAAGGAGGTGTACAACATCCTGCAGCGGAGTACAGCCAAGGGCCGTCTGCTCGCCGAACAGGTGTGTGTGGTCTCAGTCAGACAATGCCGAGCAATTGAACTCTCGTTACAGTTCCGATCCGTTAACGGCAGCTTCGAGCCTATATGTTCCCATATCACGAAGGACTTATGTGCGAAAGCACGTCGTCTTTCCGTGTCCAATGCCGACCCTAATGCGCCGCTCAGTATCTGCGACCGCATCCATTTCCGCCCTCTCATTCGCCCGCATACGGACCCGTCGCTCGGCCATTGTTCATACCTCAATACATGCTACTCCGAACCAACATATGCCATGTCTCCATCTATCCCCCCGCTGCCTTCTCATCGACAGATGGGGTATGGTGCACAGGGAGCTGGGACAGTCAGTCTACCGAGCGGACTGGGCGCTGGTGGAAGGGGTAAGGAGAAGGCGCCGTGTCGGTATCTACACTTCGAGGTCGATTGGGATATCAATGATGGTTCTAGTCAACCTGACAACAGAGTAGAGGTCAAGAAGGCGTACAAAATGGGCATTGGTTTGGGCCCTACTGGAAAGGAGACACCCATAGTACGCTTAGCTACCCACGCTCACGGGTAGTTGATGCTGATCTGCTCAAAAGCTCCCACCCCAATGGCTCAACTGTGACCTACGGAGGTTTGACTACTCGGTCCTCGGAAAGTTTCATGTGATCATGGCTGACCCTCCCTGGGATATTCACATGAGTGTAGGTATCACGTATTCGTGTCACTTTCCATTGCGTCTGCCCGCAGGTCTCCGTCCTATCGCGTGCTCACAACATCCTCCCTTAGCTACCTTACGGCACTATGACAGATGACGAGATGCGTGCAATGCCGATTCCTACGTTACAAGACGAGGGTCTACTCTTCCTATGGGTCACCGGCCGTGCCATGGAGGTAGGGCGAGAATGCCTCCGCGTGTGGGGCTACACCCGCGTGGACGAAGTTGTCTGGGTCAAGACGAACCAGGTAACTCATGTGCGTTCTTGTACCAGCAACCAGCACTCATCATAGCTATTCACATCAGCTTCAACGAGTGATTCGCACAGGCCGAACAGGCCATTGGCTGAACCATACCAAAGAGCATATGCTTGTGGGCGTCAAGACTGTCACCGATGACTCGGGAAACCTCAAGTTTCCTTCATGGGTGAATCGCGGACTTGACACCGACGTGATCGTGTCGGAAGTGCGAGAGACGAGTCGCAAGCCAGATGAAGTGTACGGCTTGATCGAACGTATGTGTCCCGGCGGGCGCAAGGTTGAGATCTTCGGTAGGAAACACAACACAAGGCCAGGGTAAGCTCGCGAGCCGAGTCAGTCTTGCACCGGTGCTAATGCCAGGCTGCGAAGGTGGCTGACACTTGGGAACCAATTGGGTCCTGATCAAATTTATGAGGAGGACCTAGCTGCAAGGATTAAAGCCAGGTACGCTCTGCGGGGTGAACTGTATGCGCTTTGCTCATGCGGTCTGAAGGTATCCTGAACGGATTGCCAGCGCTCCTTCTGCAAGCGGACAGTGAGCTTGTATAGTCGCTATTTTGTCACATTGCTATGTGTCGTGCTCTCGTGCTCTCTAGGACAATTGTCGTTTGTTACGTTTTTGTATGTGTCCTGTTCCTTTATAAATTATGGGGTGTCGCTGCTTGTTTATTATCTAGTCCTACGGGGGAACCTCCTTCCCCGCCCAATCCCAGACTTTGCCTCTATCTGCCGCCTTCAAATTATCTACGACCTCTACTAGCCTTTCCGCAGCGTACTCGGGCTCGAACAACTTCTCCTTTGGTACACCAGCCCAGAAGTCGCGGCTCAGGTCAGTCCTGACTGTTCCGGGGTGCACCCCTACGCACACAACAGGAAGTTTCTTCTGCTTGAGGTGCAAATCGAAGGTTCGGACGACTTGATTCAAAGCTGCCTTGGAGGCACGATAGGAATACCATCCGCCCTGGTTGTTGTCCGAGATAGAGCCGACGCGAGCCGAGATGTGCACCCACTTCGCAAGAGGAGCCGCTTGGGTCAGCGCGGCCTGAGCGCCTGGCAGGAAGGGCGAGAAGTGCTTGATCAAGAGAAGGTGCGAGATGACATTGATTTGGAAGGTTTCTTGTATTTGTTTGAAGTCGAGGTCCGCTGGTTGCCGCTCAGGGTGCAAGACGCCGCCTCCAAAGAATGCCGTCTGCAGGTGAGACTTGGGGTTGTCTTTGAGGAGATGCGAGAGCTTGTGTGCAGCGGCCGCGATGCTGTCCTCCGATGTTAGATCCAGTTTGAGCAGTTTGAGCCTTGCAGGGTCGACGTCGTGCAGCGGGGATAGAATTTGTTTCCGAACCGTGTCAGGCTCGTCAGAGCGGTGCGTCGCAAAGACTGGCATGCTAGTTGTCCGGAGCAGGTGCCGGGTCAGTGCTAGCGAGAGCCCGCGAGTGGAGGGCGTGATAAATGCGAATGGTTGGGACGACATATGCTGGATATATTGCCGTTATCACTCAACCTGTCAGTCGGGCCAAACACACATAAATTTCGCGCCTCGCGTCGCTCTGAGCACCTCGAACTGAGAACACGGATATCTCTTGAAATACTCATCGTATAGCCTTGATTCTTGCTGCGTTCGACTCTGCTCGTCGCCCCGGAGGGCCTGATACCAATAATATTGCAATCTATCCATGCGTGACTGTTGTCAGCTCCACCACCACCCTTTGGATGCAGGATCGGTTTCGCTCGTGAACACAAGCGTGTATTCTTGTCGGAGTGACTGCATTTGGTCAAGGTGGATACTAGGGAGGGCCCGGTATCATTTTTGGTGTGTCCCCTAGCCCATATTTCTTTCCTTGGTCTGTTCTCTGCACTCGAGCATCACACAAGCTATGGTTGTCCATCTGTAGCCTTGTGTTCTTCGCCCATCTGACATCTCAGCCTAGTAGCCTACTACTGGTGTGTTTCTAGCTTTACAAGACATCTATCATCTGTTTAGCGGCTGTCTGCACGTCACTGTCAACGCCCTGCGTGCGCACTATGTAATGGCATAAACAGCATGCAATTCACAGAATCCCAGCCTTCAAATCGATGTTGATGGACTCCCAAACTTCCAGCGCATGTCCAGCTCTCCCGGAGAGACAGTTATCTGTGTTTGGCTCACTGTTGGTATGTCTGACACCAGAGCCAAGCTCTGTTTCGCAATCAAGTTGCTCTACGCATTGTATCTTACATAGGTAATGCTCTTAATAGACACATATCAGTCATTTCACATATTGGACGTTGTAATGCATGTAGATGTCCTGGTAAGTCTCAATTTAAGGCCTACTAAGATGATATCAAGGCGGGGTAGAGCGCTGGTGTGACATACTGTGCACAGCATCTCATGTAGCCTCTCTTGCACTGTATGCAGGTTGGTTGCGAGGATAAGAGGTGATGGAACTAGAGGGCAGCGCAACTATTAGTCCATCAAGTATGCAGTAGAAGCTGTCCTAGATGGCGCGAGAGCCTCTTTGTGATTGAATGCCAATGACAGATGAGGGAAACAGTCACACCATAAGATAGCTCTCATGGCTTTATATGATATATTACATGGGTTGGGGATACTGGAAAATAGATCCCAAGCAATCTGTACTGATGGCATGGAGGAGTGCTAACAGTATGGCGACAATAGCATATAGTGAAGATAGTCTTACTGGGGGACACACTAAACCCATACCGGGCCCTCCATAGTATCCACTTTGACCCAACACAGTCATTCCGACATGAACAGATGCTTGCATTCGCGGGCGAAAACAATCCTGCGTCCAGAAGGGAGTGGCGGAGCTGACAACAGTCACGCATGGATAGATTGCAATATTATTGGTATCAGGCCCTCCGGGGCGACGAGCAGAGTCGAACGCAGCAAGAATCAAGGCTATACAATGAGTATTTCAAGAGATATCCGTGTTCTCAGTTCGAGGTGCTCAGAGCGACGCGAGGCGCGAAATTTATGTGTGTTTGGCCCGACTGACAGGTTGAGTGATAACGGCAATAAGTGATTATACTAAATTTGTGCACTTGTTGACCTTGGACCGTTGGAGTGCACTGGCACCATGGGCAACTTGTGGCCGACCGGTTCGGGCAGTCACGCGGTCACGTGAACTACATAATGCATCGATTGGCCACGAACCGTTTGTGGCTGGCACCGGTGCGGGATTTATAACCGTCGTCCGCGCCTCTCAAACCATCTTGTTTCTTTACACTCACATCGCTTGCTACACCAGGAGGACATGATTACGCGCTCAAACACAGCTGGACGGGCTTCTAAACGCCTAGCCTCGCCTGTAGACGGACAATCTGCGGCACTGGGTGATACTACGGCAGGATCTTCAATACCTCCCAAGAGGGTTCGCCGCACCGCTCCATTGGCATCGACCACCAAAGTAGAGGTTAGTATACATGCTATTCCCCTGCAATGTACAGACACCGATCAACTACTTTAGATATCGTCGCCCAATTTCCGCACCGCGGTTGACGTCCAAGTGGCGCTGCGAGAGGTTTGGAGACTCGAGTCGCTTGGTCGGTGCCCAACGAAGGAGCAGGCTGTTCATCGACACATGAACCTTTACGGTACGCAGCGCTCCAGCTCTTCGACAGAACCAACTCCACCGACGAAGGCGCTCGAGGTACGTGTTGGGCTCAGATTTGAACTTCCTATTGACCGGACATCTCCCTCAGGATGCCATTACAAAGCTGCGAGGCATACATCAAGATCAGTTTCGTACATACGCATCGGGCACCTTGACCGAACCTTTCAATCTCCGGATCTCACGGCCTCACTGCAAGTTCAATGGCCAGATTCGCATTCACTCGTCGAATGACAGAAATGACGGAATCGAGGAACGTTTGAAACAGTGGTATAACCATTCGGTCGTATCTGGTTTCGGTGACCTCCGGAGTCAGGAAACGAAGGAAGACAAGGATGTGCGCCATGCACGCGAAATCGGGGCACGCGATTTCTCTGTTGAGCCAGAGTTGCTGCAACGTATCGCTGTTTGTTGGGATAGCCACTTCCACGCAAACAAGGGCGTCCGCGTCGAACCGTACAAGATTCATTTATACAGCGAGGGGGGTCACTTCAAAGCCCACCGTGACACTCCAGAGAAGGACTTAGTCGGAACCTTCCTGCTCGGCCTAGGAGATACTGTCCGGTCTCCATGTTTCCAGCTGGATGACCAAGAATTCCACTCTCATCCTGGACAATGGGTGGCCTTTTATCCTGACGTGCCACACTCCGTCACGAGGCTGCCGTACGGCTATCGTGCGGTTATCGCATTCAAAATCTTCCGAAAGTCCACTCGCAACAAGTGCCCTCATGTTGATCAACTCACGAAGGATGTTACGGACGAAATGGTGCCACCATTCGGCATCCTGTTAGAACGGAAGTATTGTCTGGGAACCACTGAGCTCAGTGGGTTCGACGCTATCATCCACGCCTGCCTCCGGGCCAAGCACGGCGTGAAGGTGATTCTTTTGCCCGTAGTCGTCGACGTAAAGGCGACTTGGGGCGCCGAGGATGAAAGCTATGATGATGATGATTGGGAGCAGGAATGCACTGCGTCGGTCTATCCGTTCACAGAGGCACACATCGACTACCTGGTCAGCATAAAATCAAAGGACCGCGACTCAGAGGACGAGAAAAAGAAGAAGATGGCGGAGGTTCTGAAAACGTCCGTGAAGGATATTCCCTTCTACAGTACCGACTTCGCGAAGTCAACCATCACATGGTCCGATAAGGAGCAAGAGACCGTCAATTATTATGGGAACGAGGCACAGGCATGGAGGTCAGACAGTGTGTATCTGTCCTATGCGCTGTTGGCGGTGCCCGACTCTGAGTCTCCTGCGGCCAAAGACACGAAGAAAACAAAAAAGACCGCCAAGAGGTGAGGCTTTGGATGAGTCAAGTTACGCCTCTAGCTGTGCTGGCTGTTGTGTTTCATTTTTGCTCAGTCATGAAAAATTCTATACACCCAGTGTACTTAGTCTTGCTACAGAAAATGACAATAATCGGTTGCACTACCGGTGATTGTGAGACGTGACAGACGGCACTCGTTCGTTCTGCACGCAAAAGAGGCGACGGACGGGAACAAGAAAGCAATCCGCGTCAGGAAGATATGTCAACCACTCTGTTCACAATATTGACGGAGCCTAACTTCTATCAACGAAATCACCTTCATCTTCATCCCACCCCAATGTCTCTGGTGCAATGCCGAGATGGCGAAGCATCGTCCCAAGTGAGTGGGGTATGCGCGGCATATGATCTTCATCCAGAGGCAAGTCTTTCTGGTCGGTGTTGTCGGCGTCCTGAGTACTATCGGTTTCGTCCCACCCCCAACCGCTAGGTCTATCTGGGTGTTTCCTACCATCATCATATCCCCACCCACTTTGGAAGAGCCCACCTCCCGCGTCACTGTTTGCGAACAGACCACCCTTGTTGAGGCCTCCGTTATTGCCGAGATCAAGGTCTTTGGCGGTGTCCCATAGCGCCCATGCGATTTCGCGTGCGACGGTGGTCCATTTGTGTACCAGCTGCTCCAGCTGCTCCTCTGCGTCGGAGCCTCCTGCATTCTTGATTCTAATAGCTTGCTTCAAGGTCTGGACTTTGCCCTGCAAAGTCTGAATTGTAGGGGCGGCGTTGACGGTGGAAGTGCGAAGAGTCCTCTGGAATGGGACCAGCGGATAAGAATCAGTTGTAGCCGTGGGTGTCCTGAAAGGCTTCGCAACGCTTGCGGAGTAGTCTTTCTTCAGGAGACTGTCCGCGGACTCAGTGCAGTCTGCGTCCTGACCAGAAGAACTGGGAAGGAACACGCCGCGAGTCGAAGAGTTGGGCGTCCTCGGCCCATGGGACTTTGCGCTCTTGCCACTGGCGTAAACAGCGTCAACTCCATGATGTAAGGCACTTTTATCGACTAGAGGGGAGCGAAAAGGGGTCGACAATTTTTTGCGCTCTTTCATCTGGGAGGCCAGAGTTGGTCGCTTGAGGGTTGGCAGCTTAGGCGGTGACGGAATAGCGTCGAGTTTCTGATGGAACGAACTCAGTGATTTGATATTACTCCCAATAATGAACAAATATACCAAGCGTTTCTCTGTGCTCCTGTCCTGTGCATCGGTATCGATCTGCACATCTGGGAGGCTCGCATCATGTTTACAACAGTGGTCTACGTGTTCATTGTCTCGACGCCGTTTGACTCCAGTAAGAAAGTGGACAGCCGTGGCCGGCCCGCGGTTTGTCTGCTCTATCTGCTCGGTGCAAGGAAACTCCTGACTCATTGCAATCGATTCCGGCTGCGACGACGGAGGCGAGTTCAGGAATGGCGGTGGCGAAGAGAATATCCTTGAGGGGCTGGAGGACAGGAAAGGCGAAGACGGTGGCCAAGGCGAAGACGGTGGCCAAGGCGAAGATGGCAGCAAAGGCGAAGACGAAGGTGTCTTGTCATAGTCCATAATCATCTTAAAGCCACATTCCTCCTGGATCCACGGGACGATTGAGTACATAGACAACTAACTTCTGGACATATGATAGGCTGGTTGACTGACCGTGTTTTCCTGAGATGCGGCGAGCGGCGAGGAAGGTACTGCAAGTATAGACATGCTGATATCCTCGCTTGGCGGGGAAGGTAGCAGAGCGTCAACTTGACTTGTTGTGACAAAGGGCTCCAAAGGTTGAACCGCTCCTGAAGGCTCGAGAAAGGCGGATGTCTCGACAAGGTGTTCCATTCCATCTTGAGAAATTGAAGGGGTAGCAACATGAGAGCTGTAATTACCGGCTGATTTGACGCCTGTCTTTGGAGACGTGGAGGTGGCCCCAATGTCCTCTTCAACGATGCGATTGTCGACTCTTGAACTGGCTTCAAAGTAAGCCTCGGAAAGACCTTCTTCAAAAGTCATCATGTTGGAGTCTCTAGTCGCGACGGCCAGAATTCGATGAGCTATGTCCCTGTCAGAAATATCACGGACAATCGTTTCTCGAGCGTCGATACGAGTGGGGGTCTTGAGGACAACGATGTCAATTTCCGTGGCATTATCAACTGCGCTAGACAGAGATGTTAAATTGGCGTGTGAAGCGTGGAGAGGAGAGCGTTGTCCATGATCTACGGAGGTAGGGGCCAGACGAAGAGCGGGTGCGCATTCAGTGTATTCAGTGACGGATTGGGCAGTGAGAGCGTTGCTAAATGGAGGAGTCTTATCGTGAAGCAGAGATAGATCAGGTTGCACAGTAATCGACGACACAGAGAAGCAATCGGCCATAGTACCGGACAGCATAGCAGGCTCAGGCTCCAGAAATACTGAAGACGCCGCAGCAGGCTGCACAGTAAGATCAGGTTTGCGTACAGCAATAGCACTAGGCAACGAGACTTGAGCAAGGGCCAGTGACGTTGACAAGGTAGAAAGCGGGACCGGCACAGAAGAAGCGTCAGTTTGCGGTGCATTCAGGAAGTTTTCAGATGCAGACGAGGCAGATTCGCAGGCGCCGGAAGTGTTAGACTCAGTCAAAGTTTGGTCTGTGTATGGTAGTTGCGATGGAATTACCAGTAGAGCTGATGGGATATCCGCCTCGACGCTCAGTAGAGGGGGAGAAGGAGCAGGGGAAGCAGGCACGGTGAGAGAAGCATCAAGAAGCGAGTCAGCAGGTGTGTTCAATGTGTAAACCTCGTCTAACGTTGAAGATCACGTAATATTTTATGATAGCAGATCAATATGTCAATTCAACAACGTATCGAAAGAGCATACCAGTATATGCAGTGAGTTTTGCGATTTCCACGTTTACCGCCTTATCGACCAAATGGGCGATATTCGATCCCTGCGTTTGCACCTGGAGGTAATCAGTCACACAAGGAGTCTGGTTTCCCAAATTGCTTCTAGCATTGAGCACAGTGTCCCCGACCGATTGAAAGGATGCGATCGGTCCCGCTAAGACGTTGTGGTTGTCTACTGTTCGTGTAGAGGGATGATCGGGGTACAGTACCGGGACATAGTGAAGATTGACCATCACGGATATCGACTCGAGTGCCTTTTGAATTTGGGGCGTCTGGGATAATGCGTAAAGATACATCCCTCTCGATGTAGCTGGGTGCTCACCGTGTCAGGATCTGTACAAAGTAGTTCGGGGCGTGGTGCGGAATGTATTGGCTGTACTTTTATCAATATATGCGCATCATAGAGCGAAGTAACGACTCATACCTCAAGATGGAGCGATGGAAGTGCGGCCGCCGGTGCTGGGTAGACCAGGGACTGCTCGCGTCCATCAATGATAACGTATAGCATATAACAAGTCGGGACTTGCTTGTAGTAAGGTACTATCGGAGTTCTGCGCGTTTTCTGTTACCAATGAGAGGTTATATGCGCCATCTTCGCTTGCTAGCACGCCGATATCATCTTCCCCAGGCGCATTGAGGTTGTCTTGGTCCTGCACGCTAGCACTCACAATATCCGTACATTCCTTTGTTGATTAAACATTTAGAAGCTAGATATGAAGATGGTTACACCAATAATCCCTTCTGGCCTCACCTGCCCATTCTCATCCGCGCCTTGATGGGCGAGTGCGAGCGGAAGCAGTTCAGTCTTGCAAAATATGAGCACAGGAGGAATGCCATGAAAGAAAACTTACGGCGGTAAAGTCAGATGTCATTGTTGTCATTATCACTTCAGACATGGATAGTGCACAGTAGAAAGTAACTGATGAAAGAAGCAGGACGGAGCTGGTCATACTACGTCGATCGTAGATCCGAAATCCGAGATAGACATCTACTAGTGTCACGTGCGTGACCACTCAGGCTCGTACCTCTGCTTCACGAATCTATCGACTCACAGCTTACCTTGCTAGGCGATGCTGTCTCCTCGTATGACTAGCGGGCTTCAGCATAGCTCTAATCTGCCAGAAGAGGGATAAATGGCTTTAGCAGCCAATGTCTGGCGGCAGCGACCGACTCAGCTACAGAGGTGGCTGAAACTAACCACTCGTGCGCACTGATAGCCCACCCCACTTAGGGTTTGCGGTGTTATCCGGCCTCTCTGAACAATATTTCTTTGTGGATCCAAATAAAATGTCATGTATGATCAATTGCGCTTGTTGAATACGACGAGCTGAAATTTGGCTACTGCTCATCAGACTGCACAAATTTGCCTCTTCGACGTAGAATGAGGGCATATAGAACGCATTTAAAAGCGCAGGTGGGCGGCCGGATCTGCGGACGTTCCAAGCGCGTAAGCAGATTTCAAGGCTCAAAGGGATAATCCGAGGTAGGCGTTCTCCACGACTGATGGCGCGGGCTACTCGTCCTCTAGCCATTCTGCATTTGCAGAAGTTGAAAAGAGGTTAACACGTATTTCCCAGTGTCATCAAATACACAAAGATTGTCACGACGGACTAGTATACATCACGGAACTAGATCATTCCTTTACGGATTGCATGCGCACCCGTTGGTCGCCGCGCTCCCCTCTTTTCCGCAATTTCTCTTGTCGTTTGCTAACGGGCTCTTTGGGCGCCGAGTCTCCTCGAGGATCCGGGGTTGCTGCAGGTCGTCCAAAGAGCAAAGGTGATATGGCAGAGGTCCATAGCTTGTATACGGCATACAGCGGAATCTATTTCAGGGTAAATAAAACCTCAAATCGGAAGTTCAGAACGCTGAGAACTCACAACCAGATATAGCCACCAGAACCAGTCGCCGAACACACCGCTGCCGACTTGACATGCCCCTACAGAACACGTATAACACATGATTACAAGTGAAGACATGCATACTTGTATACTCACATGTAATGTAAATCACATCGAAAGCCCACTCGATGATCCCAGGCCGCCCGAGGTCTTCACCAGCAGATATGAGAGTGTCAGTTGTGGCATCGCGTCTCGGAGACCCGATGCGCTCCAGGTATCGAGACAGGAATATAGATGGGAGGTTTGACAACGCCAGTAGCCAGAGAGACAATTTCGCCGGTGACAGTGAGCCTTTCCTGAATAACATGCGAAGCAAGAGCGATAATGCTCCTGCGGCCAACATGCCATATTTCATGTTCTTGATCGTCTGCGCATTTTGCTGTGCTGCTAGGCTGTAAGCAATTGACCCAACTTTCTGGCTAAAACAAACTCACCGACACGCTTAGCCGAAGCGTTCGCCATTGTAGAATGCGACAAGATGGGGAGGTCTTAACGGTGGCAATATTGGCGAATCGCACCTGTCTAATTTGGTAATCCGGAAAACTACCACGTGGCTCAATACATGCAGAGCTGTGGCGGCGCAGACCACATCTATGTTGGGCAAGTAACAGGAATCGGTTACAGAGGTCAGCAGTAATCTGACATCTCAATGCCACTCGAGATCGTACAAAATGCTGTGCAGGCCAATAAAGACCACCAGTACGCTCTGAAGGTGTATACCGAGAGACTCGAAGCCGAACTCGAGAACATCTCAAGGCTACTGGTAAGTTGGATCTATTTGTTTCATCGCTTTCAACTCACAGAGTGTGCTATCCAGACTGCAGCAGATGTGTCAGAACATGAAGATGAAATCGAAATAGATACGGGGGGAGCTGTCGTTATTCCCGCTTCTGTCAAGGCTTTGGGTCCGGTCTCCTCCAGTGATCTACTTTCAGAGGTGTGCATCCCTTGTTGTCTCCCACTCATACCTTTATGAAGTAGCGACATACAGGGCTCGCCATTTCTTGACGATGCCATGAAACGGGAGCGTTATGTCCAGCCTATAACCGTCCATCAGTGTATGTTTTACACCCTTCGCCGGGAGCACTCCGCTAAAGCTAGTTTCTAGGGAAGGCGCAAGAGCTTGAAGCACTCGCAGACGCTGTACGCTTGGAGAACTACCGCATTTATGCATTAGAAGCGCAGCTCAGGTAAGTCAACTTCTGCCTTCTCAATTTATATCTATCACAAGCCCGCTGCAGGGGCCGGCATACGTTCAATGTACAAGGTGGCCATCCCTCAGATCACCTTGAACGGAACAAGACGGGTATTGACTGGACGCGCGTTGCGCTCAAGGTAATTGCAATCCCACGACCCAATTAGTACGCAAACTGATTTTATCCAGGTCTCTGAATCAAGCAATGTTCAACGCTCCCCCAGAGAATGTGAGATCCGCTGGTTGGGAGACCGACACCCCGATTTTAATCATTCCACGTGGACACAGTCCGAAATCGACCGAGTGAAAGAGCTCGTTGCCGACGCGACTGAAGGTCAGGTCGACTGGGTGCAGATAGCCGCAGAACTTGGAGTAAGCTTTAGCCCCGAACGAATATGCGGAACGATATGAACTTGACGCCTTAATCCAGACAGGACGTACTCCGGTGGACTGCATGCGTCATGCCATTCTCAGGCGTTCCCATAGCTGGAACTTCGAAGCGGACAATAGACTTTCACAAGCGGTGCGAATTTACGGAACAGACAACTGGTCCGTAGGTAAGCTAGCCTCTTAGTATTCAACTGGAGAACATGCTGAGCAGCATCGCGACAGTGGCGAGGTACGTTTCTGAAGATGCCACGCCATCACAATGTCAGAATCGCTGGTCCCGTACCCTCGATCCCGACTTGAAACGCGGGCCGTGGACAGAAGATGAGGACAATGCACTGCGCCGTGCCGTCGACATCCTCGGCAATGCCTGGTCAGAAGTCGCCATGTTTGTCCCCTGTCGCAGCAACGAGCAATGTCGGGAACGATATCAGGACTACCTGAACCCCACCGTCACCAGAGGCAGATGGACAGAAGAAGAGGACAACGCACTTTTCAAGCTCGTACAGGAATCTGGAAAGGTCAGCTGGAAGGAGATTAGTAAACGGCTGGGGACGAAGCGCACTGATAACATGGTAAGTGGTTGTTCCTCTTCTTTTTTGAAATAGGAGATTCGTAGATGTATTGATGATGATTCTCGCAGTGTCGGTCGCGGTTCATAACTTTGTCTAAGCGTAAACAAACCGAGGATGCTGCTGCTGCTGATCCATCCTCATCTGGCGCTCTTGCAACCCCGGAGCCCGCTCAAGTCGAACGCTTCTCCGCGAGCCCTGCTGCGGACAGTGCGCCAACCCCAAAACCGAAACCCCGACCCCGACCCCGACCCCGGGCTCGACACAAAAGCGCGCAAGCTAAGGGCGAGGCCTCGAGCAGCTCTACGCCGACCGCAGTCTCTGCGTCGGCTCATGATCGTACGGAATCCACGTTGGCGCATGAGGCCGGTGAGATTCAAGTGGAGCCCGAGCCTACAGCAATTAAAAAGCCCTCACGAGGACGCGCACCGAAGCGACGGCCGCCCGCTGATACCAACGAGAAGCCTCCCGCTAAGAGACGCAAGAAGACTGCGCCGGAAGATGTAGGAGAAGTGCGTTTCATTTTGTCCGAATATGATGAGAAAACTGATCATGAATCCTGCTGTCATGTTTAGGCTGGTGCTGCTGCGAGTGCGGGAGTGGGGGTCATAGATGTGGCAGAAGTGAGAGATACTCATGACAATTTAGAGTCAGACCAGCCCACGGATGAGCATCATGCTGAACAGCCTGTTGGCAAAGCGAAGACAACGAAACGCACTCGCAAGGTGCGGCAAGCTCCTCAAAAGCAGCCGCGGAATGTGCGTGTACGCAATGCGCCTGCTCAAGATGCAATGCCCGTTGATGACGTTGGTCAGTCTGTATCTGGGAATACATCGACGGCCCCTGCGGATGGTCACGACATCCCGAAAGAACAACCTTCCGCCAGACGGGGACGCAAGAAATTGCCAGTAGTAGAAAGCAGAAGACAATCAACCCGGCTCGCCGCAAGGCAAACTCTACCCGAGGATACCGACCTATCGCTGCAAGCATCACCCCCTTCTGAGTCACTCATCCCTGGAATCCTTGTTGCGCCCACCACGTCCATTTCGACGACAACTGGCTTGGTCGAAACTATCGAGGCAAAACCGCAAGAGATTGGAGATACGTCGAATGTACTTAGGGAAGTGCCTGCGTCTCATGCGGACGCTGGTTACGAATCCTCAGAGCTATCCTCTCCTCCGTCGTCACCTTGATGTTCATACGCATATACTTAGCTCTGGCATCACAGTACAACGCGTGCATTGACGAAAAATGATGTCTTTCATGTAATCCTACACCTTTATTGTACACATGAATGGATCATGCATCGACTCTCCACCGCTTTCGAGGGTGAGTGGTAGCTTCCCAGTTAACAATGGCCCCCAACAGCTCTCCGTCTTCTTGACCTGCACTATCTTCCGTCGCCAAGAGAAGATTCTTGAGAGATTCTTGCACAAGCCCGGCGTTCTTCAGTTTCTTCTCCAATGATGGCAGAGCTGCCTTCTTCGGTGGCGAAACCTACGACCATCCACTGTGAGTTCGGACCGCGTTAGACTCATTGCCCCTGACATACCGGTGTCCTGAGATACGTATGTTTTGGTGGCAATGCAGGGAGATTACGTTCCGACCAGGATAAAGATCTGAGTGTGTTTGGTATAACGGGTGGCGCATCCTCGTCGTCGGAGGGTAGCATCTCTGGTGAAGGGGAGCGTGATGGTGGAGGAAGCAAGACAAAATCTGCTGCTTCTAAAGGAACGACTGTTGGACTACTCTGCAGCGAGGATGTGTACATATGGCTCACCTTGGTGCTTCGCTCCCGCCTTCCGTGCTAATTGCCGTAGCTCTTTGGTCTGAAGTCCACTATCTGCCGACGCTAACAGAAGATCTTGGGTAATTGGGCCCGCCCTGTTTGCGAGGTTGGCATACTCATGTGCCCGTTCGTATAATTGCTCTACAACTTGGATTGCCGTTAGTGTGTGGCGCCACAGTATGTCAGGACAAGGATACGGACAAGTGACAACTTCGTGCTCAAGCCTACGCAGTGCTGAAGGTTCTACCGAGTCGAACCCGGCAGACCTGAGCTCGCCAGACATAAAGCGCTGCATTGCACGGGAGGCAACATCGTCGGTCACAGCAGACAGCTCGGGAGCGGTATGAGGTTCAGGAAGTGGTAGATGGTTGACGGCCTGTTGCGCGGGATAGACATTGTGCCCTCCCTGTGAAGTGTAGTGTGAGTGTGACGGATAGTAGGTTTGGTTTGGGTAGGTAGGATATTGCGGCTGAATGGTACCATACTGAGGAGGGTAGTAGGACATGATGGAAGCCAGAAGAGAGCAGTCATGCTCGCGTCTGACTGCGCGAGATCACTGCGGGGCTTACGGACCAGGGCACCTTGGGAGTCATGGCCATCTATTCCTATCGTCCAATTTCCCTGTTGTCCCCACGGCGTCCCTGCCTCCCGCAATCCGCCATCTCGCTCGATGTCTGTGACGGAGACCGCTGCTCAGGTCGCCTCCAAGGATGAGAGGCCGGCGGCCCCTTTGGCGACCGATACCTTCCGCCACTCGCGACCTGCGATCGTCGGTCCAGATGCCCCAGAGCCGCCATTCCCGATCGTATTGTCTGGAACGGTGCAGAGGGGATTCGGCAGGGGTGGCAAAGACCTAGGATGTCCCACCGGTTCGTACAATCCAACTGCATCGTCGTGTGCCCTCTGACGTCGCTGCGTTCCGTGTAGCAAACCTTCCTGACGAGTCAATTCTGCCTATGAGCTCCGTCACGCGAACGGGAGTGTACTTCGGATATGCGCAGATCTCCCCCGAGAAGGATAGCAAGGCACTGCTCCAGGAACAGGATTGCCAAGTCTTGCCCATGGTCATGAGCCTTGGATGGAATCCGTTCTACAAGAACGAGCGAATGACGGCTGTACGTCTGATCCTGGTTTCATGCATTCCGCTTTGCGGAGGTTAATTGAACCCTTAGGAGATACATATCATGCATGAGTTCGCATCGGACTTCTACGGTCATGAAATGAAGGCCATCGTTCTTGGGTATATTCGTGCTGAACTGGACTACGTCTCCCGAGGTGAGTACACTCCCAGACATCCACAGCCACATACAGAATCCGACATTCGCATGCAGAGGCTCTCATCGAAGATATTGAGACGGACAAGCGCGTCGCGCTGAAATCCCTCGCGAGGCCCGGTTATGAGAAGTTCAGAGCTGACCCACTGTTCGACGGCGGCCACTCGAGGCTGTGATGTCACCGAACATGCAGTGTAGTATCTATATACCAATCGACCATAGAGATGTATGTTAGGAAAGTCCTGTAGACTTTTATATCGATAGACTTGAATCTGAAACCTTAGACAGCAAGTCGCTATTCATTCCGTGTTGCTACCTAGATGACAAGATTCAGAAGCATCTCATTTTAGTACAGATACAGGACAAGGAGACGAGGAGGTCGAAGCATCCAAGGGAATGCGCATGTTTTTCGAACTGTTGCGCTGTGTTCAGCTCCTGCTCCTACTGCGGCTCCGGCTAGAGCCAGAACTGACCGACATCGAAGAGCCAGTGGAAGCAGAACGAGCTCTTCCACGTCGAGGTCCCCGGTCACCTTTCGGGGGAGGTGAGGGAGAACGCGTGACATCGCGCATGCTGTGGTCGCCTGGCTTGTCCTCGCGCGCAGGGGATCGCGATACCGACCTGGACGGCGACCGACGGCGATCGCGACGGGGAGGCGATATAGAGCGCTCTGGCCGACGAGACAAGTCGCGACTGAGCGGCGGATGCGGAGGCGGCGAGCCAGAGACACCACGGACGTGACGAGTCGGCGGCTCCACGGAGCCTGAACGGCGATAACGTGGAGGCGGTGAGGGTGAGTGCGACTCGAAGCGTCGGCGGACGCGCGGCGGGGGAGTCGGGGATCTGGACGCAGGTCGGCGCACACCCCTGGGTGGCGGCGATGGGGAACGAGACGGGGGGCGACGGCTACGAGGAGGCGGAGATGGCGAACGAGATGAAGGACGGCGCCCACGGGGTGGCGGCGAGGGTGAGCGAGAGCTAGGTCGTCGGCGATAGTCGTCGCGGCCATGATCACGGGGAGGGGGTCCGCGGCGCTGTGGACTCCTACTGCGTCGATCGTAGTAGTCGCGCCCTCTCTCTCGGTCCTTCGGAGGCGGAGGCGGAGGTGGCATCCGTTCCCTTCGCTTCATCTCTTCCTCTCGCTCCTTCCTCCGTCTATCCTCCTCTCGCCGCCGTAGTCGGTCTCGTTCCTTCTTCTCGGCTTCCCAGCGTTCCTTCTGGGCCCGCATTTTCTCGCGTTCTTCCTCCCTCTGTCGCTCCCTATCTTCTCTCTCGGCCATTCGGCGTATCTTTAACTCCTCTTGCTTTTCCCTGTCAAAAGCCTCGCCCTCCGTGTAGTCGCTGCGAGTGCCGAGCGCCCTCGCCAGCTTGCTCAGTTCTTCTTTTTTGGCCGCAGCAATGCCATGGGTGTCGGATGGCTTCAGGTTCTTCGCGTTGGAGCCAAGCGCATTCAAGTTGGCGAGCAGCTTCACCCGCAGCTCGTCCACCTGTTTTTCAATCTCGTCTTCTTCAAGCCTAGAGGAGAATGTGTAAGCTGCGCGCGAGGGAACGTGGTCGAAAGCACGCACCCTTTCTCCTCCAGGTCAAGCTGCAGCTCCAAACATTTCACCTCCACCTTGCGCTTCCGCTCATGCTCAAGAATCTCTGCATCTGGCTCTCGATGCTTCGGCGGTGCTACGTCCCACGCGCTTGCTCTGTCTGCGGCCGTTTCGTGGACTCGCAACGCTGACAAGTTGCGCACTACATATCCATTCGTACCACTGTGTCGTCACGTCAATAACACAATTGAGCCTCAAGCAGCTGCCCATTGCACTCACCTGCCTCGTGGGGTTGTAAGCCCGATACCGTTGTACATATTGAGCTGAAGGGCTAGTGATGGTCCCGAACCAAGCTGGACTTCGTGTTGACGGTCGCGTCGTTGATCGAGGCGCCCAAGTGGATAGTCGATCACGTGCGAGGTATTTCACCTCCTCTGCCAATGCCATGACTCGCGCTGGAATTGGACGCAGAAAGCTGCCGGGGGCACTGCCTTTTCTGACCCCATACCAGCTCCAACAGCTCGTGTACAGCAGCCATGATGCAGCATCGGAATACCTGTAGCTTGGTGGGGCATGCAGGACGAGTCCTCGTTCGACCCCGCCGGACGCCTGCGGGTGTCCGATTCATGTCACCCTTGCCAGAGGTATGCAACAACCAGTCATTGTATTCAGTCTGGCGTGGATATATGTCAACTTGTTGACTGGTCTGTAGTATATTCCCCGTTCGCCGGGCAAGTTGCCCACTGCGCCTACAACTAAACATGTCGCTGTGACGCATCCCGAAAACACATCTGCCCTGTCTGCGGATATCAAGGCCGTCCTCGACCGTACGGAGCGCTATATCCTTCCGGTATACGCCCGCCCACCGGTAGTGATGTCGCACGGAAAGGGTATGTACATCTGGGACACGGATGGCCGTGAATACCTCGACTTCAGTGCCGGTATCGCCGTCAATGCACTTGGACATGCAGATGAAGGTGTTGCTCAGGTATGTCTATTACGTTGATCATGTATGGCCGGGCCCCGGAAATCCTCTCCGTACGCGGTATAGTCATCCACAGTGTCGACATATATGACTACATCGCGGACGCGAGGTCTTAACCGAAGGATTATCATAGCTCCCCGAACCTTCGCTGATGCGTTGCAATTCGGATTTGTCTTCTTGTAGGTTCTGGCAACCGAAGCACAAAAGTTGCTTCATACCGGCAACGTCTTCCATCATCAGTGGGCCGGAAAGCTCGCCGAGCTGCTCGTTACGCTGACCCAGCGTGAAGGCGGACTCGGTTGGGAGGCAGGGTCTATGCACCCACCGTCTGGACAGACGAACGGCGCCAAAGTCTTCTTCTCGAACTCCGGTACGGAGGCAAACGAAGGCGCACTCAAGATAGCACGGAAGGTTGGCAAAGCCAGATGGGCTAAGGCCAGCGGTAAGCAGGCAGACGATTTGTCGTGCGACAAATATGAGATTGTCTGTTTCGAAAATGCGTTTCACGGGCGTTCCATGGGTGCCCTGAGCGTAACACCGAATGCCAAGTACCAAAAGCCGTTCACGCCTCTTATCCCTGGTGTCAAGGTTGGCAAGCTGAACGCGATGGAGGATCTAGACAAGCTAGTGAACGAGCAGACGTGCGCCGTGATCGTTGAGCCTATCCAAGGCGAGGGTGGCATCCGCGCGGCGGATATAGCCTGGCTGAAAGCCCTGCGAAAGAAATGTGATGAGACGGGAGCGGTGTTGATTTATGACGAGATCCAGGTGAGTCAAAATAGCATCTTGTGGTCCCACGATGGAAGTGGGGATGACTGCGTTGCCTTCTCGAGTTGTCCGAGCACGCCGCTGACCGTCTTTTGATGACCTGCAGTGCGGTTTGTTCAGAACAGGAGCTATGTGGGCCCATTCAACGCTGCCAATAGACGCACATCCGGATATTGTCACGATGGCAAAGCCCCTCGCGAACGGCTATCCCATAGGCGCCATTCTCATGCGAGATGATATTGCGGAGACGATGACAGCAGGTATGTTACTCTACGGGAACGCAACTTTGCCTCCTCCGGATTCTGAGACTGATTGCACTCGTGATAGGGACTCACGGCACCACATTCGGCGGGTCGCCGTTAGCCTGTGCATTGGGCTATCACGTCCTGTCGCGGGTGTCAGAACGTCCGTTCGTCGCCAACGTGGCTGAGTCGAGCGCGTATCTGCACGGGAGACTGTCACTGCTACCCAACTGGTTCCCCGAGATCCTGCAGCCGGAGGTGCGCGGGAGGGGATTGATCCTTGGACTCGGGTTCAAGGATCAGAGCCACCCCGCAAAATTGACGGAGCTGGCGCGAGAGCGGGGATTGCTGCTGCTGACCGCAGGCACTGACGCCGTGCGACTCGTTCCCAGCCTCGTCATCTCGCAGGCGGAGATAGACCAGGCTGTAGATGTGATAGAGAGCTGTCTCCATGTAATGCAGACGCAGTAAATCTGGAATATCATTGCTATCTGTTATGATGCGTTTACAGTCACGGACAGCCTGAGTCAGTTGCTAACGAGGTCACCGGGATGGACGAAGGCCGAGAGAGATGGGCTCAGCGGGTCACGCCGGTTGAAATCAGAGGGGCCGGGTGGAACGATCGAGGAACGACAGTTGCCATATGCGTGAAATTCACGAGCGTCAACAAATTCCCGGCGTGCGATTGGGTGCCAGCGCAGGGCCCATAAGAGGCAGCAGTCCGGGTCACCCCATTCCATCTCTTCCCACCTTTTCTCGTCGCTAGTATGGACAAGCTCTCCTCCCTTGCAAAATACAAGTCCTCGTGCCCCTTCCTCGGACGCACTAAGACGTCCACCCTCCGCACCCTATGCACCTCTACGTCCGTCCGCTACCCCTCCCTGTCTCGACTCACAGAGCGTGCGACCAAATGCCCGGTCATGGGCCCCGCCCTTCAGCTTCGCAGCAACCAGATGGTCGCCAGCTACGCCAGCCTTGCCGGCTCTGCCGAGTTCAAGCACATCCACGAGGAGAAGGGTGTCTTCCCTGTCCCGACAGGCACCAACATCGAGAAGTGCCCGCATGCGTCCAAGGCACTCGCCGCCGCTCGCATGGCTGAGGATCTCACCAAGGTTGCCGAAGTCAAGAAGACTAGGGGGACTCGTGCTACTGCTTCCTCGTCCTCTCCCAAGGCAGCGTCTGGTTGTCCATTCCATGCCGCTGCTCAGGAAAGCAAGGGCAAAGAGGTCCCGCAGGCGACGGGCTTCAACTACGAGAGCTTCTACATGACGGAGCTCGAGAAGAAGCACCAGGACGCATCCTATCGCTACTTCAACAACATCAACAGAATGGCGTCTAAATTCCCCATTGCCCACACTGGCAATCCGAAGGATGAGGTTGAAGTCTGGTGTGCCAATGACTATCTTGGGATGGGCAACAATCCTGTCGTTCTGGAGACGATGCAGTGAGTTACATTTATGCCTGCAGATTCTCCATGAGATTGACGCAAACCTTGACGTACGCAGCCGTACGTTAGACACTTACGGGCACGGTGCCGGGGGAACCCGAAATATCGCGGGAAATACCGGCATGCATCTGTCCCTCGAAGAAGAGCTTGCGGAATTACACCGTAAGCCCGCAGCGCTGGTATTCTCCTCCTGCTACGTCGCCAATGATGCCACGCTCGCTACGCTGGGATCAAAGCTCCCAGGATGTATCTACTTCTCCGACTCGATGAATCATGCCTCCATGATCCAGGGCATGCGGCACTCTGGCGCCAAGCGCGTCATCTTCAATCACAACGATCTGCAGGATCTCGAGCACAAGCTCGCGCAGTACCCGAAGGAGACGCCGAAGATCATCGCGTTCGAGAGCGTATACTCTATGTGCGGCAGCATCGGACCGATTGCGGAGATCTGTGATCTAGCAAAGAAGTACGGCGCTTTGACCTTCCTCGATGAGGTGCACGCTGTCGGACTTTACGGGCCTCGCGGTGCTGGTGTTGCGGAGCACCTTGACTTCGAGGCACAGAAACGTGCTGGTCGAAACCCTGATCCCATCAAAGGTTCGATCATGGATCGTATCGACATCATCACCGGTGAGTAGCCTATGTTTGATTTGTCGACGGGCACGAGGTTAACAGTTCATGGTAGGTACTCTTGGCAAGGCATATGGCGCGATTGGCGGATACATCGCTGGTTCCTCCGACTTTGTTGACATGATCAGGTCCTACGCTGCCGGGTTCATCTTCACCACCTCTTTGCCCCCCGCCAACATGGCTGGCGCACGCGCCAGTATCTCTTACCAGAAGGAGTTCCTCGGTGATCGTCGTCTTATGCAGATTAACGTCAGGGAGCTCAAGTCGCGCTTCGAAGCCCTTGACGTTCCCGTCGTCCCTGGTCCCTCCCACATCGTCCCTGTCCTCATTGGTGACCCCGCTCTTGCGAGGCAGGCGTCCGACTTACTCCTCGCCAAGCACAATGTCTACGTCCAGGCTATCAACTACCCTACAGTCGCGCGTGGTGAGGAGCGTCTCCGCTTCACCGTAACCCCCGGACACACCATCGACCAGATCGCTCGCCTCGCCCACGCTGTTGACCAGACCTTCACCGAGCTCAAGATTAAGCGCACGTCGGAATGGAGGGTCGAGGGCGGCCGTGCTAATGTGGGCATGCCTAATGCGAAGCCGGTCGAGCCCATTTGGACGGACGAGCAGCTCGGTTTGGTCGATGGCACTGCGCCCAAGGTTCTCCGCGGTAGCCAGAAGCGCCCCGTGGATGCCCGTGCGGTCAGGATCACTCGCGAGAAGTTCAATGACTTGCTGGGCCCCGTCGTCGAACCGGTTGTGAAGACCGTGCAGGTCAACATGCCCGGCCTTGCGTATCCGGCTGATACCTTGCACGCTCCCATTCAGGTTGCGGTGACGGCCTGAGCACGGATGTTTCACTGTAGTGGTAGAATGTGTCGTCGATGATACTGTATCGCAAACGCTGTGAAGAGAATTGATTGCGAATTGTCGGCGCATCGTTTGCGCCGGCCCACATCTTGGTCCTAAGTGATGCCTATATTGTAAATGCTATCACACACTGCCTACTGCAACACTGCAATTATTTTGGAAGCGCGTTCGTGCTTGACCAAGTCTACAGTGGACGCAGAAGGCGTGCTAGTGGGCTGGGCATCGGATGGCTTTTCAGCTGTCTGGTCCTGTTGCGCATTTTCAGGCTGTTTCGCCAGGATCTCCTGACATGTCTTGAGGAGTGCCTGGGCGAGATGATTTGAGCCGCAATTCCACGATACATGACAACAGAGGCTGATTCACCTCACGAACTCCACCCTTTATGTCGGCTAGATACCGCGTTAGCAGGTGCACATATGCATCCGGGATCTAGAGACGTAGGTCAAATAGATGCTCTCAATTCTGTGAGGTAGACCCTACTCACGGCTTCTGGTGACCATGCATTCCGGATAAGCCAGTTCTGCCGTGCCTTTTGGAATTTCCAGCTCGTTGGGTCCTCGAACTGAGAGTATGCGTAATGCAGAGCTGGTGGTAGACGATAAACGAGCTGCACAGTACGTCTAGGTTTGCTGCACGCACCTTTACGCGCCTGCTCGCTGAGCGACTCGTCTTCGTTCGGGTCTTCGAATTCCGAAGTACCGCGTTTGCGTTTGTTCTTTTGCTTTTTCTCCTCGTCCGCGCCATTGGCTTCACGCTTCCGTTTGTGTTTCTTTGGCTCGGCCTTGGTTGTAACTACAAGCTCTTCTGCATCTGCGCCCTCTGCCCCTCCATCTTCTGCGCGTCGACGCTCCTTCTTGCGTAGCTTCTTCAGCTTCTTGCTGCTCTCTGCGTCCTCGATAGTTGTCTGGGTTGCGTCCTCGGGCTGGGCTGCGGCTCCAGACTCAGCCCGCGGTGTCTCTTTCTGTTTCCCCTTCTTGCTCTTTGCTTTATCCGGAGAGTCATCGTCCTGTGTGGGCTGAGGCGTAGGAGGTTCCGTCGCGTCCGACTTTTGCTTTCGCCTCTTCGATCGTTTTGTGGACTCCTCGCCCGTGTCAGTAACTGCAGGTGTGCTCTGACCTTCTACTGCAGTAGCGTCGGTATCGTCAACGTGAACCTTCTTATGTTTCTTTTTCTTCTCGGATGTCACTGCAGAATCATCATCGCGCTCGGCCTGCGAGTCCCTGCCCTTCCCTTTCTTCGACTTCTTCTTGAGGTCTGCGGAAGAGATATTGTTCCCTTCCGGACTCTGGGCCTGTTGTTTCACGTGGTCGCTGGCCTTTATCGACATGGTAAGGTGATATAGAGCAAAGTAGTTGATAGACTTGTATAGACGCGAAAGGAAATGCCATCCTTAGTACGTAAGCGAGACCAGTCAAGTGTCGATCATGCTCGTGTAAGTCCCTGGCAAGTCAATGAGGCCACCCTTCCTCTTTCTCTCCACCATCCACCCTCTGAGGCTGTGTTCCCATGGGTCTCTCGCTTTCCTCGCTGTTCACATCGTTGACCTCACTGGTCCGCTGGAGCAAAGATCAAGATGTCCGGATACTGATGCTGGGGCTGGATTCCGCCGGCAAAGTACGCTATGACCCGTGCCTTATTGCGATCGGTGGTCATTGAGCTCATGCATCTTCCAAGACTACAATATTGTACAGGCTACAGGTTCGTTTGACAGTCAGTTCGTGAATCTTGTCCCATCCTTGACGCTTCCGCTTTAGATAGGAGAAGTCGTTTCGACGATTCCAAGTAGGTCTACCGTGTCAAGCGTGTTCACCGGACGTCTCTGAGACGCGTCTACACAGCCATTGGCTTCAATGTTGAAACAGTGCAGGTACATTGCGAAGTTTCTTCCACGCTGGCTACCCCAACTGAAATGCCTCGCCCAGTATAAGAACATCAAATTCCAGGTATGGGATCTAGGGGGCCAATCTAGCATTCGGTGAGGTCGGCTTGCGCTATGTCTGAGCATGGCTCACTGACACAACTTAGACCATATTGGCGCTGTTACTTCCCAAACACTGCTGCCATTATCTACGTGATTGACTCTTCCGACACCGCACGGTTACCAACATCACGGAGCGAGCTGCTTACCATGCTGTCGGAGGACGAACTTGCCGGCGTACCTCTCCTCGTGTTCTGTAACAAGCAAGACGTCGAGGGCGCGCTGAAGCCGGAGGAAATAAGTGAGCAGCTGGGGCTTGCTGGAGGCGAGAAGGAGCGTCAGTGGAGCGTGCGGGGGAGCTGTGCAACTAAGGGGGAGGGTCTTGAGGATGGCCTCGACTGGTCAGTGTATGTTTTCGTTCGTACGGCACCAGTGACCTGACGAATGTACAGGCTAGTCAATGCCATACAGAAGAAATAAGGGCCTCCATGCGTTCAGCTCACCGTCTTATTCTTCTCTTAGGTCGTGTCACTGTCGCACCCTCGGACACAGCTCTTTGCATTTACATACCCGTTGTACAGCTCACTAATGTCTCTTAATCTTATTGTCACGATCAGCTTGGATGAAGCACGCCATGTACGTGAAAAACGACCTCCGCTGAGAGCTCCAAAAAGTACATGACCACGCTAAACTATCCTTGACATTCAAGCATGGCTATGGCTTGGTTGCCCAACTCCAATCCCATCCCATCCTCTCGCTGTCGGCCATGCATCTGTTATAGACATCAATGTCCGGCCTCCATATCCGTACGGTGGTGTCGTCCGCGCACGTCGCGAGCATGTCGTGTGCCCAGTCCAGTGCGCCCGTCTCACCTGCCTGTCCGCGCAGCTCGACCGCCTGCATGTTCTGCGCGTCGTATCCAAATTCGACGGCACGGCCAACCGAGGCGGTGCTGCCCACATCGAAGAGGTATATCCGGCCATCCGTCGCGTTCCCGTTTGCGAGCCAGCGCCCGCATGGCGAGAGGGCCAGGTGCACGTAGAATGAGTTGGTCTGCATGTTTACGTGCGAGTACGCCCAGGGATCCTCTGTAGCTGGGGGTGTGGCATACCCGGAAAGCGGTTCGAGTGACGGCAACGAGTACGTGTGGATGCGCGAGTCATTGCCTAATGCGAAAAGAAGCCCTGCAGTGGGCCCGTGTCCAGGAGCAAGGCTAGTTATACCTCGAGCACGACGGGTGCCTTGAACGGTGGTCGGGTCGATTCCTGATGAACACACGGGTTTAGGCGGGGCTTTGGAAGCCTTCGTCGATTTCTTCTTTGACACCGTTGGCATACGCAGGTCCCACTTCCGCAGAATTCTACAGGGTCATGAGAAGTCTTGTATTATCGACTGTCAAGGGAAATCCATACGTACCCATCATATGAGCCACTGCTCACGAGGTACGGTGAACTGTCATCGGAATAGACTAGACTGGTGATGCTCCGCTGAGGTGCGGCAGGCGTAAGTTTGCCTTTTCGTCCATTCGGTTTCGTTGGCTTTTCATCAAGCCCATGCGCTCCGGGAATCACAATGATGGGGGCAATCGCACCTGGCTCGGGGGCACCGTCGAGTACGGATCCTCGCCTGCTTCTGCCCTCGCCGGCCCTCAAGTCCCATACGCATATACCGCCGTCGCGCCCACCCGTCGCTAGAACGCTACCGTCCTTCAACGGATCCCAAGCTATGCACTTGACGGTGCTGCCATGCCCCCGCAACACATGTAATGTTCTGTTCTCAGAAGATACCGATGCATCAAGTGAAGATATCCGCGCCGACTGATCGCCTGACGCTGTGGCTAGGAGCGTGTCGGAGGGTGACCACCTGACGGCAAAGACGCCATTCTGATGTGGCGAGAAGATCGTTCGCTGAGGTTCTGTATCAACTTTGTTAACGAAACAGAACAAATTCTCTCTCTGGTGTGTGCTCACCGTAATCCCAATCTCGCCTCTTAGTGGTATTTACGACGTGGACGGCGCCCTGCTCTGTCGCCAAGGCAAGTAGAGGCGTGCCTCCGCGTTTCGCTCCTACACTTCACATCAGAAAACAATGTACATGTCTCGTAGGTGTATTCTCACCATGAGAATAAGCGCAGGTATACGGACTATCCATGTAGCCACCATTTGTGGCGTGGCACTTAAACACATCTGCTTTATGTGATGACACGAATGCCTGCAGAATGGGGCGTGTGGAAACTGACGAATCCTTTCAAGCTCAACAAAAAATCACTGTTTTGTCGGTGCGTATGGACGTACAGGTGAATCTCCGCATAGCAGCTGCAGAGGAAGGCCCCATCATGGCAGCGGTCCTCATGCTGAAGGACATACGCTTACGTCCCAGGTCGCTTGCCAGTACCGAGCCATCAAAGTCCTCGTCTCCTTCACTGTCCGAGGTAGCGCATCTGTCCTGCCTGTGAACAATCTTTGCGCGTTTCTTCTCGCGCGCGTCGACAGCAGCCAAGGGTCGCTTGCGATCGAGCGTGTCCACGGAATCTGCGAGAAGAGAGCAGTCCTGATCGTCTACATTGGTGCGCTCATTTAGCGGTGGACGGGTCGGAGATAGTGAAGGAGGCATGGCGATAGTGAGCACAAGAGGTTCCAGAGGGCTGCAGACACGCGACGCTGAGCGCTCGAGTCGTCAATCAACAAACACGTCCCACGTGACCGCGACGCGATGGTGTTAGTTCTCCAGTTGCAAAGACCCGCGGAGAAGTATTGCGTATTAGCTCTAGGACCATGCGTTGGTTAGGGCTTCTTTGCGTTATTGAGAAGCTACATTCTCCTTTCTTCGGGTCTTTCGTTTCCTCTGCGTTCGGTAGTAGTCAATGAGCATAATAGTCCACGGCACGTGGGGAAGAATTCTCGTGAGCGAGCACCTTGATTGGCTCCGCAGGGAGTCAGCGACTTATCCCACACCCATCCTCACGCATTCGGTGCGGTCCTCTGACATCCTTGACCTGCTCTCAAAATGGCTTTCCGCGCGCCTTTCCGCGCTCTTTCTACTGTTGCCCGTTCAAAGTTGAGGGTGGGGCTGATTCCCGGGGATGGAATTGGCGCGGAGGTCATACCGGCGGCGCGACGGGCCATAGAGGCTTTGGGCTCGGACATCCCCAAGACCGAGTTCGTCGATCTGGAGGCAGGCTTCGAGCTCTTTGCTCGTTCCGGGGATGCCCTGCCAGAGGAGACCGTTGAGTACGTGGTACACTCCTCGGTTTGCTATTTAGTAATCGACTTTGTCTAGGGCTCTGGGGGAGTGCGACTGTGCGCTCTTTGGTGCCGTTAGGTATGCTCGCAAGTAAATTTTATTATTTTGAGTGGTTGATTGTGTCATCGTCATAGCTCACCGATCAAGAAAATTACGGGATATTCATCGCCCATCGTCGCTCTGCGTAAGAAGCTGGACTTGTATGCTAATGTCAGGCCCGTGGTATCTGTTCGTATTCTCGTCTATTTGTCGTGGGGGTAGATGCCAATGATGATACGCTGTAGGTCGCTGCAAAGGGCGCTGAGGACACCAAGCCCGTCGACTTGGTGGTTGTGCGCGAAAATACGGAGTGCCTCGTATGTTCACTATTGTTTACTCAGTCAATGAGGTGCTTACAGATACGCGTGCGAGTGTATAGTACGTTAAGCAGGAGAGTCAGACAACCTCAGAGAGGGGCAAGGAAGCCCGTGCGATACGTCTCATCACGGAGTACGCATCCCAGCGGATAGGCAAAATGGCCTTTGAACTTGCACTCGGAAGGCCACGTCAGGTCTGTTGTTTCGCTTCGAAAGAGAACACCGTGCCTAATAATACGTACAACCCCAAAAGCAAGTCACCATCATTCACAAGTCGAATGTCCTCTCTGTCACGGACGGGCTTTTCAGAGAGAGCGTTCGTAGCGTTCCTCGATTGGTCGAGAATGGCAGATACGACAATGTAAAAATCGAGGAGCAGATCGTCGACAGCGCTGTTTATCGGTACGCTCAGTCTCCCGTCCCTTTCGACATACAGTAAGAATGTCTTCCTTAGGTTATTCCGCGAGCCTCAGTGAGTACCTGTGCGAGTCATCCTTGAATCTGGATTATTAACTTTAGGGGCAAGAATATATGATGTAATGGTGGCCCCCAACCTCTACGGAGACATCATCTCGTAAGTCTTCCATGCCAACAGAGCATGTATTACGTTCTTAATCATCTTATAGCGACGCTGCCGCCGCGCTGGTTGGCTCCCTCGGTCTGGTCCCGTCAATTAACGCCGGGGACAACTTCGTCATGGGTGAACCGTAAGTTACAACGCCTTCATCATCTTGCGCTTGTCCCGCTCACGTCGTTATATCAGAGTACACGGATCAGCTCCCGACATTGCTGGTCAGGGCATCGCGAACCCGTTGGCTTCGATCCGCTCGGCCGCTCTCATGCTCAGGCATCTTGGATATACTAGCGGAGCCGACAGATTGGAACGAGCGGTGAACGAAGTGCTCTACGAGGCCCAGGTACTGACGCCGGATATGGGTGGGAAGAGCAAGACGCAGGATGTTTTGGATGAAGTTATAAGGCGACTGTGAGATATTCGAAACATCTAACAAATTCCATTACTGTATAATGTAGACACGAAATGAAGTACGCATACATTATTACAGTATGGTACCCAGCATGACGGTATTGCATATCTTTGCACGATGTACCATGGCGAAAGGCAGGATAACAGACAATCCTCGATCACTTGAAGCACGTTTCTTTGTGTACACGCGCCTCTCACAGAGTGCATTGCGACATCGTACACGTTCAAATTGGGGGCGTTTTGTGCTGGCAGAATGCTCTATGTGTACTATCTATTTTCTGTAGCATCTTTGCCAAATTCTATGTATGCAGGATTGATAGAGGTCCCAGATCCGCCTAAAACTGTCTGTCGAGACTTCCATGGGATTAGTAGAGAACAAAAATTTCTTAAGAATTCCACTAATGGCAGACATAACACTGACATGCTCTTTGTATGTACATTCATGACGCAGGATGCAAAGCGAAGGTCAAAGTCCACACTGCAGGCAGCAAGCTACAGCATCGACTTCCTTTTTGAGATGTTAGGCGATGATTCGGTATTACAGGTGGGCGCGCTTTCCGGCGGGCCGCAACCGATTTTGTGCTTGCCCTAAACGAACGCTTGGTCCGTGCGCTACCTGCCAGGTATAAGGAGGGGCGACGGAGATTGTGATTCTTTACCACTCTGGCCTTTTGGCTTAGATCAAGTGTAGTATCTGTTCTTAATAGTTTAACCACTATTATGGAGGCACCGCCTCCATTATTGGTTATCTAATTTTTGCCGCCCTTGTCCTCGGGCTCTGCTTGCAACCCGAGGATGCGATGACCTTGCTACTGCAGTACTGGCTTGTGTCGTCGGGGGATCTCCCTTTTCTTTTTGTTTGGTTTTATTCAATCTGCCATTTGGTAGATTGGAGGAGCTGGCAAATGGATTTGTGGACTTCATCCTGTGTCTATCTGAGTGGTTGTTGTCCTTGTCTGGTCAGCTTAGGAGTGAACATTATTGATTGATTGCAAATATTATGAAAGATGATGATGGTTCCTGCTCCCTGTTTTGCGGTAGGTCATGCCTGTTAACTTAAGCACAGTAGTTCATTATGTATTTGGTTTGGATTTCTGGCTTTTAATGCTAAAGATTGTTTGTCTCCATTGTCAATATCAATTTAACCTCTATTGGAATCGCCATGCACTGGTATACAACAAATAGATATTCAATTATCAGAATATGTTCTCTGTCTTCACTCTCTTTATGAATTCTATCCACAAGATGGCGGTCAGTTCGTGAGCAACATGTATAATTGCTAAACCAACCATCTTCATCTTCTTGTTTGGGCCGCTTTAATGCTTTGCATATCGCATTCAAACTCAGCGCGTGTCGGAGAACGCCAACTAAAGTTGACTCACAATCTCTCGCTCGCAATCGTGGATCTTGAGGACGAACAGGATCGGTCCTTGAATGATGACGCACTCCCGCTACATTGGCAAAGGCTGAATGAGAATATAGGTAGATGAGGCATTTCTACATACGCGTCTGCGAGGGTAGCGTCGCGTCTTCTGGCTCGGGTTTCACATGGGATTGATGTCTCCCTGTCGTCTGTGAGATGTCGCCGACGCAAATGCGATATGTAAATGCACCTGTTGTTGGCATACGACCGTCGAAAGATCCGACGGACCCGACGCGAGAGTCGGGCAGCGATCGAGGATGCTGGAAACTCGTGGACGACAAAGGGAGCGTGTGCTCTTCGGGTTCTGGTTTGACCCGCACTGCCCGATGGTCATTCGTAAGAAAAGGTTTGAAGACGCCAGACGCTATTTGCAATTGGCAGTCCTTACCCAGCTCAGCTGGACGCCCACGTCCTGCATTCTCGTTGGCGAGTTGTGCTGAAAGCTGAGCTGCGGACTCTAATGAGCGCGCACAAAATATATCCCTAGACGTCAAGACCGACCATTCTCTGGAGTAGAAGGGGAGACAGCTGCGAGGTCCTGAGCATGCGCTTTCGTAACCGCACGGGAAAATCAATAGGCACCTGTCTGGCCTTGAGCTGCGCGAGTACGTTGCTCCAACCTCTGAAAGGCAGCAAGGAATGCCGCCGAAGGCTGAGCTTGAGCTGGGGTCGCTGCGAAAATCATTTGAGCAGAGCTACAAGATTGTATACAGAGACTAACCGGGGGCGCGCTGCTCTTCCATCTTAACCGGGACATCGTGTACCTCCTCTTTGACGCGGACTTCCGTAATTTCTTGCTTGACAATTGAAGATGCAGAGCTGTCGCAAGGCTCCTGCTTCACAAACTGGAGTGCGGCATCCTCTGTCAACGAGGTGGCCGTCAGAACTCATGTCTATGGCTTATGTGCATTACTCACCCTCTTCGTAAGGGTCGCGCTTGTCGACAAACAATACTAGTGAACGTATCATCAATGGTCGGTATTATCGAGAGTACGTCGGACATGCCGGACGGACCTGGTGCAGCAGCCTCCAGCTCAGGCTTGACCTCCCTATCATCTGCCCAAGCGCACTGCACATCAGGGGTCTGTCCCTCGCCTTCCTCGACGAACTGCGCGGCACGAGCGGCGTCGAGATGAGCGGGAGCGTGGTATGGGGTAAATTCGTTCTAATGTGATCTAAGATTCAACATCCCGCGATAGGCGCACATGCGCGGGCTGTAGTGCTCACCGGAGGAGGCGTGGGTGTGCGTTGGCGCGTCTTGGGCAATGGTAGGGCAAGGTCCGCGCAGTTCCGACCTTGATGCGTTGCCCAGTGCGTGGGGGCGTACGGTTGCCTCACAGGAAACCCCCTAGGAATCGGATCGACAATCGGATAGTGCTCTGACCACTGGTCTAGCAAGGGCTTTCTTCAGACAGTCATCGATACACGTCACGCTGAGAGGACATACGACTGCCTGGATCGCCCTTTGTCCTGTAATTGTACTCGAACACGTACGAGACGCGCTCGATGTCCTGAGGGGCCCCGTCGGTAAAACACTGGCGCCATACGTGCGCGCCGAGGATAGGTGTGATGTCAACGTGCTCGGGCAGCTTCACGATGACCTCTGCGCGCTGTCATAAGAGATGCGCACCGCGCCGCTATCTGAGTACGCACGAGCACTCGCAGTCTTTCCTCACATGTCCACGCACCGTGTTCACCGAGAAGATCGACTCTGGGATGTCTTTCCTATTGAGCATAAAGTATACCCACATGCCCACGAGGTTGAAGAAGTTGTCCTTGCGATCCCTGCCCTGTTTGGTACCCGGCCAGGGATCGTCAATGACAATGTACTTGCATCCAGGGTCATCAGTATAGGGCGGTCCTTTCTTCTTCGCCATTGAGAGCGTGCACGCGCTTGTGCAGACTGCAAGCTCCTGCGGGTCTCAGGCGGTGATAGACCAAAGCAAGGGATGAGGACGTTTATTTTGTCCGGCGGACGAATAGCTCATGAAGAAGGAAAGGCAGGCAACCCGTCTGCTCGTTGGCGGGATTCGAGGACAGTGCCTTTGAGCACGAGAATATCGCGCGTCTCGGTGCATGAGGCATGAGAACGCCATTTGGAAGTGATTGTTAAAGACAACAATCAGTGCCCGTGCATCCCGCGAAAGGCCCTGCGAGCGCTCGATCATCGCAGCGGGTCGCCGCTGTCTTGAGTCGCCTCACAAGCACGTTATAACGACATACCAGCAATGATACATTAAAAGTACGTACAGAATGAGTGTAAGTATATGAGGTGATGATGCGGTCTATACAATCTACAATGCGGGGCACGTCCGGCCAAGTGCCAATTACCCAAAAAGAAATCATGACGTATTCGTAGCGTGCCCGTGCGAGGCCAGCTTATGCATCGTCTCGATGGCGGTCTAGTTCCTTGACAAGCAGATCGTTAACAGCTTTAGGGTTGTCGAGGTAAACTAGGGAATCCAAAATTAGATACATCGTGAGGACGCGCGACGATCGTGCTCACCGTGGTGTCCAGCGTGCGGTATAATGTACATCTTGCCGTCGCCGTTACCTGCCTGTCGCATGTTCTCGACGGCCTCAGCACCGCCATCAGGATCCATCCAGTCCTGTTGGCCATCTAAAAACGTCCGAGAGTATGAGTGTGAGCCGTGCTGAGGACATATAGAGCTCGATACTCACAGACAAAGGTCACCGGAACTTTCAGGTTGGCTACCCGATCAACTAAGGGGCGTCGCGCATGAGCTCCAGGGGCGAGCAAATGAGCTAAACAGGATGTCAGTAGATGCGTGTATACGAGGAACACACGGATACGTACAGACACAATACTCTCCCGAACCCTTAGCCAACACTAGGTTGACGATGTAGTCGTGCATAGCCCGCGTGTCGTCCTGATCGAGGCCGATGAACCTGCGACTCGAATACTTGCCGACCAGCATCGGCCCCCAGAATAGCGACGAACGGACCACCTGGAACGGACTCCAACCCTCCTCCCAGAGATATGTGAGTACACGACGCGACCGGCTCTCCTTGCGTTGGGCTTCTTGCTGACCGGACTTGACTTTCTCGATGCGCGGCCGCGTCGCGTCCTCCGCATGGTCGGAGCTGGATGCGCCAGAGTCCGGAGCGTCCGTGACCTCGCGCGAGTACACGGTGCTGTTCGGGTCCCGCGGCACGCCAGCAGGCGAAAGGAGAATGATCTTGCTTACGCGGGTCGGGTACTTGAGCGCATACGCCACGCTAAGGTAGCCCCCGAGCGAGTGCCCGACAAGGGTCATGCGTTCGAGCCCCATGCGCTCCCGCCATTGCTCAAGCGAGTCGATGAAGAATCCCTCAGCTTCCCGCACACGGCCATCGATATCTTCGCGCTTCGCCTTGATTGCAAAGGGCACGCGCGCGGAACGGCCCATGCCGAGCCAGTCGAGGGCATATACGGACGTCCCCTGCCTGCCCGCCCACTGGCCGAGGGCGGTAAAGTTCTGGAAGAAGAAGCCGAGACCTGCGCCATACCCGTGGAGGAGGACCGCCGGAGGATGGCTGGATGAGGCAGGTTCCGCCGTTGGCGTGATCGCTAAGGTATTAAGGTAATGCTTGGGGTCCTGAAGCTCGACGCGGATGCTGCGTGCAACCACCGGTGTGTCCTCATTGGGCGACACGGGCGGGGAGCCTTCAGGGCGAAAGAAGGACAATTTCCTGGGCTACGTTTAGCGGACGAGCACCACGCGCATTGCATGGTGATGACGTACCTGAGCAGTCGTTCTTCAGCTGCGGCGCTCTCTTTCTCGCCTGCGGCCCACCTGGAGTCTCCATTAACATCTTTGCAGAGTGACGATCGCGAGGTGCTCACCAGCTCTTCAAGCTAGAAACGAAAGTAGATGGTATCTCTCGGGCTGGTGGCAAGGGCACTACGCCGAGGGGTATTGCGGTCGCAGCGGCGGTCGCAGTCATGGCTAAGGGGAATGACAAGCGCGATCTAGCGAGCCTTAGTGAGAGCAGAATGGTGAAGGGGAGGGATGGGATGGTAGCAAGAAAGCAAGAGGCGGGGCTATGTATGCGCGCAGCCGCATGCCGAATGGACTCGTTGACGGGAGGAGATGGAGGAGTAAGCGCCAGTGAATGACATAAGCATCCGCATAGGGGCAAGCCTCGGCTCTGGCAGTCCGCCGCGTTCGAGGACTGCATGGAATCCGGGGTAACAGCCCAATTCTTGTTTGTCAGCTCTCATGTCCGACACCGTTGTGTGCAATATCAGATGCCATGCATTGCGCCGCACTCACAGCAAGCTATTACAGGATGCGCTAATTTTGTCCAGAACTCTAACCGTAAGGTTACAGAAGAACACGGCAGCTGGGGAGGACCCGACGAAGCACGATCGCAGCCAACTCGTGTTGCGGGACCTGTGGTCTAGGCTCGCAGAGCCATCTCGTACATGTGCAAAGGAGTAGGCAGAGAAACGAAGGAACGATCCTGGGCGCAGGACAAAATTCAGATGCAGAATACCAGACCATCGAAGCACTCACCAGCAGGGTCACCGCCGCTTCCTCTTTTGTGCCCTCGTACCACCAATCTTTATTGGCGTCTTGTCTGTTACGCGGATCAAGTTGGGCTTGACTACCTGACCCTCTGTCGCCATCAACGCCTTCTGTATGGCTTCTCGGCCCTGCCCAAAGCCATTGAGATACAGCTGCCACTTCGGCTCGGTGGTCTTCTTCATCTCTTCCTCCAGCGCCTTGAATATCTCCACTGCGCATTTGTACCCTGCCTCGTAGCTCGAGCGGTTTCCGCCTTTGAACCCGAGATTGCCCCCCGTGAGCGTCCGCACGGGGTTGCCGTTTGGCCGCGTGAGGGTCGTGATCGTGTTTGTTCGCGTGGACTTGACATATACGGCGTAGATTTCTGCGCGAGTGCTCAAAGACTTGTCCATTTTTGCGCTGGCAGCGACCGGGTTGGCGGACGGGTATGCAGTCTCAGGCGCGGCGGGAGGGAGCTCGTCAAAAGTAGGTGTTGCGGAAGGCTGAGAGAAGGCGTCGAAGTACTCGGCGCCGTCGTTAAGTTGCTCTGCCGGTGGAGGGGGTGCTGCATCGGTCGAGAGAAAGGCGGCAGCGAACGTCCGCGGCGGGACGCGGAAGTTGAGTCTGCAGTGTCGCAGGAGAGACATGGCGCAAAGTGCACCGACTTCGATCGTTCAGAAAGCTCGGGACGTGTGGGCGCTTCTGCGACGGGCGCCAACACGGAGGTCGTGACCGGCGCCTAGCACAACTTTACCGCTACGACCCGTACCCTCACCGTCATCCAGCCATGGCCGGTGTAAGCCCCCATTCCCTTTGGCGTTTCGTCTCGTATTGACCGAGTCTCTTGGGACGTAGTTCGCGAACCTGTTCTACAACACCGTCGTCAAGCGCAACAGTAAGTGTCCACTTTGAATTGGCTGAAACCAGGACTGAACGTCCTCTTGCATCAAACAGGCGTGTACGTGACCTCCATTTTCGCCGGCGCATTCGCCTTCGGCGTTGGCTTCGACATAGGTATCACGTCGTTCTACGACTCGTGGAACAAGGGGGTACGTCACTCGTAGCCCCGCGTGCGCTCAGTCCCGACTCACCCCCCCTGCAGAAGCAGTGGAAGGACATTCGTGACAAATACGTCCAGGACTCATAGGACAGAGGGACTACACATTGCACCATGACTGTACAATCCAATCCTACATCTATCTAGAGTCCCATCGCATATATTGCGCGGTTCCCCGCCCGAGATGTTGCCCTTGAACCACTGGATTGGGTACTGAAGAGAAGTGTCAAGCTATCCGTGAGGCTAATCAAAATGCAAAGTCAGGCAAATCTGGCTAGGTCCACCTAAGCGGGACGCCAGGACGTTGGTCAGAACGAATGCGTCCTGACGTTATAGCCTGACCTCGGGCAATCTCGGAAGGCCAAGGAAGCCTCCACTGCTCGCCTTGAGTACTGCACATTGAAGGAGACAGTTGTTTCCTGTCTGGTCCTGTTGACGATGCCGCTGGAAGCAACTAAGTTAGGTTCATTATGCACTGTACGCTACTTGCTGTAGTATAATACATTGCGAATGGTGATAGATACTTCTACGGTGCATGAGTGCGTGCAAGGATAAGCATGAACGAGTCAGGGAACAGTGCCGGCGAAATATGCACAACATAAAGACGAGCTGAATGACCAAGGAAGGCAGTGCGTGCAGTAAACGAACGAGTGGCGGCGCCCGAAAAAAAGGAAAAGAGAAACAGGAACGTCAGCTGGATATCATACCAAAGTCCTCCTCGCCCTCAGGAGTCCGGAAAATCTCGTCAAAGATCTCCTTCCCATCGGTCGGCAACGGCGGGAGCTGGTAATCCCTCGAGGCCTTGATGCGCCGGATGCGCTCCTCGTTCCAGATCCTCTCCAGCGTCTCCGCGAGGCTCCTCAGTCCGAAGAGGAACCCGCGGTCGGGCTGGTCAGGATAGTGCGGCGGGAACCGCGCGTATATCAGCCCCGTCTCGGGCTCGACCTCCGCGGTGTACCCCTTCCCGCTCGTCATCTCCTCCGTCTCCTTCGGCCCGTCCAGCGGGTACGGCAGCCAGTCGCGCCCCGTCGTCGTGTGCGCAAAGTCGACGAGGCGGATCTGCATCTCGCCGCGCTTGCGCCGCCGCTCGCAGCGGTCCGCCGGGTGCCCGAGCAGGATATCCTCGCTGTGCGAGCGGCGCAGGCCCGGCCGCTCCTGCCTGCCCTCGGACGCGGTGCCGAGCTGGCGCTCGAGTGACTCGCCGCGCTTGCTGCGCGACGACGGGTTGTCCAGCACGGAGCTGCGGTACGTCTCCTGCACCTCGCGGTCGCCGTCGTAGATCATGAGCAGGCTGCAGCCGTAGAAGCGGTAGCCCTTGAGGCGGTTGATGATGCGCGCGAGGGCATACAGCTTGCGCAGGATGAGCGGAATGTGGTACACGAGCAGGCGCTCGCCGCTGTGGAGGAACGACGCGACTACACCAGGGAAGTCGTCCGGGCGGACCTCGCGGCCCTTGTATTTGTCTTGGGTCACGTAGGACTGCGTGACATGGTTCCATACCTTCATATCGGGATCGTCAGCCAACCATCTCGCCATATCATTCTAACTGCAAGTGGATGCTGCCGTGCTGCGCTCGTTCCCGATCGGACAAATACAACATGGCATGATCGTAGCATCCACAAGTCCAAACAGTCTAGCGGAGCAGCGTATCTGTCACTCACCTGCATGCCGCACACCCGCACACCCAGCGCCCTGCTGGTCGTCCTGTCGCATTTCTTCCGCTGGCTCTTCTTCTTGGACGGCGTCGCATCCATCCCGTACTGCCGCGTGCCCATCTTAAGATCAAGAACGCACGAGTGTTTCAGCCGGCCGGTCAAATCCTCCATTAAAATGAAATGATTCTGCCGCGTCACCGAGGGATCACGCCCGGCGGGCCCTGGGGACATCCGGTGCGCATGGGGAAGATGCGGCTCAAGGAGGCTCAAGGGGTCCGTATATGGCGGCCTGGAACGCGAGTAGCTGGGCGTCCTGCCGTGCGAGCAAGCCGTAAATGGGGGCATGCCACTGTGGTCCCTGAAGCTGTGCGCCCCACTCTCGTCCCCGGGCCTGTCATATTCAAAGTCGAACATCTCTGGCGTATTTTGACCTTGGCCGTGCGCAGGGAACCGCTTCTCGCTCTGCACGCGCCGCAGGGGCTGTCCCAGAAGGCTTTCGTCCTCCTCGCGCAGCCGGTCGACCTGGCTAAGACGCTTTCGCCTACCCTTCGCCATGCTAGCGCCCACACCTGCGTCCTCCGCCTCCCCGTCCGCGAGGTCGCCATCGTCCTCTGCTCGGAGACTATGTGCCGCGACGCCCGACGCCTGCTTCGATATCCGGCGCAGGAGGGTGCTAAATACATGGTCTTTGAACCTCGTATTCACCACAGTGGATCCCGTCCCGCCGAAAAGTCCATTCTGATACGATACGTGCGGCGACATTACACGGCTGCAGCGCCCGTCGAGCGACGGGCTATTCGATTCCTCGACAATAGTCGACGTGATGCGTGGTGAGTTCACCGGCGTGGGCGCGTCCACCGGGAAACCGGGCATCGCGCGGCCCCGCGAGGAGGGCGTAGCATGCGCGCCGTTCACCCACGGCGCATGGCCGATAGACGTCGCAAGATCTGGACTCGATGCAGTGTACCCCCCGAGGTGCGCGCCCCTCAGCCGCCGGTTAATCGGGCGCGGGAACGACGACGCAGAGGCGTCAGACTGCGACATCGCGCGACTGCGCCCACCGCGAAGAAGCCATTGCGGAACGATGTGGCGGTTGTAGTCTAGCGCGACCTCGGGCAGCTCCGCCTCCGACGCGTCCGTATCGCCGGTCTGTTGGCCGGCGCCGGAACGCGAGTGTGACAGCTGCTGAGAGCGCGACTGGTCGGACGCGGCCTTGTGCAGCGGCGGACGTGCACGGCCAGAGTGATCGGTAAGGTGCGCGGCAGAGGGGCCGTTAAGCCGGGGGACACGCCGGTAGCTGACAAGCATGACGCCGAGGTAGCGTGGTATGAAGTCAAGTAGCGGCGGCGCTTCTCGTTCAACGGCTTCGTAGAACAAATTCTCGCGAGAGACTAGGGGCTATGAGACGAAAGCTGCCGTTTAAGCCGCGCTTCATAATCCGTGAGAACAAGAAGAGAACACTCGCCTTACACACGGCACGCTTCGTGAACTTGTAGATAGCACTATGGCCCCCGACCTGATTGCGGAAAGGACGCAGGGGAATATGCGGCAAACTCTCGTGGAAAGCTCCGAAATCAAACTCTTCCTGGCTCCGGTCCTCGCTGGCCGCTTGTCGAGGGTCCAACTCCAGCTCATCGTAAGGAACCAAAAGAGCCCTCTGTTGCTGCTCTTCGTCTTCGTCACTCGGATGCCGGACAAGAGGCTGCGGCGCTGGGCTCGTACGCGAAGGTGACATAGGAAAAGGGGACGAAGCCTCCGTAGTCGACGTTGTAGTAACGGAGGCACTATCCCAGGCGCTCTCATCGTCCGTAGACCACGGAGAGGGCGAAGTAAGATCAGAAGTAACAATGGAGGGGTATGCAGAAAATGTTGGTGCTGGAGCAGGTATGTGATCTTGTACCGGCGTCGGTGATCGAACTGCATCACGCGAACTGACGCGCACTGGAGGCGGCGGCTGGTGCGAGAAAGGTGTGGGGACTGTGGATAATGCCGGCAGCTCACCGGGGGAGCGCGAGCGAGGGGTAGGCGGCGACAGCGGCTCGAGAGCATCAGCTGGTGATGTGTGCTCATAGGGAGTCAAATTAGAAGACACAGACAAATCGGTACCTGGCGATCCAAGGGTCTCCTGCGGTGTGTCCTCAAGCCATACGCCCCGGTCCCGCAGCCTGCCGCGCTCGGTGTCCTCTGCAACGGCATTCCGCCACTGCACTAAATCGTTCAGGACCGTGTCCCGGAAGGACATCTTCCTTTTCTGTGACCGGCGCACATCTTGCTCGCGCACACTTGTAGTCGAACCTGTGCTTTCGTGGGTTCGGACCCGCTCCAGTCCTGTCATGCTCCTTTCTCTCCGGATGGCAGCGGCCTCGCGGTCTGGCCAGTCCGAACGCTTGACGAACTCGAACTGGGCCTCCGCCATGTCCTCCATTGCATGGGCGGTGACGGTCTTGCGTCGCGAGGCAGACGAGCGGGGCCGCTCGAAAGGGGCAACATCCTCGCTGGACGGAGTGGGGATTGACTCTCGGAAGAGATCGAGGGATGCAGCTACCTTACGACCGATGCCGGCGCTGACGGGCGGGGGCATGCGAGAGGTCGGGGAACTGGGGGATGACGATGAGGAGGACGGGGAAGGCGAGCGGCGAGATAGGGGTCGTCCTGACGAGGGGGGTGACATGGTCAACAACGGATCGGATGTAGACATACGGGGAGTATGCAAAGTCAGGGCCTTCTCTGAAGCTCTCCGGACTGCCCGCTTTCGCGGATGGGGATGAGGCGAGGGGCGCCCTTGCTTGGTCTCGGTGCCGGAACCGCTGGAATCGGTCTGGCTATCATTGGGCCATTTGGTGGACGAGTGAGTCTTGGAGGAGTTTGTGCGCCGAGGCCGTGCGGGGAGGTAGAAGATTCGGTCCTTGGAGGGGCGGGGAGAGGGGGAAGCGGTGGCAGTGGCCGAGGTAGAGGGAGAGGTAGGAGAGCGAGGGTGCGAAGGACGGCCGGAGGGGTCGCAGCCCGTGCGGATAGGCGTCATATACTGTGCGGGGATGAACACGGAGGGAAAGGACGATCGCAGGCTCGGGGAAATGGGGAGAGGAGAGAAGGCGAGAGGCGAGATGTGGAACGGCAGATATATCGGAGTGATGGGGCGAGCGCGGCTGAGCAACGTTGCGCTCGATTCCGTTCTGTGTTACGTAGATCAATCCTCTGCACGGCCAGTCTGTGAATGCTCCCTGCGAGTCGTCCACTCAATCAAAGTTTCTCACATCCTCTGACGAACGACCGTCCCAGACACGTGGGACATGCTGACTCAGCTCTCCGCCCCGTCCTCCATTTCGACTTGAAGCTGCCCGCCACTGCCCTCTGCGCTGTCGCCGCCTATGGCTCTTCGTTTGCCCGCCCCCACCGTCCGCCCTCCACGCAAAATCCATTCTCGCCCACAGGCGCTCTCGCCCAGCCGCAACCGTCATGGGTCTGCCCGGTGCGTCAGCGGCGACGCACGTTTGCCCAACAAGGCCACGGCCCATATCGCGGCTGCTTCCGACAACCTTTCAATCATTTGCTGTACACATGTTATCTCCCCGCGTCTCCCTGCTGCGGCCCCGTGTCTTCGCAGCGAATGGGGAGATGCACGGTCTCTTTCCCCGTACGCTCATCCTCTCTTTCGCGCGCTCAGCGCGTCATCCCCGCGCTCCCGCGTCTCTGGGAACCACTGCTTGCCGCTCGCCCGTCTTGTCCACAGTATCCTCGCGACGATTACCCTCGCCCGCATCGTGCGATCCCGCTCACTAAATGACCGCACGTTGCCCCGCACGTTCTTGTGAGTACGGCGTATCGCAGCATCGCACAAACGATGCTCCCTACTCGCTTAACGAAGCCTAAATCGAGCCGTCCGGGGTAGCTCGCGACCGGACGCCTGCCGCACGCACTTATTACGTCCGGGAGACTATTCTCAATTCTAGGCGCGCCTCGGAGGCTTTCATCTCAGCGCCGACTTCGAACGTTGGGTGCTCGTGCCGCATCTCGCGCCTCGCGATGACCATGCACGCACGTCATGTGCTGGCGAGTGGCCAATGATATGATCCTACGAGCGGTTCCCCGAAATAACCATGTTTATATTTGCTGACCTCGAGTGCACTGGTCAGTGGCTCTCTCGGACAACTGGCAATATATTGCCTGCCCTGTTACATTCAAAATCTGGGTATCTTTGTGGATCAATAACTTGTCACACTAAATTCTCAAATTGTTAAGAATAGCAAAGTCTTCAATCGGGATAGTCTTCATAATATGTTTAGTTTCCTAGATTGTTGAGTAGAGATTGCATGCTTTAACAGTGACAAAGGGTTGAAAATAAGATCCATTATGCACAAGCAGGCTATTATACATACTGTGCCATTTTGATTAGTGTGGTGTGACAGGGGTTTATACAGGAGCAGAAAACTAATGTAGTGTGTATATATGTTGATAGATTTGCAGCAACATGGTGTTAGGTTCGAACTGATCCTAGCCTCGGTGTTGGGCCTTGAATGTGGTATAAGCCATCGGAAGTGTGTTGTGAGTCAGTCTCCCATTCCGGTGTGGCCTCCAGCACAGAGTGCACCATATGTGGCCTCCTCCATCATTCTAAAGACTAAAGGACGCAAAAAGCCCCTATCGGACCCTGTCAAGAAGCCTGAGCCTTCTCCCAAAAGAAGACCTCACCATGCATTCCGAAGCCCGGTTTGAGTAGTACCTGACTCCCAAGTACTTTGACTCATGCAGTCAGTTTCCACTTTATTGTTTCGGAGGTTCACATCACACCAGGAACTCTCGGAATGCCACCGACCATCAGTACATCAAGTCATGACCTGACTAAGGCCCCTCAATCACAATCAGAACTGCGGTCAATCACAATCTCAATGCTCAGGTATCTTGATCTAAATTATTGGAGCTGTCGGCACATCCCCCTCATGGTAATCCCTCGTGGTTCGTCCTACAAAACACCTCAGTGGGTTCACGTACCTGCTATGTTCCTTGTAGTAGTAGTACAATCCCCTGACTTTAGTCTTTACTAGTTGGTACCTGGGTTTTGGACATCAGATGAGTTTTGGCTTTCGTACAATCCACATTTGGACTCGGATTTTGGTTTAGCACAATGCACATGTATATAAACAACTTTGCACTTAGAAAAATTACAGATTCCCTTTCCCTCTCAACACTACAGTTTGTCTCAAATTTGACTTGTTGCCTCTACACTTTGTATTCCATCCGACTTGCTTCAAAGATTTTGACAAGTGTTGCACTGCAACTTTGCCTCTCATCCAACTTGCTCTAATTTGAGCAAGTGGTACCCTGCGCTGTCTAACTACATCCAACTTGTCTCCAATTCAAGCAAGTGCTGTGTTGCACTCCCAAACTACATCTAACAGAATAGTTAAGGCCATATTTAGCACCCCTGCCTGGCCTACGCCTGCACCTCCACTTGGCTTCAAGGCCAGGTGGGGGTGTTGCCACCATGCTTCGTGAGATGCTGGTCACCATGATATCACCCCTGTCACATGTACATCACAGCCCTTTGAGTTATATGGCCAATCCGAGTCTCTCACATGGTTTCTACAACATCTGTGAAGAATCACAGAAGTAAGGGTGCTCATCCTAGCCATAAATACACAAGTAAAAACAGTGTCAGAATTGTAGGTATTGCAATATTAATAGGCAGCAAGGGTGGTATATGCAGTCTCAGAGCACATCGAAGTAGGGTGAGATAAGTGTGATGCTGCCATCACAAGCATGTGACAAAGAGTGGGACAAAGCTGGAGCACCATTCCGCAAGCATCCACACCTTGTTTTGCTCGAAGTGTGAGATCAACACAGATGCCTCTGATTATGGCGTGCAAGCGTAGGCCGGGTGGGGGTGCCGAATACAGCCTAAGTCCCTCACATTGTCTGTTTCAATTCCACTGTGTGAAAGCCTAGTCAAAGGCTCTGAAGAGATATACTTGTGCCATCCGAGACATTTAGAAGTGTTCCGAAGCAGGACCTGTCATGAGTTGACATGGTGTCTAGCCGTCTTTTTAATTTTTTCCCTTTCGCGAGCTCGAACCCGCGACCTCTGTACTATATGCCTGAAACGGACATTTCCTTATCTACTGTATGATCGGATTAGATGGGTGGCAGTGCGCGGCACAGCTCGGGCTCTGCTGACACAGCTGCTCTGACTCACCGGCCCCCGGGGCTGCGTCAGCATGCTGTGCATGAACCAGCTGTGCACGGACCAATGCGCACAGCCTGCCCTTATCTTCCCCTGTATATAAGCCGGCCTCTGCTGCCCTAGGGACCTCAGTTTCGACCTCTTGTCCCTAGGTCAGTAAGCATCCCTTTGTATTCCTTTCTTACTTAACTAATATATTATCTTGTCCCTAGCCTTAGGTTTGAGCATTGCTCACCATCACTTCAGTGAGACCCAGTTGAACGCCCCCAGCATCCTTGTTTGGTTTTCCTCTGTCGCTTGACCTCAAGTCGCGACAGGACCCTTACTCCTAACTCCTCCATTTTATTATAGACTGTTGTAGGTTTCCCTGTGTCCTTTATCCCAGTATAGAGTAGGGTTTCCTTGGTCGCATCACCACCAAGGCATTTTGTAGAATGAAGCACGAGAGATTACCATAAGGAAACATGCTGAAAGCTTTGATGACCTAGATCTGCTTGCCTGAGCCTCAAGATTGACGGATCATGATCAAACATGGATTCAATCATGATTAAGAGGCC